TGGCTGTCTCATTGACAGCCGCTAGAGGCGTTTGCGTGCTTCTCACTGTGAAAATCACAGTGAGAAGACGCCAGCGTCTATAGGAAAGCATTATGAATGCTTTCCTATGAGACTGGCTGAATGCGCGCGCAGCTCCTGCCGTGCATGCGCATTCAGCCGAAGAGGCGGAGCTGGAGAAAGGTAAGATTTTAACCTCTTCCTCTCCCCAGAGCCCGGCGGGGGGGGGTCCCTGAGGGTGGGGGCACCCTCAGGGCACTATAGTGCCAGGAAAACGAGTATGTTTTCCTGGCACTATAGTGGTCCTTTAAGGGGTTAAGCGCTACAGTGAGCTGTAGTCATTACGGTGCTAGCAGGGCCGATGCGTCCTATAAGGCAACCTAGGAAGCCGCCTAGGGCACCCCTTAGGAGGGGCGCCCTGCGCCCTCATCGCTGGCCCTTCTAATGCTGCAGCCGCCTGAGCGCTCTATAGAGAGCCTCAGGCGGCTGCAGCACTACCTCTCCCCCCCCCCCCCTTTCTCCTTACCTCCCTCCTCTTCCCTGTGTAGCGTGGCTGAGCTCTGGTCCGTGGTACTGGAACATCTGTTTCCTGTACCCGGCCGGACTGACAGGAAATGCTCACTGAGTGAGTACTTCCTGTCAGTCCAGCCGGGTACAGGAATCAGAAGCTCCTGTCCTGTGGACTGAAGAGGAGCTTGGCCACGCTACACAGGGAAGGTGAGGAGAATGGGGGGAGTCCACTAAGGGCGTGGGGGTGTAAGGAGAACGTGGGAGGGAGGGTGAGGGGAATGGGGAGAACGTGGGAGGGAGGGGGTTTGAGAAAAATGTGGGGGGGTGGAGGGGGAAGTCCACTAAGGGAGGGTGGGGTGAGAGGAGAGACCACTAATGGAAAGAGGGGGAAGGAGAGACCACTAAGGGGGAGACGAGAGACCACTAATGGAAAGAGGGGGAGAAGAGGAGAGACAACTAAGGGAGGAGGGGAAGGAGAGTAGAGACCACTATGGGGCAGGGAAGAGCTCTAAAGGACGGAAGGGAGAGCTCTAAGGGATGGGGGGCAGGAGACAGCACTAAGGCGTGGGCGGAGCGCCAGGAGACAGGAGGGAGGAGCACTACGGGAAAGGGGGCAGGGAGATCACTAAGGGACAGGGGAGATCACTAAGCAACAGTGGGCAGGGGAGAGAGGCTGGGGAAGGGGGGAAAAGAGAAGCACAAAGGGGCTGGTAGGACTCAGTCCCTATCCTACCCCAAAAACGTTCTCTTTCACACTACGCATAAACACAATGCATCCCTATACACACACAGAAACACAACATGCTTCCCTAAAAACACACACAGAAACACAATGCATCTCTTACACACACTCAAACTACCCCTTATAGATACACACTGCATCCCTTACGCATACAAACATAGATTCACACAATTCATCCCTTACACACAACCAGAAACACACAATACATCCCTTATACACAAACACACACTGCTTCCACTACACACACACACACACACTGTATCACCTAATGGGCTGCGCCAAATCTAGGCAGTTACTTTGCTGCTTTACAAAAATCACAGGCCATAACAAAAGGCTTTTTCTTCACTTTGGTATCTGTCATAGAGAAGTCTAAAATCTGCTCTGCTATACATGAGATGTACATTTGTTTATCACCATTTCTAGACACATGTACAGCACTCAGCAGGGAGATGCAATTCATGCTAAACACAACAGACCTATAATTGTGCAATCACACCAGCTGTGCTTCAAAAACACCTCAAATTACATTACACCTTGGAATAGTCATACTTAAAGAGAACACACTGTTCTACTGCAACAAAGCATCTACAGAACTGCAAATTCTCAATGGGGGAGATGTCTGAAGTGTTCTGAAAAGTGGGGCAGAGTTCATCACCATGGAAACCGGTGGAATAAACAGGCACATTCCATTGGTGATCACGCCAAATTTATATTTTTGTGACACTGTCAGAAAACAGGACTTTGATAAATCTCCCTCAATGTACACGTCTAATAAATGTAACATATCCTACATATCTGCCCATACTGGAATAATATGCAGTCAGTATGTTCAGTCTGTGTGTTTACAGGGACCATAACCACTACAACACACTGCTGGAGTCTCTGATGAAGCGTGTAAACGTCATCATTGTTTTTTTTCCCAGCTGCAATCATTAAATAATGAAATAAAATGATTTGGTTTTTAAAATGTATTATGCACAGTTTATACATTACTTTCTCCCCAATTATTTTGCGGTCTTATGACGCCAAGAGTGCCTTGGTGTGCTGCGTGCACCCACCTCCCCCTGAGTACATCACCATTAACCAGTGTTCTGTATCCAGATACTGTTCTTATTCAATCAGCCCACCCAATTCCAATAAATCCCACTTAATTTGAAATTACCTTTCATTTCCCGAAGTTCACTCTTCAACTGACTCCATTCTGTGTTGGAAACACCTTCAGTTGTAAACATATTGGATCCAATGGAGGCTCTGCATATGGGTTAAGATAAATAAATACATTAAAAACAGCCGAGTTTTATTGATCTGCCCCCTCCTCTTTTCCTTACGGACAGTGCATTGACAATGGATTAGCTAAATTAATGCCAATAAGAATGGCTAAACTGTGGCTATAATGGGTAATTATTTCAAATCCTTTATATTGACCGAAATATTAAAATCTGTTTTTCAATGCACTACAGTTAGCTTACACGTTGCAGATTTTGATTCTCTACAGAGAAAAATATGACGTAACATTTGTCTATACGGAGTTAACAGGTTCATTATAGTTGCTTGTTTCGGGAGCTATCCAAACATTAGGAGCCGGACTGCATAGTGTTTAAGAACCTGTTTTTTTTTTTTTTTTTAATTCTTTATTTTTCTTGTGCATAAGAAAACATAACAGGCCTGTAGTGCCATGACAGCTAGTACAGGCATTTCAATAGCAAACAATGTCATAGCAGAGTAATACAGCACATTTTTATATTTATGAGAAAACAGGCTAGAAATACTTGAGTATGACTTAGATAGTGTAGTTAGTCTACGTATGCATGTTTGTATATTTGTGGTAGCATAACACAATGTTTAATCATGACCTGCACGGGGGGGGTCACGACATTTACTCGTATGCATGGATACTCGTAGACACCCCTATCTACTAAATATGACTACCATTTTATGATGTTATAGAAACAAGATGGCCTCAAGCTATGCCGTCATGTCTAACTACGAGAGTAATGCAAGGAGGGCCTAGTACATTATATTATATTTGTTATGCTTGTTAATTGTTGGGAGCCGAGACTTCTAGCTAGACATTTTAATATATACTAGTGTAACTGTAAGTAAACATGCTATCGAGTTAGTGCACCCCTGAGTGCATTATTAGCAGTACGCCGTGCTGCAGTGTCATTAGACAGTTTGAGGAGAGAGAGCAGAAATGATAAGCTAATTATAAAAAGAACATAATACACAAGTTTTTGTGCATGGTATTTAAGGACAAAAATAGCGTCTCAGGTCGTTGCATTTAAAGACAGAAATAGCGTCTCAGGTCGTTGCATCTAAAGACAGAAATAGCGTCTCAGGTCGTTAAGGAGAAAGTCCAGCCCGGTGTCAGTCCCATAAGCTAGCTTAGCCGATTCCGTCAGGTGGTGGGGTAGCTGGTTCACTGGAGTTGGTGGCACTGTGAGGCGCGTTGTCTCCTCGGCCCCAGGATTGCAGGATCGCCGGCATCTGTGAACCGCAGACTTGGATTCGCAGAGGGACCATGATTTTCCCCATCTCAGGGGTGGCGGAGGTAGTGAGGATTTGTCTCAGCCGGTGCGCGGATCTCCGCCTGCGTGGACGATGTTTGGAGGACTTGCCTCGTGTGGCTCTCCGCCTGGGCGAGCGGTAGTGAGGTCTCGGGAGCATTGTTTTATATGTGGTGCCCTGAGGAGGCTTTACCATGCTGGAGTGCTTCATTCTCCGGTTTCCCTTCGGCGGCACTGAGCTGTGAGCAGTGGCTTGCAGACGGGCTTGTACCCTAAGCCAAAAGGCCTGGAAGATTTGATCCAGCCGCCTCGATGTGTAGGTATAGGCGTCACTGAGTGTCCTCTCCGTTGCAGCTGTGCCACGTGTTGTCGTGCGGGCTGCGTCCGCCATTGTGGGAATATGGATGTCTGTGTGCTCTGCTGCAGGGGTAACGTTGTTGCAGCTAACTGCTCTCCGGGTGGGACCGGGATATCCCCCGCCGGTCCAGAGGGGAGGGTGTGGAGTCGTGCTTATCTTAGCTTTATTCAGCGGAAGGAGAGCGGCCGTCTCTCCCTCGGTCTGAGTCCAGTAGGCCTCAACCTGCCGTTGCGGTTCCTGTCGCCTTATGGTGTTGATTAAGGTATCCACCTGTAGGGTTAGGTGCCCCCAGCTTGGGAATCCCCTTGAGTAGAGGTCACCAGGTTGTCAACCCAGGATATCACCGGGTATTCGGCATTAACAGCAGGAGCTTGTGTGATGCACGTCTTGCCTGCTTGCAGTCCAGGCTCCGCCCCCTAAGAACCTGTTTTTGTGTAGCAAAAATAATTAACTAGATTTCTGTACTGAAGCATAAAATAAATGGCCTTTTAGTCCAGGGACACAATAGAACATCTCTAAATCTCATCTCCATTGATTTAAAAAGTTGAGAAGGAAGAAAAGGAATCCTTTTGAAATATGTACCAGCAAGTCACTTTCATGTTCTGGGAAAGGGTAAATATTGTATATTTCTGTCCAAAATACAATATTGTACTATTATTATTATTATTATTATTATTATTAAACAAGGTGTGTTAAATTATTCAAACTATGTCAAACAAGTACACGATTATTAATAAGCCTCTAAATGCAGCTAATTGAAATCTGAATGGTAAACTTGAGAATAAAAAAAAGCTGATTTTCAGAAATTGTCCAACTTGACAATAGTTAAACCTGGCTACTTTTACTTAAATGTTGCGATTCAGATGAAAATTTGCCATAAATGACGGTTTAATGAATGAACCCTATTTGATTGGTCTGGTATGCCTATTGCAACACACAGGAATGAGGGAGTCTGACTTATGGTGAAGTGGCTCAAACTGGATACAGGCAGAAGTTTCACCAAATACTCTGCCTAGAATAATGAATTAGTTTGATTTGCACCTGAAATTAGGTGCAGTGGGTCCAGGAGTCAGTTCACTCGGAAAGGCTTTTGTATATTCTGATGGTTCAGGAGAAATGCAGCACTTACATATATGGGGTGTATGGCTTTAAATCTGCTAAGGGCAGAGTCAAACTTTCTACACACCAAATAATCTACTTTTAACTCAAAGATTAAACTGTAAGAGTGATATAGGAAAACGGTATGAGGAACTGTTTCCTATTTGTGATATAAATTGTCACAATTATATACGGTGTATGCGTCCTTAAATCTGTAACAAACAGAATAAGGCAAAGTATATACCAAATGATGTACTTTATGACAAAAATGAAAACTTTATGTAATAGACATACAGTATCTATGACTGTATTCGGTAAATAACCGTATCACTTAAAATGATAATAAAAATGTTGGAATAAATGAGTAAATAAAATTAATACAAAGTTTATTGAGCATATTGGTTGAATTAAAAACACTAAAAATATATTCAGGTAATACCAATAATTAAAAAATATTTTAAAAATTTTAAAAAAAAGGCTCATATTTTTTAATTATTGGTATTACCTGAATATACTAATTCATAATGAATGAACCCTGATTCATTCGATCATAAAATACACAAATACATTATTTTGCAACATTAGTGTGTTCCTTGGAAATGTTCGATTAATTACCCCAATAAAAAAAACAAAGCCATTAAACGTATCTATATAATGCATCATCCATCGCCAACATGGTTTCCGCTCTGCAACCTAATCTGCCTACCATGAGATCTTCAGGACTGATGATTTCTGGTCCAATCAGATGCTTCTCCTATGGACACAGTGCTAACCTGCAGTGCCTGAGCGTCTATCCCTGCACTCCACCAATTCAATGCTTCTCTATTAGAAGCATTAGCCACGGTCTGTGTCCTCAATAAACTCTTAGGTCTTAATAAAGGTCTTAATGAGGAAGTGTCTCCAGTGATTGTCAGTCTCAGAGGCCAACTATTAGACAAATGTAGACATTGCTGTACCTCATCGCCAGAGAAAGCAGGCACGGTCTACGCATCAAAAACACAACATGAAGTTGTAGTGGTTTTGGTGCTAAGAGTGTCCCTTTAAGATCCTAATAAATGCATTACATTATATATACAAAAATATAAAAATAAAATAAGAACTTGAGATGGGGAGAGAGCGGGCAAGATGGTGAAAGAGCGGGCAAGATGGGGAGAGAGCGGGCGAAATGGGGAGAGAGCGGGCAAAATGGGGAGAGAGCGGGCAAAATAGGGGTGAGAGTGCAGGCAAAATAGGGGTGCGAGAGCAAGGGGTGAGCAAGAAAGGGGAGAGAGCGAGCACAAGGAGAGAGGAGAGAGCGAGAGGGGGAAGAGCGAGAGGAGAAGAGAGCAAGAGAGAGCAAATAGAGTGCACTGAGAGTGAGCAAGAGAGGGTAGAGACCGAACAAGAGAGTGGGGAGAGAGCGAGTGGGCAAGATTGGGTGGAGAGATCGGGTGAGATGGGGGAGAGGGTGAGCAAGAAAGAGAGAGAGAGAGAGAGAAAAGAGCGCAAGGACAAAGAGATAAGCAGATGAGCAGAGAGAGAGCAAGAGACGGATAGAACGAGTGAGAGAGTGAAGAGAAAAGAAAGAGGGGAGAGGTAGAGCGAGAGAGAGTGGTAAGCAAGAAAAGGGGAGAGAGAGGAGGAGAGAGCATGCGAGGGGAGAGAGCGATAGAAAGAGTGGTGAGCAAGAGAGGGGGAGAAAGTAAGAGGGAGGAGAGGAGAGAGAGTGAGAGTGAGAGTGAGGAGCAAAACAATAATTATAAAACTGTGATGGCAACTAACATTCTAACATTGGTGGATCGAAAAGACAAAGCTTCCTCAATTCACCATTTGCTGTTAATGTTAAAACAAGCACTAAAAATCAAGCGTTCAATTAAAGGACATATCTACAGTCAGTTATTTCCAAATCATTTATCCAACTTCACCTCCTGAAACTTGAGGAACAATTATGGAACACATGGCATTCCACTAGGAAGGAGTGACTGTTTTATTCATAAATCAAGGTCACATTTCGTGGTGCTGGGAGAGGCTGCAGTATATTCCCCTTGGAAGTTGCTTGGGAAATATTCTATTAGGATTTCCCCTGTTGGTGTTCTGTAGTGATTGTATTATACTCTGAGAGGCAGCATGACAGAAGATACCCTAGGTTCCTCCTTAGCATCTAGAGCAGGGGCATGCAACGTTTGGCACTGCGGATGTTTTGGACTACACCTCCCATGATGCTTTGCCAGCATTATGGCTGTAAGACATTGTGGGAGATGAACTCCACAACATTTGGAGTACTGAAGGTTGCCTACCAAAAGGTTTTGAAGGGGATTACTTTAATAATAACAACACCTATAAGGTTAACCACATAAAACCTCACTAAAGCACGGTTCATGGTGTGTACCTCTTACCCAAAGAATGCCAATACCAGGTTCTGCTGCGGCTTTAAACACTGACAAAAGAAGCCAGACTTACAATGAGAGGAAAAAAAACACTTCAACTCTCAAGGATACTATAAAAGAAAGTCACCCTTCATCTCTTTCAGTTACGGCTGGAACAAACACAGGGCACAGGGAGCACGTCATCAATGCACTCATATGTTTAATGCTTTAGTAGAACTTCTACAGATCTCACTGGTCTGTGATGAAGTGTCACTAAGGCACGGAACAGGTAAGAGCATTAATCCAGCGCAGCCTCTGTTTTTAAGTATCCTTGTGGACTATGGTGGTTTTTCTTCATGTGAAGCAGGGTTTAAAGGGCCAATTAAAGACTCATAATCCCATGTATAATCTCAGTGAGTTTTATAGCACCAGTTCATAAAATAAAGCTTCACTGTAATGAAGTGGTTAAGGTACTTATGGCGAACTTTAGAAACCCAGATATTTCGTAACTAAACAGATCCTGGATCTGGGTGTATGGGGACCAGACACATACATCCTCTTCACCCAAGGCTTCATCCTGTAAAGTCTAAACATCAGATAAATGTTTTTTGCTTCCTGATAGCAGTATTTATATGTACACTCTTACTTACCACGGTGCTACATAACCAACTCCCATCACTCTCAGCCAAGTCTTTGGTTTCTGGAATCCGCTCAACCACAGTAGATACACCAAGACTTACTAAACAGGATAAAAGGCAAAACAAGTATTATTCTCTATAAAAATGTCTATTAATCTAAAATGATAGATACTGCACTACATAATTTGCAGGACAAAAAGTCATTAGCACCGAGGGGGGGTTGATATTTTTTCCCCTGACAGGACTTTGTATCTTCACGGCACATTCCCACAAAATGTTTGCATGTACATTCAACCCCAATTAACTGTTGAGGATGTTCAAAGTTTCCTTTCTCCCCATTAAATGTCAAATAGAAAATGTGGGGTGTTATCAGGATGGCAGAGTGATAAGAGTTAGTTAAACGTTGAGATCCAAGAGAGTGAAAAAACAGAAAAGGATATAGAGAATATAGGGAGAAGAGGTGTGGAAGGGACTTATAGGATACAGGGTGGATAAATGTGGAAAGCCATGAATGGAGGAGAGGATAGACAGACAGGAATTCAGTACAGAACACCCAGGTACACCACCAGTGAAATAGCATGAGAATGATAAAACCCAATTATACATTTACCCTTTTCTCACATGAAAGTAGATACAGAAAGAACAACAAATACACAAACAATATCTACAATAAAAAGGTTTCAAAATAGTGTAATATCATCAAAATGCCTTGAAAATAATTTGACTTATTTAAAAGTGACAGATTTCTACTCCCCACCCATCGGTCAAAGCGGCAACCTCCATCTTGCCTCCCTGGTACCCCTCGCCATGGTGACAGCCATGGATGGAATATAAAGATGGCTATCGAAAGATGCCCTGGGATTCACCCAGCATAGACAGACAGGATTCAGTATACCGTAAAACACACACAAAAAATGGGAACAAAGTGGTTTTATTCCTTAAACATTTGACATCAATAAATGTATCTACATTCCTGCCCCCTTATATGCCCAGACTGCAACTTCTCAAAAAGTCCACTCACCTGTGACAAAGAAAAGTCAAATAAAAAGAAATTTAGACACCCAAATGCCGGGTTCTACTGGGTGATATTCACTATATTCTGAATTGTACTGAGATAAAATCTGAATATAGTCAATTCTCCAACTCTGCTATAGTCACAGGTTGCCTGTTTCCCCCTCAGATTTCAGAAAAAGTGTTTTTTTCAAGGCGTTACTATTCGGTGTTTAGTGAATAAAGTCCTCAGTGACAGCTTTCCAAGCTCCCCCCCTCACCTCCCCTCCCTCCCCTCAGCCAGCCGCCATCTTGGCAGCATCCCTGGTACCCGTTGCCATGGTGACGGGATGGATGGAGTATAAAGCCCGCTGCCGGCGGGGGCCCCGGGATTCTCCCGCCATGCTCAGACCGCGGGATCTCCGCCGCAGCTCGGGCACCCGGACCTTCCTGGAGGCCATGCACGGGGGGAAGGTGCACCTGGCCCGCTTCGTGCTGGACGCGCTGGACCGGCGGATAGTGAACTCCCCGGCCGGGGAGCAGGGCCGCACTCCGCTCATGTTCGCCGTGTGCCTGCGGGAGGCCGAGCCCCGGGCCAGCTTCGTCCGCCTGCTGCTGGATAAAGGGGCGGCGGTGAACGGGCAGGACGGGGCGGGCCGCACGGCGCTCAGCCTGGCCTGCGAGCTCGGACACCTGGACGCCGTGAAGCTGCTGGTGCAGCGCAGCGCGGACCCGGAGATCGCGGACCGGGCCGGGAACACGGCCCTCATGTACGCCGCCTCGTGCGGCCGCAGCGCCGAGCTCGCCTTCCTGCTCCGCTCCTACAAACGGTTCGGCCTCCGCCTGGACACCACCAACCGGGCCGGGCTGTCCGCCCTCGGGGCCGCGCGGGGGGCCGGGCACCGGGAGTGCGAGCGGGTGCTGAGCGGCGGCCGGTCCCCGCAGAGAGAGGGGCCCCCGGGGGCCACCGTGCGCAGCCCCAAGCCGCTCTCCCGGCAGGTGCTGGAGCGGTTCTCCCGGCCCTTCTCCCAACGCCCCCCGGTGTCACCCGGCCAGGACCCCCCGGGCTCCAACATGCACCGGGCTCACAGCTGGGAAGGGCCCGGGGGGAGCTCCGCTCACTGCAGCCGCCTCCTCCGCCGGGTCACCTCGCCAGACTTCTGCCAGGGGCTGCCCGGGGGCATCCTGCCCAACTACCCCGGGGACCGGCTCCGGAGGGAGAGGAGGGACAGCAACTGCAGCCGCAGCCAACTCATCCTGCCCGGCAGCGGCCAGCCACTAGCCCTGTGACTGGAGGGAGCCACCGGCCAGCAGCTGGGTACTGGGGGCATCACCTGAGACAAAGGGCAGGAGCCACTGCCAGGCAATCCTTAATCTGATGGACTAACCTTTAACCTATGGGGCATGGCACTGCCAGGCAATCCTTAATCTGATGGACTAACCTTCAACCTATGGGGTATGGCACTGCCAGGCAATCCTTAATCTGATGGACTAACTTTCTACCCATGAGGTATGGCACTGCCAGGCAAACCTTAATCTGATGGACTAACCTTCTACCCATGGGGTATGGCACTGCCAGGCAATCCTTAATCTGATGGACTAACCTTCAACCTATGGGGTATGGCACTGCCAGGCAAACCTTAATCTGATGGACTAACCTTCAACCTATGGGGTATGGCACTGCCAGGCAAACCTTAATCTGATGGACTAACCTTCAACCTATGGGGTATGGCACTGCCAGGCAAGCCTTAATCTGATGGACTAACCTTCTACCCATGGGGTATGGCACTGCCAGGCAATCCTGAATCTGATGGACTAACCTTCAACCTATGGGGTATAGCACTGCCAAGGACACTTACCTAGTACTAGAGGGAGCCACTGACTGGCTGCTGTGCATTTGTGGCATCACCTGAGAGCAGGAGCCACAGCCAGGCAATCTTTTCATCTGAGCCTAACCTTATACCCATGGGTTAAACTACTGCCAGGGACACTAACCTAGGACTGAAGACAACACTTCACTGACGGCCTGACCATATACCCATGGGGTATGACCTAGGAGTGGAGGCAACAGTTTTATCTGATGGACTAACCTCATAGACATGGGTTAAGTTACTACCTGATGGACACTTTTTATACAAGATGCAGTCATATCTTACCTGATGGGCAGGTAGCCACAGGGAATAAGGTACTTGAAAAGCATTCTGCCCAAGAGAAGAGGAGCTGCCATGCTAGGTGTCAACATATCTTCTACCCACACACTGCCATGCTAGATCTGGACATGCCTTCTACCCACACACCACCGTGCTAGATCTGGACATGCCTTCTACCCACACACCACCGTGCTAGATCTGGACATGCCTTCTACCCACACACTGCCGTGCTAGATCTGGACATGCCTTCTACAAAGAACTCCTACTACTCACAGACAGACTTTCTACCCACTGGAATAAGTACTGTTGTAGACACAACTTTACATTACTGCAAGGAGAGATGCTATGTGGCTAACTGGCAGCTATATGTGACCAACATGATTTGTCAAACAAAGATTGACCTGCATCTATTTAATGGAGTGAAAGAGTGAGTGTGCAGCAGATCTGGAGTTTATGAAAAGTGCAATTTAAATGGCACCATCAAGCACCAGGAGAAGCATTCTTTGGTAAAGGGTTACAGGATAGGTGAGGTAGTCATGAACATATAAGTTTATTCTATACCGGACTGGCAAAAAAACACAACACTGGTATAGTGCTAATGATTTCTAAAAGAATAATGACATTTTCTAGGGAAAGGTGCAATGGCCTGGAAATATTAATGTAAAGTTACTTAAGTGCCTTGTGGTGGATGTGAAAGGTACAAGATAAAAAAAAAAAAAAAGGTACCTGATCCGTCTGAAAAGAACCAAAGAAAGGACAAAACCATACGGGTCTTCTTGTATAATTGCCTAATGGTATGACCTTAAAAAGACAAATCATTTTGAAATTCATATGATGAGAACAGATTCACTTCTGTGAAATGAATAACAGATGAAGAGTTCATCGCTATGTATGTATTTAGACACATTTATTGCAGGGTAAGACACACCACTAGGTTTTGTTTATAAAAGGGTAGAGAGCATTGCTAGAACATCTCAAAAATCTAAGTTGTCCTCCACAAAACACTGGGAATGCTTATTCAGTAAACATTAAACCCAAAAAAAAAAAAATTTGAAAATTTTTTTTTTTTAGGCCAAAATAACTTAAATGAGAGTTTGCCAGATTTCAGCATTGAGTTTAGTGAATAAACACTTTTTAATTGGGAATGTTCAAGAACTGACAAGTCCAACTTTTTGGCCAAATTGCAAAACCATCATGATACTCAAAAAAAAAAAAAAAAAAATACAGAATGGTAAAGTTAAATATACCCACAGAAATTGGGTACTTTATAAAATATTGGCAAATAGTGGTTAGCCAACAAATGGTATGGTTAGCCTGCACAATGGAAAAAAAGGGACACTGTATGATGGTCTTATATTACCAATATAACCAATGCAAAGACACAAAGCATCATTGGCGTTGTAGTTCTACATCATGTGGGGATCTACCTTTTGGGCACCCCTGCTTTACACATACTAAAAAGGCACACTCTTAAGTACGTTTTTACTTTAGTCCTTCCATGTTCATTGCCGTGTCTGATTAACGTATGTGCACTGTTAACTAGTAACTATCGCAGTTTGTGCTAGATTGTCTCCTAAAACACAAATTTGGGTTATCCAGAAAAAAGTGTGAATTGTCGATAATTCAAAGAGAAATTTAATTTTGAGGGTAAGATAACCAAAGTGAAAACATTATTGTACATACTCTGGTTATTTTTAACTTACAATTTACTTTGGGTTCTCAAGAATTCATTGATTAGTGAATAGCCTTGAAATATACGATCATTTTCAAAGTGAATTTTCCATTGGAGCCTACCAGCATCCCAGATGTTTATTACTATGGCAACAGAAGTAGTTAGACTTTGCATTCAAGAGTGGTTATGTTTTTGGGTTGGTTTAGTAACAGATTTTTTTTTAATTTTTTTTTTTTTTTTAAAGAGGATATCCCTTTATACAGGGTTATTCAATAAAAGTTAGAACTGTCTAAAATTCAGAGTCAACTTTGAAATTTAAGGCTAAACTGTAAAAATTCACCAAGTCCGTTATGCTTCCAGATCAGCTACATTGAATCTTAAGTTTGAAAATTTACTTTAAATTCACAACGAATTTGACAATTTTCACTTAAGTGAATAAGCCCAGTAGTGTATTTTTTTTTTACACTTTTCTATTAATATCTATATTCAAATCTTTAAATATTTTGTATAAATGTATGACATACTACCTATTTATAAACCATTAAACAGATATTAATACATTATCCACATGATGTAACTGAAGAATAAGAATTGTGAATTCAATCGTTTTATAAAATAAGCACTTTCTTAAAAAGTTTGAGAGGGTAATTTTACAAAATCAAATCTGCCTTGTAGAATTGTAGGAATTGTTCACAAAGTGAAAAATAAATAAAATTATGAATTTCTTTAAGAGTATCCCAAATTGTTTTGTAGACCTATATTTGGTGCAGTGTACGAACCACTATGAGACGCGCATTACTTACGGAGTGTTTCAAATAATTATTCAAAGTGCTCAACCTTTAATGATACTTTTTAATTCCAAGACTTGCCTGTGACTGTAATTAATGTGCTAAAAAGTTTATAAAGAAATAATGCCTTCATATTTAGGCAGCCTTTAAAGATACTATATAGAAATTGAACCTCTCAGTGGCTGGACTGTATAGATCTGCAAATACTAAGTAAGCCGGACATTATGTACTAGTATAGGGACCAGGGTGTGATGACAGCATGAATTGTAAACTGGTCCTTAGGGGGTTAAATGGACTTGATATCTGCTTAACATATCTGGACACTAGCAGCATCAGGTAGTTATACGGAGGTGTAACGTAGCAATGTGGTATATTCGTATATATTTCTAGGCAAAACAATACACTTACCTGAAGCATGCATTTGTCTCACCCAAGATCAGTTGGATGCTAGCAGGTTTGTATATCTGTCAGCCCCACATTTATCAATCATCACAAAATGCTGTACCCTAGGGTACAAACCCCTTAGTTTTTAGAACAGAGTTCCAGGTATTAGACAATGAAAACTGAACGAACAGCATTGTCTTAGGGTTATTCACCAAACTGGGATTTGTAGAAAACAGACAAGGAAACAATTTCCTTGTCAGCATGTATTGAATATAATAATAATTCATATTGGGTTTTTGTAAAGGTTACCAATGAACCTCAGCACTGTGCATTTAGGGATTTACTCTCTGAATTCTCAGTTTAGCAAATAAATATAAATCTGAGTAACTAAATCTAGGCAAGAAATATCCAAGCTGCAACTATATGATAATAGAAAAATTTTCCGCTTTGCTATTTTTGCATTTCTAATTTCTACAATTTAAAGTTTAGTCAGTGTATCCAAAAGTCCTGGATCTATTGACATACATTTAGCTAACTTGCTTAAAGGGATACTGTAATGCTAGGAATACAAGATTGGGTGGGGGGGACTGGGGCTGCTAATGTGCATGCACAACGAGCACATTACACCCTCCCCATAGGAAAGCACTGCAGCAATGCTTTCCAGTGGGGATTTTGATGATGCTGGATGTCCTCGTACAGAGCGTGAAAATGTCCAGCATCAGTTCGGCAAGCAGGAAGTGCCTTTAGTGGCTGTCTGATTGACAGCCACTAGAGGCAGTCTTACCCTGCAATACAATTATTGCAGTTTCTCAGAAACTGTAATAATTACCATTGCAGGGTTAAGCGGACAGAGACATTGCACCTAGACCACTTCAAATAGATGAAGTGTTTCTGGGTGCCTATAGTGTCCCTTTAACTATAAACTTAATTTAAGAAGAGACTTGGGTAAAAAGAATAGTGATTTAGTTACAATGCATAATCATATGTTGCATAAGTCTGTCACAGTGCCAATGCTGCGCATACATATATATGTATATTTAGACTTGTGTAAAGATTAAGGGCCGCAAACTTTACAGAAGTCATCCGTGCAATATCGCCTGTTCATTATGTTATAAGAATGAAGTACGGAATTCTAAAACATGATCAGTCCTATGTATTAATGCTAAACCTAACCAATAGAGTTTTGGAACAAAAAAAGTCTAAAGTTGTGTTTTCCCCCAGGTTACAAAACAATTAAACTCCTAATTTGATCACTTGTCCGTATGAACAAATGCTTGTCCAAACCAATAGATGACATTTCTAATGCCAGCTCTTGCTGAACTTGTTATAGTCAGAACAGTAAGTTTCCTAGAATGTTCTAGTGAACACTCGTTGTGACATTAAGGTTATAAAATTGTATAAAATAAAATAAACTGATTGCATGTAAGACTTCCTTTACTCATCAGTTTTTAGTGACAGTCCCAGATGCAAATTTTCAAACAGCAGTGGAATGCAGATGAATATTCTAATCTCTCCCTGGCTTCCTGTCTGTGGGAATTTTAGAGACGGTTTATAAAAGGATAAAGTAATTTCTGGAGAATGTCTTCTTCTAGCAGATCTCAGGAAGGAGAGGAACTGGAGATTGAGTGATTCTAAACAAACTAAAACAATCATCTTCTGGGAAAAAAAAAAAACACAGTGTCAAGACCACGAAAGCATTTATTAAAACATTTCTGTTCAAAGTGCGTGGGTACAATATGTGACAGCCGTTGGAGATCAGGGTAAGGAACTGGTCATCGGTTTTATACCAGAGGTGCCTAACCAGCAGGTGTGCTCACTGAATTAGGTTTTATTAGGAATTGTGACGAATTGCCGATTGCCAGACTGTAGAAAAAAATTTCAGTTCTGCTATTTTTCCAGTTTGTTTTGGTCTCAAATCGGCAATTCTTCAGTCAATTCCTGATCATTTTCAGTTTAGCGACCAGATGACAAAGATTTATACATTTCTAATAGTTTTTCTGTTGTCAACTCATATGACAAGTAAAAGTCAAAATTCAGCTAATCCAGTTGCTGTGGTTTGAGGTTTAAAAATACAGGGAGAAATAGAATTATACATACAAACACACACACACACGATGTATGTTAAAAGGCAAAGAGTGAAAACAGCAACAAACTCGATGGGGCTCTCTACAAAATACCTGAATTCTGTCATGCCCCCCCCCCCCCAAAAAAAATAACCATACATCCCCCCAAAGAATTGGGGGGATATATAAGAAAAGAAAGAATCTTGCTTTGTGTTTATATTAATTTAGTTGGGTTATTCAGTAGTCTACATTGTTGGGAATTCAAAGTAGATTTCAATTTTTAGGTCACACTAGTCAAATTACAGACAATATACATTTTAGTGAGGAACTGACTCTATAATCCTTTGTACTCTTTTGCTGGCGCTATATAAATAACAAAATAATAATTATGTACTAAACACTGTATTTTAGGTGACAATCCTAACCAACTTTTTAAAACTCAAGACAAAATCAATATTTGGAAAAATATTCTCTGATTCTGCTATTTCTACCATATATTTTGCAGGCTGATTTTCAAGTCACTTTACCTGTAACTATATATATTATCTTGCAGGCTGATTTTCAAGTCACTTTACCTGTAACTATATATATTATCTATCTCTCTTAGAAACCCGGTAGCACCTAGCAGCAAAGTTCTTGAACCTCAGGGTATTAAATTTGCACCATGTTCCTATTTTAACACTTTTGTAAATCTCACTTTTTTAGAGGAACAATCACCATGGAAACAAATAAAGTCACCATGAACATTCCATTGGTTTCCTTGGCAACTGGTCTCTCAGAATTTTGACACTATTAAAGCTTTGCCTCACTTTTCTATTAGTTCTTCTGACCTTCCTTTCTATATTATGAGCCGTACAGACTATATTCACCAAGAAATGAAAGCCTTGAAGACTGTAGCAATAATACTGTTGTAAGGAATGGACTGTACACAAGCCTGATCTTTCACTTCTTGGTGAATAATTCAATTTAGCATCTTGGTTCACAGCGCAGCACTTTTTTTTTTAAGGAAATAGAACTATATGGCTCATGGGCTGTGTCCTGTCCTGTGTTTATTGAACTATTATCTTCGCTTTAGTGGCCATACTTTTTTTTGATGCAAAATAATAAGGTACATACATTTTTTATATATATCTCTATATATCTCTGTTGAAATTTTTTTTTTTTTTGTGAATGCAGTATGATTAAAGCAGTGTGTATTGTCTCTGTCATAAGCACAGCTTACACTGCAGGCTATTTTGAGCCAGGATATAGTCTTGACGCCACGATAGGGCAGAACACGCTATGGTCAAAAGCAAACATGGAAGGCTACAATGAATAGGATTTCATGTCACCACAACTGTGTTTTACCGTCAATAAACACTGATTACCAAGTGTGACAATTACATGTATGGTATGTGATAATTTTTTTTTGTTTTGTTTTTTTAAAGCTTAGTTCATCCAATAGTGTATTGCTCTGCCACTTCGTCAAATGACAAAGACTAATAACGCAGATCCAGAAAAAAAAAAAAAAAAAAGTCAAAATAGTCATTGCGTTCTCTGTAGTGATGATGACTCCTGCCCCCTCTGCTGGTCATATGAAGAAGTTGCCTTCAGTAGAATATTTAAGTTAAGTACCTGCTTCCAGTTAAAGTTTTAAAAAATAAAATAATAAGGTGCATCTGCTGTGGTCTTTTGAACATCATTCTGTATTCCAGTGTAAAAATAAAATATACGCCTTTTACTGCTAAAAAAGACAAGCAGTGCAAATACATTGTCTTCTAGCAGCAAAGAGCTTAACGACTGTAAACAATCACATTTAACCCTGTTAAAAGGTGGGAAAGAATGTAAAGGAGTGTAAGCTCTTGGAATTCCAAGTAGCTCATTTCTTTTACCACCACTAATTATTCTCAGTGAGTAGCGTACCATCTCTGTACCATTAGAAATGTTCCCAAAATCGGAGTTTCACACCACAGATATCAGGGTGAGGAATTCACCAAACAGGTACACTAGATTCCTCACCCTACATTCAGTAGATGAGATGGTCTGGCATGAGATTCAATTCTTTCTGTCGAAGTTAAAGGCTGCAGTCCTTGCTCCACTACTAACAGTTGGAGTTTCTCTTGTGATACTGTTGGATCAGAGGAACCAGGCATTCTGGGAGTCCAGACTGTAACAGGAAAAAGTGGTCCAGGAGTTGCTGTGCTGTAGCCCTTTCTGATGCTTCTCGAATCAACATCCTCTCCAGGAAATCTCTTAGAATGGGTGAAGCCTAGGGACAGAACACAGGAGATCAGTGCAAACAATTGACAAAAATTCGAACAAAAAGTTTCTTATCTGAAAGGAGAATTGTAGCAGCCTATTCAAGACAACTCTCTTCTCAGCCAATGTGACAGTGACATATGCAAGGAGTCAATACCTCTTAGAGCCAAAGTACACTACTTACAGTGACATGTCCAAGCAGTCCCATCTAGGACTAAAGTGCACCAATAGGTTGAGATCTTTGAATCATTAAGACTTTTTTGTTTACCCAAATGTGAATCAGGGGAGAAATGCAATGATTGTACTGATCACTTTGGTTGGTTCTGATTGTCATTAACACTTATGTGTTTAAGACACATTCATGCTAGATGTGCGTTCGCAACACTAATTTTCAAAGGTTTAAAAATAATATCAGGTATAAAGTATTACTTTACTGAGAGGGTAGTGGATGCATGGAATAGCCTTCCAGCTGAAGTGGTAGAGGTTAACACAGTGAAGGAGTTTAAGCATGCGTGGGATAGGCATAAGGCTATCCTAACTATAAGATAAGGCCAGGGACTAATGAAAGTATTTAGAAAATTGGGCCGAATGGTTCTTATCTGCCGTCACATTCTATGTTTCTATAAGCACAGGATAAGAAAAATAAAAAAGAAGAATTGGTCAAATATATGTTAATTAGTTTGAAAAACACATTAAAAAATGCAAAAAGATTCATTTTATCTTGTTATGGCAACACGGGCATGTTACATCAATGTGTCTATTAGAAATGCTAGCAGCTGGAATTAGTCAAAGTGACACAAATATAAATTCCACAATTTCCTGTTTACTTAATTCCGAACTACCCACTACTGGAAGCCCCCCCTCCCCGCGGTAGCTTGCCAATGCCAACTTTAATTTAGTTTTTTTTCTTTTATGTGTTAATGTGTGAGATATAAATTCTCCTACCATTAGATTGTAATATTTCCTGTTCTGAATATGCATGTCTCGGCACCATTAGAGTGCTCAAGGCCAAATATTTTGTTAGGCAAGCTGTCAATATTTCTTACATACTAGCTCAATATTACAAGATATTGGATACTTTTAAACTAAAATTACATACGTAAACCTATACGTTTGGGAACAAAAACAAAGCAAATTTAACCCAATATGGAATGACCGACTGATCAGTGAGAATCTCAAATAAGAAAATTGCATTTAAAACGTAAAAAAATTAGAGAGATCAGTGGCATCCTTTAGAGTATATACCCTGAGCAGCCACAATATTAAAACCACCTGCCTAATATGTAGGTCCCCCTCTTGCTGCAAAAAAAAAAAAAAAAAAGCTCTCTTATAAGAGCTCTTATCGTGTCCTGTGGTATCTGGCACCAAGACATTAGCAGCAGATCCTTTTAAGTCCTGCATGTTGTGAGGTGAGGCCTCCGTGGATAAAAATTGTTGTTCCGGTACTTCCCACAGATGCTCAGTTTGATGTATGGGGAATTTAGAGGCCGAGGCAGCACCTTGAGCTCTTTGTCGTGTTCCTCAAACCATTCCTGAACATTTTTTGCAGTGTGGCAGGGTGCATTATACTGCTGAAAGAGGCCACTGCCATCAGGGAACACCATTGCCATAAAGGGGTGTAAATGTTCTGCAACAATCACTAGGTAGGCTGTTTTGGAGATGCTCTGACCCAGTTGTCTAGCCATCACTATTTGGCCCTTGTCAAAGTCACTCAGGTCTTTTCAGTAGCCCATTTTCCTGCTTCCAACACGTGAAATTTAAGAACTGACTGTTCATACAACCCTACATATCCTACCCCTTGACAAGTGCCATTATAATCAATGTAGTTCACTTAACCTGTCAGTAGTTTCAATGTTGTGGCCGATCAATTGGCAGATTTTGTAACCATTATCAGACATATAAAATGGCATGAAAGTATCATCCAGATGATAGCATTTATTTAAAATGTTGCTAGAACATTCACTACAGTTCCACACTGAAAGTCACAGTTTCAATTTCAACACAGCATCTGGCATAACTGTGCCATATAGCACCCAGGCCTTATTTTCTTAAGGGAAAGCAATTTATTTTAAGATAGTACATTGAATTAAGGCATTTCAATAAGAAAAGGGAAAGCAAACTCATTTTACACTTATTTTAAGAGGTGTTCATTCCCCCCTGGTATTTAATTCCACCACAGGACACTTAAATCAGAGTAAAAGGTACTAGCTCTAAATATACAGTAGATTATTATTAAAACAAGTCTAAACCTAATACTGCCCTCGTACTAAATTACTTATACAGCGCCATAAGGGACTTTCAACAGAACATAAAAATTCCTACACAAACTGATACACACACACACACACACACACTACAGAGGCTCTGTCATCATTCATACTTTTTTCACTGTACCCCCTTCTTTGACTCTCTAGCTTCTTAAAGGTCTGCTCCCATGTAACCCATCCTAATCCAAGCGGGCACAATGTTCATTATCCTGGCAGTGACTAGTAGTCTGTTTTTGTTTGCCCTTACTCCAGTGCTATGGGAGATATGCTCACTGAGCATGCCCAGAAACCAAGAGGCAAATATGTACTGGGCATTCGCGACCCTCGGGGAATGACTGAGGCTTGTCATTATAGGCAAGGGATGCGACCCGGAGGAGAGTACTCCAGGAAAATGGAACTTGATGAATCTTGACAGAGAAAGTAGAGATTGCCTTAAATTTATACAGATTAGGATAGAGTAAGGGAAGAGGAATCAATTGGAGAAAGGTAGACTTAGGGTGACAGATCTGCTTTAATTGTAGTTTAAAATCTTACTTAAAATGTTATTACAGAGCTAGCTGATGCGGAATGTCCGAGAAATTTTGGGTACAGTGTTGCTGTGAATTAGAGGATCCTGGAACATACAGGTGTCTTATCATACCATGTAAATCAAAACAACGCATTGGAAACATACAATATGTTTAAAGGGAACTGGCAGTACCAAAAGTTATCAGTTTTAGAACTGTAGGTTCACTTCCCTTTGCTACTGAAAAAATGAAAAATAAAGAATTACTCACCTCACTTCCAGGAACGGGCTGCTGAGTAAATTTTTCATATTAAATAACGGTCATCAAGCTAAAGCCACATACTATATTAGTCAGAAAAGGCTAAACACTGGTGTGGCCAATGATTGCTTACACAAGTACTTTAATCTGGTATTCAATAGCTCTAGCAAATATTTTCTAATTTCCTGTTATTGAAAAAACACACACACATTTTTTTCCCTTAGATGAAGTGACTGACTTACCTTATGAGCGTTCCTAAATTTGGGGGGAGGATTATCACGCAACCTTTTCATAGCCTGAACAGGAGAATCACTGAAATACGGCGGTTCGCCATCCACCATCTCAATGACCATAATACCTAGAGACCAGATATCCACCTGCCGAAATATCACAGCAATATGAAATATATGGATTAGTAATGTGTGTTGTATGAGGTCCACACAAAGCGCTTTATAATCCAGACAGAACAATCCACACATCCGTCCATTTCTAATCTCCATCCCTAGGGGAACAGACCCGCTCACGTTCAGTACAGATTTATTATTTATACACGGATCAGTCATTTAGTGAAATCCACCCAGTCCAGTAAATTAGAAATGGATAAGCACAGTTGGCAAAACAATTTGTGCTTTTACCAGTAGGACATTCCTCATTGCTGCTGCAGACTAAAAATTCTCAATCCCAATTATGAAATGAATTCATGGTGCCAAAAGTATTTTATGTAGGTAAATTCTGAGATTCTAGTCTGGGTGTTGGAGGAAAATAATGTCTACACATAGACATACCATTTATGCACAGTAATCAATGTGTATGTATTATTGGTTAGTCTGTGACGTTTAGGCGAACAGGATGGCCGATATGTCTAACTGAATCCATCCTGAATATTGCTGGGTTTTCTAATCAGAGGAGAGATATAAAGCTTACAAGGTGATGCATAGTGAGGTCTGAAGGATGACAATGGACAAGAGATTCTGATGAAGAATATGTTATTTTAATATTACCTCTATTCCATACGAAGATCTCACGATGACCTCAGGTGCCATCCAGTATGGGGTACCCACTAGAGATTTTCTCTTTGGAACATCTTTGCTGATTTGTGCACAAAATCCAAAGTCGGAAAGTTTGATCTACAAAACAAATAGTAAGAAAATTCACACATCATGTATTATAAGTCATTTGTTTATAAGGTTTAGTTTTCTGGAAATAAATTCCGTTTGCAGATGATGGAGTCAGGAAATATTGGCTTGCAAAACGGTTAATAAATGACAACGACATATAAAGTATGTGCACATCTTGTTGCTATAGGGTCCAATTTTAGAAGTGTACAAATATGGTTAGGGGTACACTGTCACAACAAACAAACAAAGTCCTTTTTTTGTACTATAAATTCTGTCTAAACAGATTGCAAGTGATAGGAGTTCGGATACATCTTATGTCCATATACCATGAGTACATGCTATAGCTAAACCAAGTAGTAGATTGAGTTGATAAAAATTGTCTAGTACATAGTACAATTTTACAATCCTTTTTAATCCCATGAACCCCACTCAGGAAGGATAAGCCAAATGGCAAATGATTTCGTTACACTCCAGAAATGGTCAGAATTGTGGCAACTGAAATTTAATGTGGATAAGTGCAAGATAATGCATCTTGGGCGTAAAAACCCAAGGGCAGAGTACAGAATATTTGATAGAGTCATAACCTCAACATATGAGGAAAGGGATTTAGGGGTGATTATTTCTGATGACTTAAAGGTAGGCAGACAATGTAATAGAGCAGCAGGAAATGCTAGCAGAATGCTTGGTTGTATAGGGAGAGGTATTAGCAGTAGAAAGAGGGAAGTGCTCATGCCATTGCACAGAACACTGGTGAGACCTCACTTGGAGTATTGTACACAGTACTGGAGACCGTATCTTCAGAAGGATATTGATACCTTAGAGAGGGTTCAGAGAAGGGCTACTAAACTGGTTCATGGATTGCGGGATAAAACTTACCAGGAAAGGTTAAAGGATCTTAACATGTATAGCTTGGAGGAAAGACGAGACAGGGGGATATGATAGAAACATTTAAATATGTAAAAGGAATCAACACAGTAAAGGAGATGACTCAGGGGTGTTGACATTTTAAAAAACAAAACAACATAAACTACTTGTGAGGGACTAAAGAGTTTGCCCAATCTACTTGTCTTAATACAAAATATTTTTCTTTATCAAAACCGTATTTAAATAATTTATTTATTGATAGTAATTTAGGAGACAGACCGAACAATACTTCAATGCAATTAACAAATGCAAGTAGTGGTAGTGAACTTAAACAGAATAATTTCCAAGTGAGAATTGTAGCTTTCTTTATCAAAAAAAATAGAACTATAATTAACTGAGGAAACCTCATGAGGCCATTTATATCCATTGACATGCTTAGTTACACTGCTGAGCCTACAGCAGGCAATGCTGCAGACTGTGCTGGCTCTCTTCATGGGCAGATGGGAGGGGCCTCGCACCCGGCGGCAGACAGGGCAAGCCGCCGGGCTCCCTTCCAAGGTCAGGTCCTTTGTCATGGACAAAGGACCTGACCAGTCATTCTGCTGCTAGCCCGAAGCAAGGCTAAACTAAAAAAATTAACTACCTGCCCCGGCGCCCAGAATTGCATGTCCCGGGCATCGAGCCATAGGAATTGCGCATCGCTGAGACTATATTTAAAAGAACAAAAACTACCACAACAAGAGGAAATCGACTTAAATTAGAGGGGTAAAGGTTTAAAAATAATATCAGGAAGTATTACTTTACTGAGAGGGTAGTGGATGCATGGAATAGCCTTCCAGCTGAAGTGGTAGAGGTTAACACAGTAAAGGAGTTTAAGCATGCGTGGGATAGGCATAAGGCTATCCTAACTATAAGATAAGGCTAGGGACTAATGAAAGTATTTAGAAAATTGGGCAGACTAGATGGGCCGAATGGTTCTTATCTGCCGTCACATTCTATGTTTCTCTTTATTTTGCTAAATGCCGTGGGTCATAAATCAAAAACTTTATGATGGAAGCAATCAAATAGCAAGATTGTAGAAAATAAGGGAAGTATCTCACCCGTCCATCCAATGTGAGAAGGATGGAATCGCTCTTGATGTCCCGGTGAATTACACCCTGGGAATGAAGGTATTCAAGAGCTTGCAGTACAGACTTCGAGACTGTTGCAATTTGCTCTTCATTTAACCTACAATAGAGAGAGAAAAACACAAAACACAACACATTTAAAAAACAATTATATAGGTTTTCTTTTTTTACTCAAGCTTTTTTTTGGAGTCTGCCTAGATCAGTCTTTTTTTTTTTCTGCAACTGCTATACCTCGACCGGTTACCTCCACAATTAAAGGTCCACCTGGTAATTCGGTTAGCCATGATCTGACTGCAAACTTCAGATCAAGCAAGTGTGACACACACACACACACACGAGGGCAACTTAAAATGACACACATACTGCAACATGGATAAAGTAAAGTTTAAGACTCTTTATTGCTCTGGTATAAGAAAACGAATGTATGGATATACAAATCCTTTCCTAGAATGCTTTATGGTAAACTATAGGTTATAGCCCTTTCTAGCAAAACACACACACAAAAAAAACAAGTCAATGCCAAGTTATGACATTTTACAGCGACAAGAGTAGAAATCATAGCAGGTACCATTCTTAACAAGAATTTCTACTTGGGTTTTCCAAACGGTTTATCGATCTGGAAGTAGCTCCCTAAATCTAACTTGTCTCAATCTGCTTGCTCTATAATGGATATAATTTAGTACATTGGATTTTACATGCTTCCGAAACAGGGAAATCTCCTGAAGTCTTGGGCAATACAATTTAAGATTTTGAGGACTTTGCAACTGACCAATGATCAAGGCGATTCTTTACTGTGTTCAAAGTGCAAAGCTGGGGGGGGGAGGAGCTAAGCACCGAGCTGATCAGACGCCATTGCTGACAGCTCCGGCTCTAATCTCTACTATCTCGCCTCAATCTGGAGAATCTCCATAGAGCCCACCATCCTAGACCCATACCCCGACTTGCGACACTGAGCTGCATAGATCAATGCCCTTCTTTTTAAAAAAGACAACACCAAAGCGGCAACATCGAGCCAGGGCCTACTCCACGCAGCCACTGCCTGACCTGAAGGCGCCCCTCGGCGGAGTTTACCAAGGCCTGGCACCTTACTTGACTACCGAACACCATCTCAGTCCGGTGGACCACATGCCTGCCATGGGACGACGTTCCCAGAAAGCCAGCAACCAGACAGAAGCGAGAGACATAGGGGCTATGTTACAACGACCTGCTAGGCCCAAACCGGCCCCAGAAGAAAGCCAGACAGCTACCACACAAATGGACCACACTGATGAACCAGGGAGCACCAACTTCGGCACCATACCACCAGCTCCCCCAGGGGGATCGCCACCAGCGACCAAACATGACCTGCAGATACTCCTGCATGATTTCCACAAAATGCTGGCGAAGGAGCTTGCAGGACTCAGAGCTGACTTACAAAGCACAAACGACAGGGTGCGCGCCACAGAGGCTGACATGACAGAAGTCACAACAAATTTGACAAGCTTACAGGCCTCGGTGCAACAGCTCCAAAAGTCCCAACACAATCTGACCCTACACCTGAATGCCCTCGAGAACAGCCATAGACGCAATAATATCAAAATCCGCGGCATTCCAATGAGTGTCACGTCAGAAGAGCTGCCACACTACATAAGAAGGCTAATAGCAATAATATTACCTCCAGCGTTGGCAAGAAAACTGGTAACCGACGGCATATACCGGGTAGCAGGCCCCCCAAGAGCTCCCTCACAAACAGCACGTGATGTCATCCTACGCTGTATATCCTCACTAGACAAGGGACAGATAATGGCGGCACTGCGGGGCAAAACCCCACTATCATTTGAGAATTCCAGCCTAACCTTTTATCAAGACTTAACGAGGGCCACCCTCCAATGGCGCCGGTCACTCCACCCAGTGACCCAACAACTGCAAGCAGCCAACATGAGCTACAGGTGGGGGGCACCAGGATCGCTGCTGGCCACTCACATCGGGACTACCCACACACTTACCTCTCTTGCAGAAGCCCCGACCTTTCTTGAAACTCTAGGACTGAAAGCGGCGGACACACAAACCTTAGAAGGAACCTGGGACCCGGATAATAGTGTCCTTCATCCCATGCACCGCCCCAGCACACCAACAGTCCACATGAATGCAGCAGAAAGAAACAATCCCAAGGACACTGCATAAAGAGTATGAATAACTGGGCTCTACGGACACCACTAACAATAGAATGTTTATTTACTTGTTGATATGTTACTCAGCATAGCGCAGCTCAAATTAGGGCTCGAATGATAGAGACTTATGCCTATACTTATATTAAGAATGTTTATACATCAGTTCATGGTTCACAAGTTGTACAGCATGGCGCAGGTCAAATCCTGACATAAATGAAAGGGTTTCCTACCTACATGTACCTGACACAGGGACCCCCCCCCCTTAAGGGCCCTGAATCCACCGCAGACACCTACCACTGCGCCAACTCGTACACATCCAGTAGACGAGATGACAACCCCCCCCCCGCTGGCCCCCTTGGTTAGGGGTATCAAACAGTACACACCTATCACTGAGCACCACACTGAGAAAATGCATCCGAAGGGATGGCAAATACACACGCGATCACTGCAAAACCTTACCACAGATACGCAGCCTCCCACACCGGAATTAATCCCACATATAGGATCTACATGGTACTGTATACTAAGAACATGGTTCAGAGCCACTAATGATACCTACCTACAACCAAAGCATCTTCTCTGCACACATAGTCTCAGAACCACGAATCCAACCTTAATTTCAGGCTTGATATTACTCATGAGAATTGACATGTCTTGTACACCTTAGGGAGATCTCATTTAACCTCTGACATGCCCTATCAAACGCAGTAGATTCACAAAAAAGTGCTGTATAATAATTAATAACTCTTTGTCACACAAATGTATGCCTGTTTATAACCTATCTCTGCTGTTGTGGCAGAATAGGTACTTTTTGTACCATTTACGCATGACAAAATAAAGAATAAAAAAAAAAAAAGTGCAAAGCTGGGGAGCTACACAAAAACTGATGGACTGCTACAAGGAAACACTGGTAATGCAGGGGACAGCATGGGTACGGTAGGGTGTCACACAGAAATTCCTAGATGACCGTATTGGACAGTAGGAGACAGCAGGGAGGACGTTTGGAAGCATTGAGAAAACAGAAATAGACCGAGTACTAGTGGGGCGCAACAGGAGGTCTACATGTGATCAGAAGGGTAAAGCGCAGAGACAGCAGTACAAAGAAGGCAACACAGGACAGATTTACCTTTTCATTTTTAGATTTTTTTTTCCCAAAAAATTTAGTAAACCAGGCAGTGCCTGTATACAGAAGAGGAGTCACACACTGGAGTGCCAGAAGGCTTCACAGCACATTCCAATGGTTGAAAGAGTTGGAATATACATGGAAGTTTAATTTACAACTCAATATTTAAGTAAGGCATTCTAGTGTTTGCAGTAAAACACATTAAAGAGCTCTAGCAAAGTATGCAAACAGAGTGCTTCAAGCCAAATATTGCGGTATACATGCTGCCAATATATTCAGACATTTAAACATACCTGGTTTGTGATACTATATCAGTCAGAGCTCCTCCTTGTACGTACTCCATCAAAACCCACAACTCTTCTCCCACCAGATAACTCTTGTACATCTCCACTACATTGGTGTGCTGGTAATCTCTCATAATGACAACCTGTGAGCAATACAGGAGTGGAAGGACCATTTATAAAGACAGGACGCACACTGAAACAATGTGATTACAAGCCATTTATTAAGTTCTCTCCTACACTCCTCACTTAATAGGAAAAATGGTGAGGGGTTAAAAGTGACAATATAGGCACCCAGACCGCTTCATCTCATTCAAGTGTTCTGTGTGCACTTTCCCTGTCATTTTAACTCTGCAATTGTAATTATTGGAGTTACTGCATGTGTATAATGCCCCCAATATCACCTGGCGTTGGGGAAGGAGAACCCTGACCCAGCGCCAAGGGACATCGGCGCTGGATTCAGAGAACGGACAAGGAGTGGGGGGCGAGTAAAGGGGACACTATAATGCTAGAAACTTGGCATTTCTAACACTATAGTTTCCCTTCAATTATACGAGAGCATGGGCAGTGTTTCCTGCACCGTCTATTACAAATTCACCCAATAGAAAAAAAAAAACAAAAAAAACACAGCCTTTACCCATGGGTAGAGGATGAATGGACATAAAAATTGGAGCATGCGGACACTGTTTTTGATTAGTCCACCCAACAGTTCATGAATTGTACCCCATGTTTAAATACGGATTGTTCATTGATTATTCTGGTACCCATAACAAAATACATAAATTATCCAGATGTCACCAAATGGGTCTCTTGTTATTATTATAGTGTCAGCATATTCGGCTGCACTTTACAATCACAGAATAGGGATATCTGACACGTAAGTGACATACAAAATAGAACAGAGACAAGAGGTAGAGTAGGCAATGCTCAATTTCTCAGAGCTGCAATGCATCGTGATTTGCAGGAATATATGGCTCCATATAAGTTCAGTTAAAATATTTAAATAGTATGTACACATTCTTATTTACCCCTGATGGACTAGAAGATAGGCAAATCCCTTTATACAGGACATGTCTGATAGGTTATTGGTCCTTTGCAGGGTTAATATTACAATTTATTTCAAGACCAAGATAGTAGTTGCCCATGGAGATACTGGAGAAGTAAAAAACCCACCTCATTAAACAGAAGCTCTCTTCTCTGCTGTTTTCGGAGATCCATCATTTTCACTGCTACCTGACGTCCGCTGTGTTTCTCCCGTGCAATGCAGACCACTCCTGTTGAACCTTCTCCAATTTTTACATAGTCCTCCAGCAGTAGTCGTGGATCTCCTTTGTCCACCACCATGCGAAGTGCCGTCTTGAACTGCTCATGTGTTACTACAGTAGTGTCTTGGTTGCACCACTGGTTTTTATTAAAGTTGTCCTGACATAGATAAAGGTTAGAGGAACTGGTCTGGATAGGACGGCTGCGCGGGGATCCAGCTGGAGATGGTCGAAGAGGAGAAATACCTTCAACTGGTGCTCCTGAAATCACCCTTGTGAAATCCGGGGATAGACTATCAGGAGGAAGAGAAGCAGCTTTGGCCAAAACTCCACGCACAGATAGATTAGGACGTTGGAACGCATCAGCCTAGACAAAACAAAATATTTCATATTAGGAACAAAAAAAAAACCCCAAAAAACACTTGACTAGTTCCTAAAAATTCATATACTTCTCTAAATTTATGGTTGGCTTACTATTCCATAAGGATTTAATAATCAACAAATTATGAGTTTATGAAATTATGAGGAAATTAGACTTTTTGTGGGTAATAGAGTCAGAAGATGTTCCCTTAATCAAAAACATAATTTTCCAAATGCATATAATGGGACCTCTCCCTCTTCTGGAAGATAGTCTTTGAACTCCGTCCTTGCAGGGATTGTAGTAAATGCGTGTAGACTTCTCCACCCATGCCAGCATATAAGACAGTCACAGCAGTGAATGGATGAGTAAAGTCTAAAGATGCAACAAGATTTAGAATTTGGACAAATTGAAAGAAACAAAACGGTGACTGATAGTTCTGCAACCTAATAGAAATAATTGTTTAACGTTGGTTTGTTTGTGGTTTATGCTCAGAAACGTTGCGTACTCAGCAAACTAAATATTTTGAAAGTTCCGACATTTGAAGTGGAGGAAAGTCACTGTGTGACTTTGGATGGTTTTGAGTGTTTCTTTAAATTGGCTATGTTTGCCCCTATTAATGCTATTCAGATTACAATTAGCTAGAATTCATAGTTTAGATAATAGGCATGGCGGCCATACAGCTGAACGTGCATGGCTGTATCCACCTTCCTTCTTCATTCACCCTTTACCTTGGTGAAGCCTTTAGCCAAGGTGGTGGTGACTCCTTCAATCTTAGCATCCTTACGTGAGGGCCCAATACCTTTTGAGTCATAATTTAAGAATGAATAACTCCTCATGCAAAGACACTCCTAAGCAATTATGGGCAACATTACATCAATGATTCAATGATAACCAGCTCTTGATAAAACTTCTAAACCTCTCTAAAATAACATCAAAGTCCTGAATTTCAACAAAACGAATTTCAAATTAAAAGCCACATTAGCCAAACTAAAAGCATAGCTGACTTGGAAAATGTTTCGAGTTAGTCTATTTTGACCTTCAAGGGATCTTTCATAAACAACAACTTCATTGGAATGAACTTTTGTGCCAGGAAGTCCCTGGCACCATCTTACCTTTAGTGATTAAACCATTTATGAATGGTTTAACCCCAATGTCTTAAATCCATTGCAGTTTAGCTTTGCTATTTCCTCTGATTTCAGTCTGATTTTTGAAACTGGAAGCCTCAAACAAGGTCACTGCTGATTGGTAGAGTGTCAGCTGACGCTCTAAGCCAATCAGTAGCTCCCCAATCACAAATCGGCTTGAGAAGCGTACGCAGTTTTGCGAGTCTTGTGAATAGCTACTGATTAGAGTTGAGTGGACACCTGGATGTTCGGTCCGGCGGGTTCGGCCGAACTTCGAAAAAAAGTCTGGGTTCGGGATGGGGACCTGAACTTTTGGGCACAAAAATGGCTCTAAAAAAATCCTGGAAAGGGCTAGAGGGCTGCAAGAGGAAGTAAAATGGGGGTAAGAGTATGACAAGTGCCCTTCAAACAAATGTGGATAGGGAAATCACTTAAAATAACATAAAATAAGCAGCCTCAAGTGTTGTTACTCCTGTGTCTGTCTCCCTCCAAGTCAACGGTGCTACCATCAGCTCCACCACACATGCTCGCTGCCTAGATGTTCTCTTTGACTCCGACCTCTCCTTTAAACCTCATGTTCAATCTATCGCCAAATCCTGTCATTTCCATCTCAAAACCATTGCGCGCATCCGCCCCTACTTAACGCCAGATGTGACTAAGGTGTTGGTCCATTCCACTGTCTTTTCTCGCCTTGACTACTGTAATCCGCTTCTCAGTGGTCTTACGTGCTCCCAACTTGCGCCGTTACAGTCCATAATGAATGCGGCAGCAAGGCTCATCTTCCTGTCCGCCCGCACCTCCCATGCCTCACCCTTCTGTCAGTCCCTACATTGGCTGCCTATAAAATATAGAGCTCAATTTAAAATTCTAGTTCTTGCTTTCAAATCGCTACATAATGCTGCTCCCACCTATCTATACTCCCTTATACACAAGTATGTCCCGTCTAGGCCCTTACGACCTGCTGAAGACTTACGTCTACCTTCTGTCCGTACTCCCACCTCTGATGCTCGCCTTCAAGATTTATCAAGGGCTGCACCATTCCTGTGGAACTCACTTCCCTCCTCCGTTAGATGCTCACCCAGTCTCCACTCCTTCAAAAAAAATTGTTAAAAACCCACTTCTTCATAAAAGCGTATCAATTAAACTGCTAATAACTCCTGACTGATTCCTCTTCTGCAACTGTCACTAGTCTAATACTATCCTTACCTTTTTGTGTCATTTTACCCCACTCCCTCTAGCATGTAAGCTCATTGAGCAGGGCCCTCAACCCCTCTGTTCCTGTGTGTTCAACTTGTCTGGTTACAACTACATGTCTGTTCATCCACCCATTTTAAAGTGCTGCGGAATTTGATGGCGCTCTATAAATAACATAATAATAGATAGCTCCTAATAACGTGGGAATTTTTATTTAGGGCCCCACCCACCGCTCAGGGGTGGGGGCCCGGGGAGAGGACAATAGGTGTCCCCCTGCCCCATTATTGATATTTAGAGTCCCCACCCGCTGCTCAGGGGTGGGGGCTGGGAGGAGGACAATAGGTGTGTCCCCCCCCCAACTGATATTTAGGGCCCCAACCCGCCTCTCAGGGGTGGGGGCCGGGGGGAGGACAATAGGTCCCCCCTTATTGATATTTAGGGCTCCCACCCGCCGCTCAGGGGTGGGGACAAGGGGGAGGACATTAGGTCCCCCCTTGATATTTAGGGCCCCCACCCGCCGCTCAGGGGTGGGGACAGGGGGGGAGGACAATAGTTCCCCCCGTTATTGATATTTCCCCCGTTCAGGGCTAGGGGCTGGGAGGAGGAAAATAGGTCCCCCCCCCCCCTTATTGATATTTAGGGTTCCCCACCCACCGCTCAGGGGTGGGGGCAATAGGTCCCCCCTTTAGTTTAAAAGCCCCCACTGAATGTTTGTTTTTTTAACAGTGAGCAGCCACAGGCTTGCAGTATAGTAGGGGCATAATTTACAAATTCTAAGTAACCAGTTTATATAGAGTCTGGGTCACATGCTGCACTGGCCAATCACAGCCATGCCATTAATAGGCATGGCTGTGATGGCTTCTAAGGGCACACAAGTCAAACGCTTGTTTGTTTGCTTGTTTCGCTCAACTCTACTACTGATTGGTTGAGTATCAACTGACGCTCTCAGCCAATCATCAGCACCCTTGCAGAGGCTTCTTTTTTCATGAATTTAAGAGCAATGGATGGACTGGGGCCAAGCTAACCAGTGCTGGATTCAAGACTTTGGGGTTAAACCATTAACGAACAGTTTAACTCCTAAAGGACATCCGGCGCCAGGGACCTCTGATTAAGTTGTTATGGTGTTGGGAGTGTTCCTTTAACCCCTTAAGGACAACATGACATGTGTGACATGTCATGATTCCCTTTTATTCCAGAAGTTTGGTCCTTAAGGGGTTAAATTTAAAATCTACTTTAAAGGGAATAACTATAATTGTCTAGTTAAGATATCACCTCAAATGTGGCTTGGTCAGCACGTTGACATATTTCTATGTCTGTGTAGATTAGTTGTTTTTTTGTTTGTTTGTTTGTTTTTTTTAAACACAAATCAAGAGGCTTTTAGGTTTTCTTTTCCCACCATCACTGAAAATGTCTCTATTTCCCCTACCTAACCCTTAAACAATAAGCCCTCATAGGGCAAGTTGTTTGTCCCTCAGTAGAAAATACGCTTTAAGTTTTACGGTGTGTTGATAAAGGAGGCTAAACTTTGCCCGGTGTGGCAATGTGTTATAATGGAACGCAGAGAAAGCTGTTCAAGGAAAGGGATGTTGAAACAATTATTTTATGTGATAATACATTGTAAACGGACGCTGGATGAATAAAATACCTTCAAATAGGACAGTGCAAAATACACAGAAGGCAAGGCACCATATGTGTAATCTTTGTCAATTATATACACAATAGTATATGCATATAAACACACAGAGACACATACACACATTTGCTCTAAGGGTTTAAAGTTTTCAGAAAAGTATTGCTGTAGTAATGCCTGCTCTCCACTAGAGGGAGTGGTCATATTTAGAAGAACAGTTCATATAAAGTAAAAAACGCATATGAACTATAATCACTTGGCACACAGCCAACAATGTACATAAAGTAATAACTGACCTGGCTTAATACGCATGATATAATATCAGAGATTTTGATAAACAATCTTGCGGCAGCTAACTATTTCAGCTTTTGCTGCCAACAGAAGACCGCGTTCAGAAAACAATATTGTTTTAATGTGCACAATGCAAAGAAAGAAAGTGGTGTAGGGATCCAAATACCAACCTCCATCTACCTACCCTCAAGTCAAACCCCCCCCACCATTTCATTCTTATTCCTCAGCTCCCACTATCCTCAGCCATGCGGTCTTTTATTACAACATGGGGTAAGTAGTCAGAAATGGGAGTGGAATGGTGAGCAGTTAGAATCAGGAGAGGGTTGCCAACATTTCAGCCCATGGGGTAGGTACAATGAATGGCCTTTGTTTGCTCTTTAAACAGATTGTGAAAAAGATCTGTGTACACCTATGACTATTTTACATTAATGTGGCTGTGTGGTGTAACTGGGATACACTGTATTTTAGAACCTTTGGAAGTTTAATATATCTTCGTGCTTTAGACTAGTGTGCACCCTTAACTCATTTTTGTTTCTAACGCACCCAACTATGTGTTTAGAAATGTAATGGTCACTGTCTCATCCCACCCTGTGGTCACCTGTTAACACCATACTTCCCCATAGTTTTGCAGTCTGGTACTGCAGTTACTACAATCTACTGGGAAATAATCACAGTTGGCCAGTTCAGTTCTGGAAAGTACTGAGATTGGAAGCCCATGCACAAACCGCACATTGCTGTGTTAGTGAAGATCCTACACATCTGTTAAGTCATAACTGCTATCTTCAAACCTGTCTAATGAGTTCAGAGACACTTGGAGGGGATATATTGGATTAGAAGTTTGTCACTACCTAAAAGTTTTGAAAGCTGTGTCAGAGTTTAGCGTTTCGTTCACGTGTAATAAACCAGTTTACAGTGCGAACCTCTAAACAATGCGTTTCATACGATGCTGAAATCTGGATGTCAATCAGCAGGGCAGAATGACTACTGAGCAAACTAGTGAAATGCCTGATGGGCTACCAATTTGAACATATATTTGTGACATAGTTTGTGCCAGAAGTAGTTACAATGCACACAAAACAGTTAAATTTACACCTACTTTCCTGCTGCATATATGGCATCACACATGGCTTGACTATAAGCACACGATACAAATGACGGTGTGATGTAATTTATGCCAAATGTGGCTATAAAGAGTCTGGAAGGCAGGTCGATTTCAGATTGTGAGTCTTTCACTATAGCTCTCAAAAGATTGACATTACATGGTTATATTTCATGGTTATAGTCCCGATAAAAGCTTGAAGTAAGTTTGTCAGGAATACCCAGTCTAGTTTTCAAGGTTAATAGCCCAGAGGAATTTCATAAATATTCACATTAACATTCCATTAGTCAATTAAAGGAAGCAATGTAGTGTACACTACAAGGAAAATGCTTCTTCTAAAGTACTGCTTTGGACATCATGGACTATATCCAAAACATTTGTTCTTTCAGTTAGAGAGCGGGCAAAAAAGAAGATTAAAAATAAGAATCATATGAAAACATTTTTCTAAACAAACAAAAAAATAATAATCAGTTGAATCTACCAAATTGCTAATTCCAGAATATTAGATCTTCAAAGCAAAATGGTGAGAACCTCGTGAAATATCAGTGACTTCAGCAATTCAACAGTAAAACAACCGCTGAATGGCAGATATAGTTTGAAAACAACTTATGCCTGCGATGGTAGATGGCCAAGAATCAGTGTTTAAAAACAGGGGAATTACCGGGTTTCTCACATTGCAAGGCAGACACCGATTACCTACATACACAGTGTTTATACTTTGACGTTGCCTTGCAAATTGAGAAATCCCATATTACCAGTCTTTCGTTTGGCCAGATTTAGCGTGAAATCTCCTAAAAAGTAAAAAGACTAGTTCTGTAAATCGTACAACATTAACGGACCAAGGCCAGGAGAACACAAATGATTGATTTGTGAGAAGCAAGCAGATAAACCACACAATGAAAACAAGCTAGCTGGGGTCATTGAAAGAACAGAATTCAGCCAATAAAGGGATTAAACAGAGTTACAAAAAATTGAATTATTTCTACATTTTGCAATTCTGCAATTTGAGGCCAGTGTTTTATTAAATTTTTTTTCATTCCAAACAATTTAAACTTTAATAAGTATCCCTGTCATTCTTCATACAAAAAGTAAGAGCTTGTTAGTAAGCCACATACCTAAACTTCAATACAATACTTAATACTGGAGCAAAGCCAAGTTGCGAGTTAATCTCAAGTCTTTAATAAATGGAGCGGTAATTAACTGAGACTTATGGAAACTATGTAAAAAATGGACCGTGACAAATAGCCCTATCATTACAGATCTAAATTAACTGTATTGATCATAAAACGTGTTGCTCTGGGAGACCATATATACACAGCCGACAATTCTGGTGTCCAGTTAGATCAGATAAATTCTTTGATGTAATTATGATCACCTGGAAGAATGACATGAATTCCGAGAGTGGCACGAGATGCTTGTGTAATGTAATAACTGTTACACAGCATGGGTGACCTGAGAAGTCTTTGACTGTACAGACTTGCAAATGTTGCACGCTGATTTATACCTCGTGTCATAAGAGATATTGCTTTAAAAATGTAAGGTCAAGAGCATTTTAGAACTCGCATCCCCCCTCTAGCCATTTTTTTCCCCTCCATCTGAAATTCTCTCTACACCCATCATCACTTGTACCGATAGATGGTACAAGGCGAATCTTCCTAACCTGCCTGGACTGGAAAGGTATGATCCCCAAAAATGAAAAATTATAGACATCTGCCTTCATGTCTCTACTGGTATTTCACTGTTTACACAAGTGGGGCCCTTTAGTGGAGGCTCCTTTCAGTAGGTGTGGATACATTTTATAGTATTCTTAACACAACGCGCAGGGAAACAAAAATCTTTACACTTGTGAATACGAAGATCGATATCTCTGCTGTATCAGCTTCCTCACAAATGTAGGTTTTTAAAAAGACAAAAAACAGACCTGATTCTTACTGCATGAAATACTCAAGTACAGAGAGATTTTTTAAATTACCAGATTTTGAAAGGAAAATTAGAAGAGGTCAATAGGAGTGAAGGGAAGTATTGTGGAAGAATAAGAATGTTACAAACCGATTAGGAGAAGTGAGATATGACGGCAAGAGTTAAGAATAGATCAAGAAACAGCGCTATGGAATTTGCTAGCGCTATATAAATAATAATATGAAGAAGAAGAAGGCAGGGACATCTATCCAGTGAATAAGTGTACTTTTTTTTTTACCTTTTAGAGAGATTTTCATATACTTTATTTTACTATGAAGTAAATGACAATTTGATTTTATTCTTATTTGTGTGAGAAACAACATATCCTGTGCATTCCCCAAAACATGGCGCTAGCAAAGGAGAAAAGGATATTTTTTTTAGGGGAAGAAGGGGCACCAGGGAATTCTGTGCCCACAGTCACATAAAGTGTAAATCCAGCTTTGTGAGTTTTGGCAGGTAAAAGAAGAAAAAGGAAAAAAAAAAAAAAAAGAAGCTGGAAGGGAGAATTGTGGAATGAGAGGAAACGGTTAAAAAGAGTAAAAATATAGAAGAATGGATCTTGTTTCGATCTCCCGGATCTATACTTTAGCTCTGCTCCACTGAATATTTGTCAGTCTAAATACAAAAGTGATTCAAGATACCTGTGCACCAAATACACCTGAGCTAGCTCGCCTCTGTTGATTGCAAATCTTGCTTTGGGAGTTTATTTTGAATATTACGCACATGGTAGAGGACTAACGGCTGTATTTATTTGAAAGGTGCTATTCATTATCTTTCACCAGTTAATGGTAAGCAAACGGTTATAAATTTCTTGCAATTGCAAAAGTAGGCTAAACATTGCACGAGTCCCGAGCAAGCACAAATAAAAGGGTAAGTCAGAGTGTTCTCATACATTCTATTTGGCTTGGAACTGAATACATGTTAATATGGGGGGTATGTTTGGTATTGAGGATATCTGGGGGCTGTTGATTGGAGAGCCTCACAGGTTGCTAAGGGTACAGGCTGAAAGGGAAACAATTTCACAATTCACTGAGGACATGTGTCACCCTGAAAAGTTGTAACAAACGAGTGCCCTTGAGTTACGCCATGAAAGCTGCACAAAATGGGTTTATTTCACTTAAACAGCAAGATAATCAGAGCAGAACAAAGATAATTGTGAGATAATTGCCTAGATTTAAGGCTGGAGCGATCACCATTGGTATTCATTAACAACGGCCAAACTTGTACCCACTACTAGTTATGTCCTTGAAGTTCTGGATTGCGGACAGCTGCCCTAAACAGATTAACTTGGATTAAAAACATGTAAATTGGAAGTACGGTGAGCAACATTTGCACAAAGTACAGTATTTAAAAAATAAACCAAACATGTAATTTATAAAAAAAAATAAAAAAATCATATTATATATATATATATATAAAAAATGCATTTTAAAGGGACATTATAGGCATCAAAACAACTTTAGCTTAACAAAATAGTTTTAGTGTATAAATCATGCCCCTACAGTTTTACTGCTTAATTCACTGCCATTTTGGAGTCAAATCACTTTTGTTTCTGTTTATGCAGCCCTAGCCATACCTCCCCAGGCTGTGACTGACACAGCCTGTATTAAAAATAAATAAAAATTAAAAAAAAGGTTTAGATGTTAACCTACTTACTTTAGAAGTTCTTATCTCCTGCTCTGTAATTTGAACTTTAGTCACATGCAAAGGCTCCTGCAGGGTCTAGAAAGCTATTAACAGAGCAGGAGAAATCAAACAGAATTTGCAATAAAGGAAGTGTAAACATTAGATCTCTCTTCACAGGAAGTGTTTAGGAAGGCTGTGTAAGTATAATGCAGGTACATGTGACTAGTGCTGTGTAAACAACGTGATTTAACGCCTAAATTGCAGAGAACTGAGTAGGGAGACTACAAGGGCATACACCAAAACTACTTCATTAAGCTAAAGATGTTTTGATGCCTATTGTGTCCTATTAGTGAAGTGAAGTAATATAATCATGATGCCAAGATTTGCAAGTTATTAACAAAATAAAGATGTAATAATATGCAAAGAAAAAAAAAAGAAATGCATGTTACTATAGAATGTTATTTTCGTTCTCTGAATATATTCTGGGAAAGTAAAGGAACAGTAAGCACCATAACCACTATGTCCTGGCACTGTTCGATGGTAAGCAGTCAAACTGTTTTAATACAGTCTGACTACTTACTTGGGTCCCGCCGGCCACCTTCAACTGTATCCCCTGCTTCCAGTATTCCTGTTGGTTCTGCAGAGCCAAGCCATACTGTGCTCATTGGTTGAGAGTGAGAGCTGAGCATTGTCAGCCAGGGAACATGGTCCTACTTTGGCCGTTTTATTCTATAAAGAGACATCAGGTTTGTCCTTCAGGAGAAAATCAGATGCAGTTATGAGGGCTGGTTCTCCATTTGCACAGACAACCTCTCCTCTTCCCGATGTAAGGTAGGGAAAAGGGATACCGGCTGTAAGTGCCATGTCATCTTCATCCCTGTCTTGTTACACGTAACAATCTGTTTTGTTTTTAGAATGTATGACTGTCGTCTTCTGATTTTGCTCATTTCATTTGTTCTACACAGTGGACCTTCTACATCTCAGACAGGCAATTCATGTATATTTTCATTGTGAGTATATGGAATACATTGTTAAAAAATAAAAATAAATGGGGGCGAGGCCTGGCTGCAGAGCTGAGAGGAAGAAAACCTCAGCAGCTCCTACTGCAGATAGCACTTAAAACAGATTTTCACTGCCCAAACTGCAAATTTTCAATGGGAAAAGGCTACCAAAAGAGAGGAGACGACAAGCTGCACAGGATGATACTACACAAGCGGCAATACAAGCAATACTCACCAGGCAAGAATCGGAGGCCTACAAGCATGGAGAGGGCGCGGGAGAGACGGCCGCTTTCCCGTGGCCCAGACAGCCAGAGTCTCTGCACAGGAGCCCGCATTCTCTCCCTCTCCACCCCCGCACCGGCGGGGGTCATCCCGGTCTACTTCAAGAAAGTGAGCACTCACCCCAGAGAGCTCCAGGACGCAAATCTAACGGAAAAGAGACACTAAGCCGGACCAAGATGGCCAATGGCCCTTCTCCCCACACAGAGCAGCTACCACCCAGCGACTGGGCAGTGGCCTTCCAGGCAAAATTCAACGCCATATGCAGGCAGTTTTGGGAACGCCTGGACAACAGGCGACAACCACCAGCAATATCATGGGCCAGCATTGCAGCTAGAGCACTAGCGGCACAAAAGCCAGCTGCAGACCTGTCCCCCGCATGGCGAAAAACTGAGGTGCCACCGGGGCCGTCTGGGCAAAACAATTAACAGAGCCACAAATTATCGGCCCAATGGCCCATCAGGGACACGAGCCACACGGGGGGGCGACCCCTGCTCACCATCCACACGTGGAGAAGAGCAAGATGGCAGCAAAAGCAACAGAAACCTTGTTGGTGGAGAATCTACTCCCACATGCGGCGACAACCTGGCACTCGACCTTCAAAATCTCACCTGCCCGCACATGCACTCAAGAATCGTTGCAACAGGCACGTGACTCAGGGCCCTGAGGTAGACCACACCAAACGCCAGACAGCAGTGCCGCAAACGGAGGAAGGAAAGGTACGGCCACTCACTGCACAGAAGCATCCACAAATCAGTCAGGAGCACCCCCAGCCAGATGACACCACACAATAGAAGGATGAATGCCACCCACCAACTGACACGCCATCAAGGTACTTTTTTAATGGGACTTACCTCACCTAGCTGGCTCATTAGCCCCACTGGACAGAACTTTGACATGCCCTTACGAGGCAGTGGCTGAAGGACACCGGGACTGTCCAAGAGGGAGGTCCAGGCTCAACACCAGACATAATACTTTGCCTCTCCATACTCCCAAACAAAACCTAACTGGACTCCCACGCATATCATAAGGAGCCTTCTGGGGAAGACCTCATCTACAGACAAGATCCCTTTCTTAAGATCCATGCTACTGTGTGCATTTATTGTTTTCCGTGCAAAGTTCTGTTATGGTTTTTCTTACTTTTTTTTTTTTTTTTAAATCTTACTACTGTAGACTATGTTAAACCTGCTAGATAACAAAGGGAAACAGGTGCAATGCAAACACTAAGCTCTCATGTGATACTCTGGTATTGATCTATCATCAGACGCGTTAGAATGCAGGCACTGATTTACCCGTTACTGACCCCACCTGTCTACTCCATAGTTCTCTCATAATGTAACTTATAAACTGTGCAGACACAGATTATGAACCTGAAGACACATACACTTATGCTTGTTTACATACTCAGTACTTATGGTACCCATGTCAGTCAATATAGCCTGATTACTAAGCCATAGAGTTTCACCTACCTACTGACATTAATTACTATGTTATTGTTACTCGGCTGTCAATTCACTATAAAAAAAAAAGGTGCGATTCCTATTAATGCCATGTTAATGATTTCCTATACCTGTCTTAATATGCTTGATAGAGCTGTTGTGGTATATAAAGCTTGATTGTTCACACTTGCACAATAAAAATAAAGAATACAAAAAAAAATCTATAATAACAATAAGTATTTGACCCCTTAAGGACACATGACATGTGTGACATGTCACAATTCCCTTTTATTCCAGAAGTTTGGTCCTTAAGGGGTTATATATATATATATATATATATATATATTCCCCCTTCTTTAATAGAGCATTTCTGTAACACACATTTAAAAAGGATGGAAAAGGATGGAAGGGTTCATTATAATAAAAAAACAGAATATCTAAAAAATACTTTCAAATAATTAGTGTCATGAAGAAACAAAATAATTCCCAGGACCAGTAAAAGTGTAGGTGGAACATTAAAGAAAACAATTGTACCTTTATTTGCTGTGCTTGGTTAGACATCTCGGTGTCTCTCTTGACATTGCTAGAGGGCACAAAAACACTGCGGAACAGTCTAGGTTTTGAAGAAAACTCTGCTGATTTTGGTGTTGTGCCATCTTTCTGTGGGCATAACAGTATTTCATGGGATAATTGTCTCGTTGCTTGTATGTCCCGTTTGAAGCTACTCCCATCGATGATGTCCTCCTTCAAACTAGCAGGTGATTGCTTGGGATCTGCTACATGGTCCTGGGTGTCTTGAAAATCTCCAGGATCTAAGGATTTTGCTTTTATGACAGAGCCATTGGGCCTGGACTGGTTTTCTTCAACTGGTTTATAGTCTGGCCACATGGTCTGCCTTCTACTTGTCTTAGCATTCCCATTACAGTTAACATAGTTCCCATATTTGTTAGTTATATTCTGCTCATCAATCAAATATGGCCCATTAATTGGCTTCTCATCTCCAAGAACGCCTAAGGATTGGGCTCGTCTTCTTGACAGAGGTGTTCCTCCTCTAAGTGTGTTTGAGCTAGTGACCGTGAGCTTCTGAATGTCATTTAGAATCCCGGAGATGTAGCCTTCCAACCCAATGGTGCTGCCACGGACAAAGGTCTGTAGAACACAGAAACATTTGAATTAAGTGTAGTGGTTGAATAATCTGGCACACAACATGTTTGTAATTTCTTAAAACATTCTGTTCATTTTGAAAAATGCTCCAACATTTAGTTGACCCAGTACATAAGTACTGGTAGATCTCTAAACTGTGAAGCTGTCCATCAAAGGGGGAGAGACAGCACTGTCCATCGAGAGATAGAGACAGATTGATAATTAAATAATGATGGTAAGGAATGTTGTCAACAACATATATGCTTTCAAGCATGCCTTTAATTGTTCTTCATTTGGTCACAGTCTATGAGCACCCAAACATGCGGTAAATAGGATCCCTCATAAGTTTGTGGACAGTGACCACACAGATGAAAGTAAGTTATAACCACAAACTTTGGTGTTTGTTATTTATTTATTTTATTTTTTTAATATTATTTTGTCCATATTCCTTCACTCTAGAGAAGTATGAAAAATTACATTGATTGCTTATGACAAAGAAATGCCGTATGGAACAACTATCAAGTATCAATAGAATAGATAAGTAAATGTCAGTTTCACCATAAGTCAAATCTTGGAAGTTTGTGTGTAAAAGCGCTTTGCAGATAACAAGCCCAATCATTAGCCTACCTTGCTGAACACAAGTTTTTTCAACTTACTTTCATGGGCTTGAGCTGCACTTGAGTTATCCTGGAAGGGTCCACCACTGGTTTGGGGCGTCTTAAGGTGTCCAGTACATTCTGCCATTGTAGAGGGAGACCCACAAACTTGCCCTCTTTTGGATCGAAGGATGTATGTACCCGGTGTTGGAAATTTAGAGGAGCAGAGATCTCTGGTCGTTTCTTCTTCTTTTTTCGAAACATGGTGAATAGCTTGGAGGGGAAAGGAAAGAGATGATTAATTTAAAAAATAAAATAAAAAATAATAATAATATTAATTTACACAAGAGTTGGAAACATCAACTTCACAATTCTAGCGAAAAAAAGCTCATGATGACTGAGTTATCAAAATAGAGGGCTGTTCACGGTCAGAGTTAGGGTTTTTTTTTTGTTTGTTTTTTTTACTACTTTTTGAGAAACCGCTGGAATTTACTTTAGTTTACGGTATATCAAATTCTCACCAACTACACTTTTGCTATATGACAATATGCATAAGTTAGAATTACCAGTGATAAAATTTAAACAATGGTTTTCAAAATAAACACCAACTACAAGTATTAAGATTTCAGTAACTGTATCCTGGATTCATTGCACAATTGCTCACAATCTGCAATAATATTCAGATATCCAACTTCTTCCCTACAAACCTGCAGCCATCCAAAAAAAAATAGAGGCTTGTATACAACAGGTTACCATTATTCTGCAGAGAAAATAAATATTTGCACTGGTGTCCCAGCCTTCTACCTACCAGGAGGTAGGTAGAAAAACACAGGCAGGGGGGCGATTGTCTGCACTGCCCTTTGATGAACAGATCAATTCTTTTTGTTGTCAAGGTTTATTTTATTGAGTGAGATAGGTTAAAAATACATAGTAGCATAAAGGCAACAGTACCAAACATTTACAAGCTGAACGAACACAATAAGAACAATAGTGTAGGAACATATTGCAATTACTGCACACGGTTATTGAAGGTGACATGGTAATTCACACTAGGTGCTATAAGCACTTTTTTTTTAATAAAAACTGGGCAACATAGCGAATATAACAATGGCACTATGGCAGCATCAAAATAGGAGGCACTACACGTGGTGATTGTCAGATAGTAAGAAATACTCAAGACCATGTTGGGTCACATTGCATATAGGAACTACAAGAACCAAATATCGCGTTATACCGCCACACTATACAAGAACAAAATAAGAAATTAAAGAGAGTATAAGGAATCTACAGAACAGACATTAAGATTAAATCGGCATCAGACGGAAGAGAAGTTCCGACGGCAAGCCTTTTGCCAGGTTCAGCCGATTCCCAGGGACGGCAAGATGGTTGTGCTTCTAGCTAAGCCTCCTCTATATGCCATTTATTTATTTTTAAACCAGACAGTGGTATTGACTGTATATGGCTAAACAAGCTGAAGACAGTATTTCACGATCAGCTGCCAGTTTGGAATTCTATACTCCCAAACACACTCCACTAAAAAAAAGTAAGGGATCATTTTTATAGGTTCACACAGGGTGTCATGAAAGAATCCCCTGATACTCTGATGGTCAGTGATATGTACAGTGGTGGCACTGTAAATACTTGTTAAGCTGTTCGTGGAATAAATTAATTCACACTGATTTTTTACGTTCTACAGTGGATTAAATTAATTTACACTGATAGTTCAAAAGCGAACTGAGAATGCGATCAATTACAACAGGTGTATCATAAAGTGTATACTGCAAACATATACACAGCCAACAGATTAAAGACTTTAATGGTTTCAAACTGCTGAGAAAATGTGCTTCCTTGTTCCTTGATGACTCATATACATTTTAATAATCCGCATGCTTTGCACGTGAACAGTGATCATGGTTACTACAAGCTTACCAATTAGTGCTGTCTAAATCCATGCACTGCATGAAATTTCTTCAATGCCCCAACGAATGCTATGCTATAGTCATACTATAGTCATGCCAGATCATGTATGGAGCTTGGATGTGATCTTGCGCCTCTTTTGTGAAAATTCTAAACAGCAGTAAATGGTTTGCAGTAAAAGCGGACCTTGCCTTTTATGGAACTTGCACACTTGCATTGCTGTGTCGCAATCCTGAGCAACTCATGCTGGTGTATTGGGACTGATTTTATCCCATAATACTCTGACCAGCAGGAGGTTATGAGATATGTAGATTATCCAGCCATAGTTCCAATCATCACATAGAAAGATTAGAAATGCAATATATCCAGATAGCAACCATACCACAGTGCTATCAGGTTATACATAGCCCGGCTCACAGTTTAGTGAACCAGGCTGTGTTTTGCTATTGGCGGAGACATAGACCCACCCATGTGCAGTCCGAGGCTTGGCTCTTTCCAGGGAGAGTGTTCCCTATTTCATGTACAGGGTCTGCAGTCCACATACACCATATGGATAAAACTGATCTAATGAAACAAGTGTAATTGATCTTATTGAGGCAGCAATTTCTGCAAATCTTTACCATATAACCCACTCTCAGAAATGATCAAGCTCCGAGTGAAGCACCTTGCAGTGACACAAAAGTGATTAGAACTGTCCTTTGGTGCAATAAACTACTTTTCTTGTAGTAAATATGGATTTAAAAAAATAATTATAGTAGATTTTGTGAAGTTTCCATCTTTATTTATTTGGCAAGAAAACGCATCGACCAATGCCTCTGTTGCTGTATAGGCGTGGGACACCAGATGACTCGAACCTGCGTATGATCGTTGGAACACGGTGTAACTCCTGCAGAAGTACTTGTGTAAACTATTATTCTGGAGTCTTTTAGATCTATTTTAAAGACGTATTATGAGATTTTGGTTATAATTATGTGATTTGTACTAGCGCCTTTTCATATTGTACGTCTAAGATTGTGTTTTGCTTTGCGTGTGCACACAGCAATTTACAAGGGTTGCAATTTCAGAGACCGTGAAATTCCCTGATCCACAAGATCATTGTATCTTTTCACTTACAATGGATTGTTTACAAATGGAGTTCCCCTCGTTTAATCCGTTACATACTAAAAATAATGTGCAATGCTCTCAAGAATAGAAGGATTCTGCATCGAGATTAATGGATCACGTGTGTACAGGCCCCTTCTCTTTGTTTTCCTTTCTTACGCTTCTGGGTTTGCCTTCAAGGTAGTTTACATGAAGATTTAACAAGAGACTAACATGTACAATGGGTTATGTAATGCCACGTTATGGCATTATTTTTATAATGGCTTAATGAGTGCATTGTACTTTGTTTCTGATCACCCACATATTCCTTGGGTGGGTAAGTGAATTGGCAGAGATTCTGGAAAGAGACAGTCTGTTGCTTAAAGCATTTCTGGTTCAGTGAACAGTTCTGCACATACTTTTGCATGTGTTCATGTAAAAAAAAAAAAATAGATTGTATTTGGTGAATGTAATGGACGGACGGACAGACGGGACCGGACCCATCCGTCCGCTCCATGCACGCTCTGCATGGAGACGCTGAACTTTCCCCTAGAGATGCATTGATTTAATATCTTCAGTTCCGGAGAGTCTTTCAAATTCCCTTTAACCACTTTAATCCTGAGGTTTAGATTTCAGTTTATTACAATCAGGGCCCCTTATTGAGTCGTAAAAGATGCTGATATTAGTTAACGAGGAAAAATGTGCAAAGGCTGCCTATTCATTTCCCCATCAGTAAAAGAACCTATATAAATATAAAAACAGATAAAAATCATATTTAAAAATACATATTGAGAGATTTACAGATGAGACGAGATTTTCCTGTGGTAGTTGAAGAAAGTGGGAGGCACCTGCACAAAATGTATTTTTAACTGTAAAAGGTAGTAAATATTTTGAATTCCCTCCTTAGGGAAGGCTTGTGAAGGCAGATATCTTTATGTGAGTTTGCTCTATATTTAGATATACAGGCATATAATATAATTAAAAAAATTTAAAAAAAAGAATCTTTGAGATAGAATCAAATTGTTATTTAGGAGTACAGAAGTCGCCAATTGATTTTATACGACTTAAGTAGGTCACCTACTTCTAAACTAAAAAATAAATGAATAAAAATCCCACCACACACTAAAATTGACATGATTAGGCACCCAGACCACTTCATCTCATTTAGATAGTCTGGTTGCACTGTCCCTGTCCCTGTCCCCTTAACCCTGCTACGTAAAACATTGCAGTTTCTCTAAAACTGCAAAGTTTACATTGAATACAGGTGATACTTGAATAATCATTGCACTAATGACAAATCACGGCTTGAACTATCTTGCTTTGCATGTAATGCGCCTATCTCATATTAGTTTCCCCTTTTACATTGCATTACTGAAATAAACAAACTTTTGCACGATATTCAAATTTTTCGAGTATCACCTGTAGTTAAGACTCTAGCAGCCATCTCCCTGAATGCCAATAGAGGCGCTTCCTGCATTTTGACAGAGTTAAACACTGTAAAAACAACGCTGGAGGTCCACATACTTTGCGTGAGGATGTCCAGTGTGTTCAAAAACCCCATAGGAAAGCATGGATTCAATGCTTTCCTATGGGGAAGGCCTAAAGCGCACTAGGCGCTCGCCACATATGCTCACTACTAGGTTCCCTCTCATGATGTCTTAGGAGACAGAGATCAAGCCAACGCTGAGGGATCTCAGTGCTGAGATCAGGTAAATAAAAAGCTTTTTTTAAAACAAACAAAAAAACAAATTTAAACCCTTTCATTGTCAGATGGTGCGAAATACAGTTTATTGCACCCAGCTTTGTATTCCTAACACTATAGTGTTCCTTTAAATATGATGGGGAGCTATACTCCACCTCTAGAATTTGACCATACCTCCTAAAAACAAAAATATGCATATAAAATTGAAATGTGACATAAAAGAGAGACTGGAGAAACTTCACAGAAACTTGAAACAAAAGTTCCTACAAACTATTCAAAGTGTTGACCACATCCTAATCATAACCTGGATTAAATGTCTTCTAGAGACGATTTGTTGGCTCAGCATGAAAGCTCAACGGGCTAGCAAGCTGTGTCCTTAGAACAGTAGCCGAGACGGAGATGGGCCTTGATGACAGAGCATATTTTCAGTTACGGACAGCTCTACCCCGAACTCCACTCCAAGCGTCTCACTACTTCGCAAAACTCAACTCAAATTCCTGTTGATTAATACCAGACAGTCTAAATATAAACTTGAGTCCTGATTTAATATTGTTGGATAAACTTGATTAAAATGATTTATTATTTAAAAATAACGTTTAATATCATATTGTAATCAAACAACAAAAACATTGGGTAAAACCCAAGTGGAGTAGTATTTAAACTCCCAAACAAAACCAGTTAAGTATAAACCTCAGTCAGCATTCTTAGAACACCCCAAGCACTGCTTGAAGAGCTACGCAATATTGGCGATCTCGGGATGCTGTCAAATATCCGGATACTTCCTGATTCTTCTGACACGGATACAAACTCCTGATATGATATCACGGTCTTGAATATGCATCAGTTTGCTTCCTTTTATAGCCCTTAATTATCGCCCAATATAAAAAAAAAAAATCCAAGACTAGCCAGATAGTAGAGATGGTGACAGCCTGTATCTACCAGGATAGGAATAGGTGCCCCTGAAGGAACACTTAGAGACATCCCATCTATTAGGTCCCTTACCATTAACTGTGATAATTGTTATCTCTGTTGGCATCATATTTGGAATATCTTGATTACCTCACTTGCTACATGATTTTAGGCACCTTTTACTATTGTAATTAAAAGTTGAGCCATTTTTTTTTACAGTTGCCTCTTACTCAGAGTGCCTTTTTTCTAGGAGCATCCTTAATCAGAAGCTTGTATTTTGTTAGTAGCAATTCATTAACTTTACATTGTAACACCCCAATGCTACTCTGTGTTTAGACAGCAGTGCTTCAGATGTACTAATAATGCTGAACAAGTTAAAGGGAAACCGTAGTGATAGGAATACAAAGTTGTATTCCTAGCACAATAGAACCCCTCCATAGCGCTGAAAGGGTTAAAAACACTTGTCATTTGGTGGTGGGTCAGGCTCCACATCCGTTCCTCCTCCTCCACCACCATCAGCTGACAATGGGGACCTAATGCGCATGTGTGGTGGGTGGGCATGAGGACATCCAGCATCATTTAGCGGACCAAAAGTCCACTAAGGACTCCGGGGCACCCAGTTTCTCAATAACTGCAATAATTGCAATAGCAGGGTTAAGAGAACAATGGCATTGCACCCAGACCACTTCAATGAGTCACCCAGACGACTTCAACAAGACATTATAGTGTCCCTTTAATTTTTAGTGTATCTAGACTTGGCTGGGTTCACGTTGGAGTTTTTTTAACACTACTGTACTTGGGTCTAACGAATGTTTTTGTGGTTTGGTTATATTATGATAATTAAACTTATGTTTTAAACATATACAAACACTTCTTTTTCTGGAAAGCAATTCTTTCTTTATTTAGTCTTCACTAAATAGGGGTAAACGGTTCTAAAAAAAATCTAGATAGATATTAATAAATAAAATACAATTTAATAAAATATTAAATCATCAAATGTACACTTTTAATTATTTTATCTGGGACTCGTGTATCCATTTGAATGAGACATGGATGTACACATGCACACATATACACACACACACACACACACACACACACACACAATACAGTGGGGTCATATTGTCGCAACCACAAGTTTAAAAAAAATACAGTCAAAAAGCCTCTACACGTTTTGTGTCTTACTTATCATGGGGTTTAATTTTTTTTTTTCTTGTGTTGTTACACTTAGCCTCTAGTGCTTTAAACAAAACAGAGGAATACAAAAAAACAACAAACAAAAAAAAAACACAACTGTATAAAGTTTGGTATACACCCACAACAGATATAGGAATCTGGATAAACAAGCATTTGAACTCTAATTTGACAGTTGACTATTTCATGTTTCGAGAGTACTGTGTATCTGAATTATTAAAAACAAACCAAATAAATAAAACAATTAACATAGAGGAGAAGTTGTGTCTGAACCTTTTTTTTTATTTTTTATTTTTAAACCATGAGAATATTTGGGAGGTGAGCAATGTTTGTTCCACTTTCCAGCACTAGAAAGGTGCAAACTATTTCCTAATCACCCCAGTTAACAGTCTCATTTTGGTATTCTAACAATAAGTGGATAGTCTCACAGGGGTGTGTGCTAATAATATATTTGTGCAAACAGTCACAGTTACACAGAATATTTCTGCTACAAAGACTTGGTCATGACCAAGGCTTAGTGGCAGAAACGTTGCATGTACCGGTGACGGATGTATAATTAAATTATAGCAGCCGGGATCCACTAAGCCTTACATGGAGCTATGTGCAGTGCCGTTTCCCATTACTATTCTCAATTGGTGCCAATCAAGTAAATCTTTTCTATGTACTATGAATGAAAGCACAGGTGACGCTAATATAGATAATGGGGTTAAAGAAAAATACCATTGTTTCCACTGAGCAGGAAAACTAATCACCTGGGGAGTTTAATGCAAGATGCAGTTGTGCAGGACATGGTAATAATGACTGTGCATCATGTTAAAGGGACACTATAGTCACCAGAACATAGTTGTTCTGGTGAGTATAATCATTGCCTTCAGGTACTTTCATGCAAACACTGCCTTGTCTCTGTTTACATTGCACCTAGGGACACCTTCAAGTGGTCACTGGAGGTGCTTCCTGGCTAAGGGCTGCACAGTAAGCAGCAGTGCCGTTCAGCGTCTCTATGGAGACGCTGAACGTTTCTCTATGAGGAGGTGCTGATTGGACAAAATTGTATGTGGCTCCGCCCCTTGCTGATTTTAGCCAGTCCAATGCTTTCCCATTGGCTAAAATTTGTCAATTCTGATGAGGTCACCCTATAGTGTTCCTTTAAGTTTCCAGACAAAGAACTTTGAAATCTTACTGGTAATGCACTAGTAAGTTGGCAAACATGATAAATAGAAGTGGTGACATATATACTCTACATATAAGGAGGTGACACATTGTAGCAAGAGTGGGCTGAACCGCTAATTTGGGGATGTAATGAAAGCTTCCCAAAATTTGTGTTGGTGCCCTATGAATTGTATCTGTGTGACTTGTGCAGGAGCTTGGAGGCCAGCATCCTTCCTACAGACTGTGTGCCCCTTGTGTACTGTAGCTAGCTAGCAGGATGCAATAATGTGCTTTTTATAAATACATTTGTTTGGGTTTTTATTTTTGTCTTTTTTTTTTTTTTTTTAACTTTGGAGGGGTGGCCTCAGAAAGGCTTAATCTAAGCAAAACAAGTGTTTTATGAGCCTAGTGTTGGCTTTCAGTCTCCTATAAGGTTTACAGTCTTTTGTCACCGTGTTCCCCTTCCCATTTTGTAAACATTATGCCGAGCGAGAACTCAAAGGGATTTTCAAACTTAAGGCCAGAATAGTTGAACTGGAAAAAATAGCCAAGTCATGTATGCTTTCAGTTCGGCTATTTTGGCCTTAAATTTGAAATTCACTTTGAATTCTCACACTGACCGGGCTCTGCTTTCCAGTTAATTAATTGAGTGTCTGGCTGATGTTTGCGAATGAATGTGAGCGCATTTCAACCTCCATTACTGCAGCCCTCTACAATGCACGTACAGTCAGTTAGCTATGGACATTTCCCCTTTGGAAACAGGACAAATGCCAAGGCGGACTAGATCTGAATCCAGAGCCAGGGTCTAGTCCTCTTGTCTACTAGAAGAGATAATGCTGCTCCTGTTACACATTGTAAAGTAGTTTACGAATCTCTTCTGCACATACTGGTTCTGTCAACATTATTAGATCAAATATCTGCTATTACCATTTTAAATACTTTAACTACTCTATTGAACTGAATTGCATGAGAGATTATCTATAGACTGACAGTATACTATGCTGGCACTGTATCTGTATATACCAACGGCAATACCTTATTTCTCTCCCATTATTGACTATACTGTATAATACAAGGTAGAATAGGGGGTTAGGGGAAAAGCCTCATGTCACCTAAGTCCACCTTTGATGTTAAAGCTGATGGATTTTTAGTGACTTTACAAAGGTTCTTTAGAATTCCAAATTAGAATGCATCATCCATGCACCTATACGTGCAAAACCATTGACACAGACAACATGCCTACGTCAGAAGTAGGAGTTTTCGAACACACATACGCCGAGCAACAATGAGCTTCAATGCTCTGCATTTCACTCAAAGTGCAGAGAGAGTGCTTGCACACGGAGCAGGTTGCAACAGTGCATCACGTCATTGGTTTAACAGTTTGTATAGTTATAGTAATACAGCTATTTTTTGAGGGGGTGGGTGAGTGTTCATAGATTATATATATACTTGGCAGAGGGAGTGTTTTACATTTTTGCACAGGGCACCAGTTGTTTCATGGACTTTCCCACGACATGGTCTAATCCCATCAGGATGTGTAAAATGTACAGGGAAATACTAGGACATTATCTTAATACATAGTTATTAGATCGCCCCATAAGGAAGTTGGGATGACAAGAACGTAAACAAAAAAGGTGCAATTTCCTTTTCTTTTTTTCTACATTACTCATTCATTATAGCCGGAACTTGGAGCGTACTCAAATGATCAAACCTCTAAAATCATAATTTTAAGGTTCATTCTTTGCATCCCAGTTGCAATCTCATTATTTTAAAATACTTTTTTCTTCAGATTGACATGCACTGAATAGATTTAATACAATAAAAGATCCAAAGAATAAATCACACCGTGTAATTCAAGAAAATAATATGCAGCGGGAACAAGGGTTTTCCATTAAATGAAGCTAAATGCAGAAACACTGCCTGCAGTGTTGTAGAAGAGGAAGGTTTAAATGACGAATTGCTGGTAAAACAGGTCTGAATCCGAAGTTTAACCTATACCAGCCCTAGTTAGAACACAGTACCATGGCAATTGAAGCAACCAAAGAGACAGCAGCTCAAAACAGAGAGACGCAAGAGGGATGGTTAAGGTGTTCCAAATATAGCAGGGCTGTCAGCTGCAATGGAGGGTCACCAACTGCTATTTTTAAAGTAGGCCCCTTTTCCTAGAAACAAGTTTGGCAGGGAAGGAATCTCCAGACTGTCGCTAGTGGCACAAACAGGTTCCTGCATTGCATAATGGCAGGAGCATGTTGTTTCAAATATGTCCTTGCCTCGGGAACGATCAGCCCATGGTGCAGGAATTGGAGTCAAGGCAGGTAATGGTTCTTGGCTGTGGATGCAACGTGAATGTTTGGCCCAGAAGTCAGCAAATATCCCAACCAGTCTTGCCAGAATTTCAAGCCTCTGTTCCCTGGAGTCAGTGATGCCCATGATAGGTGAGAACCCATCCCAGCCTGACTCTTTGAGACAGACAGCTATCAATGCAGTGTTGGGTATTACTGCTGTGATAACCCTCACCGGCAAAGTGGGGGTGTCTGTATAGTCAAACAAACAGCAGATGTTGTGTAGAGTAGGGTGACTGCAGTGTGATTTGTCCAACTGGATCAGTGTTAAAACATAAAATTCAATGCTCACAAAACTGCAATATAGTCGCCATCAAAATAAAACTCGATTCAAACCAAATGTTCACAAAAAGGCAGAAAAGATAAGCTTGTATCTAAGAGCGCTCAGAATATGCAACTGACTAGCATGGCAGTCAAGCCCTAGCCCCTTTAAAAGCCATTTTGTTTAGATAATCGCCACCCGCTTCAGTCAGTAAATTATATGGTACTCTTAGTATCTAGAACATTGATAGTGTGACGAAGGTGAGGTAGTTTCTCACATTATTAGGGGCATCTGTCCCTCACCTCCTTTTCTGCACATTTTTCTTGAATACACAGTATTTGTTCATAACTAAAGAATAGTTTTTCTTAATCATCCTGAAATGAGAACTTTCCTTTCTCCAGACTCTCTAATTAAAGGGTACATTATTACTGCATTCTTTGTGTATCACATACCGGCTATCTCAAGAGCTTTTGCAGGCAGACTTATTAAACAGTCAAATGAACAGATATTTTAAGATCAAAAGACCGGAAAAACCTTTGAAATTCCCTTGTCAATAAGCCACAATGCCGGAAAGGGATTACCCCGAAACGTTTGTTTTAAATGTCTTTCAAATAAATAGTAGTGGCATTAGTGTTTGCTATACAAAGCAACGGTTTGCGCAACCTTTACTACTTTACTGAATTTGAGAATACAACTTTAATTGTATTGAAGCAGATGATGCCTTAACATGTAGGTATTTGCACAAATATACAAAACTAATTTTAAAAGAGACTAGCTTTTTATCACTTTAGATTATGCTTAATATCCATTTAGATTTTAAATGGATTTAAGAAATTAAAAAAAAAAAAAAAAACACAATACCCCAGAAAGAATGGGTCAGCTAGAGAAACATTACATTAAACTGAAGTTTTCTAGTTTTCATCCATGGAAAGTAATAAACTGAATAAGCATTGCACAGAAAGAAGAAAAGTGAATTATAAATAATGTTTCTAGGAATGTTCAAAAAAATATTTATAAAAAAATAAAAAAAATCTGGGTCCTGAAACCTGGTGTAGATTAGAATTCTCTGTGACGAGCAATTCATAAGTGTAGGTCAGAGTTCCATTTTTGCCGTGGATATAATTGTAGCACCCAGAGTGGCAGTAAGAGGATTTACTGGTAAGAACGTCACTAGTTAAGCAATCAGTGTGAGAACCATTTCCACTGCCATTAAAATGACCTAATGTAATGACACGACCTTGCAATCCCCAGCACTGACCTTGAGGACGTCTATCTGTACGTATAAAGTCATTGCAGTAACAAAGCAATTTATTTCTTCCTAGCAACATAGTTACTTCCCTCACCGACATGAAATTTATTGAATCATAAATTTCTGCCCTGACAGAATAATAGCCGTCCCTAGGAAAAATTCATTATAGATTGCACAATGCAGATCTGGTGAATTGGAACACTTCGACAAACCTTAACGGTAGTGGTTCTTAAATAAAACCAAAACTCATCACTATTGGCTGTGGAACAGCACCGCACTGATACACTAAATTGATAAGGACATTGAATGTTTAAAGGGATACACATTACTGTAGGGGTGCAAGAAGTCTTGAACAGTTTAAAAAAAAAAAAAAAGACACAAAAACACACCATGGACATGTTAGCGTCACTGCCAGATCATCAGCATGAAAACGCGGTATAATCTGGTTACCAGATTGAGAAAGTGATAACGGGGATAAAACTAGCAGAACAAATCCATAACTGTGAATCTAAGCTAGCAAAGAAAATAAAAAATAAAAAAGTGTCAAGAGGTAGAAAATTAAGCACTGCAAATGTAGTTCACAAGCATCTGGGGGCAAAGTCATGATTGTTCTTTTAGACTGAATTATTTCTAATATATTCTATATTTCTATATAGAGAAATAAAATTGTAGGCACAAACGCCATATTCCAGCAATGTCAAACCACCTCTCGTCAGGGCAATGAAAGAAGTTTATTTAGCTGGGTAATAAATATTGAGAGCCCAGGATGGGAAAAATAATCCTTTACTCTAGTTATACAGTCTACATGTCTTACTATCCACCACTTACAAAATACTGTACTTCCCAGACACACATACTGTATTGTTACACAGAAGGGCTGTGGGCACATCTAGGCAAAAGTGTCTACAGAATGGTGCCATTATACCATATACAATCATCTTTGCATTCTGCTGTCATTTTAGGAAGTTTCATTCCTAAAAGCCCTGCAGATTCCTAATATCCGTAAGGCATTCAATTTTATTTTACCCCTAAATTATATTATAATATTACCATTATACATTATGACCCTGTCAACTGTATACTCTAATAGAAGGCATACCAAGGTATATTATGTATTATAAAATGGTTATGAAGTGCAGTCTGGGGTGTCCTTTTAAAGTATGTATATTAGTCTTCAAGTGGTGTTGGGTACCATTTTGACTGGGGGCCCAGCCTACTGTCAATATAGTCATATGATCACCATCACTCTAATTTTTCAAAGAACAAAAAACACCTTGAATAATGAATGAGGTTAATGGATTACAAATTAAGCCTTCAAGGAGTTAACAGAGCTGCACAGGGAAGGGAAGGAAAGAAAAGAGAGTTTTGTGGTTTTTTTTGGTTAAAGGGCCAAATCGTGATAATGGCGTGAATTACCTCTCCATTACTCTATAATGGGTTAAAAACATTTGCTGGATCAGTCTGGGCAAAGCAAGGAGATATACTAATTTCAAGCAAACCAATGTGAGGAATGTTTTGCCAGAGAGTGATGTAGAAGAGAAGTGATCAGTTATTTAAAGGAGTGCAATATTGGGGCGGAATAACAGAAGATCTTATACATGTTGTTGGATATGTACATATTACATATTCATTTAGGTAACAAGGTTTGAGAATGGAGAGGAGTAGGGCTCTGCCCACTGGAGCACCTCTGTACAGCCTTACACAATCGATCAAGATTTTCCTTACATTCTATATAGAATTTAAATCCAGTTACATTTTCCAACTTTCTTCAATGTGAATCCAGATTTTATTTCCAAATAATAATACACAACTTTATTATAGCTTTGATTCTTTCCTTTCACTAGTAATGTAATTAGATGGGTCACAAGAGGTGCACTAGGCTCTACAACTAGGTATTCATTCCATTGCAGTCATCTCATGGTGGTTTAATGTGAGAGTGTCAGATGTTTTGCTCTTCCCAACGTTCAAGTTTAGAACAGTATATCGCAATCACATATGAAGACTCATATGGTCTCACTTCTACAGTCCTACATGAGCCGGTTTGGTGTCCAAAAATCTCAAAGTGCACCTAACTAGTGTAAAAACAAAATAAAATCACAATCAGTCTTCCAGCTCTGCTAATGGCAAATAGACAGGAAAATTCGTCTAGTTTCCTTGTTAAGATTCAAGGGCACACACCTTGCGGACATTTGTAACTAGTGCTCATTTTGCGCAGGCTTACTATCAGCAGGGATATTTAGAGAGGAGACCAATCTTAGTAATGGAAACAATATCTACTGAGAACTTGATAGGCCTATTAGTGGATGTCAGACATTCAAAAAGGGGGTTTGGTGGGGGGGCGGAACCAAGCAGCCGTGCTGAATGGCAGCACACATCCAGAGCTCTGACCAATTGAGCTGTATAAATCTCTGAGGGCCCTAAAACTGTGACAACAACAACAGGAGGGGAACCCCACCCCCTCCCCCCCACGAGCGAGGGGAAACACAATGGGACGCAAATCTATGAAACTGAAGCCCGAAAGCCGCGGATGGGCTTAAATATTGAGGGCTTGTTGCAGCAGGCACATGGCGCGGTAAGACCTAAGATAGCCGACTACCCTGAGGCCTACACTGAAATATGCGACGACATGTCCCCAGAGGAGGAGGTAGAGGATCTACTTGCCACACCATGCCCAGCACCGAAGAATACTGGACAAGACAACTCTCCAGTGTCTACTGCAGCGCTAGAAATGCTCCTTGTGGACCTCCAGAAGAGTACCCAGATGGATGTAGTATTACTCCGTACTGGTTTGCAGAGCTTATCGGGCAGGCAGGTAGTGGTGGAGGCCGCATCCAGCGACAAAGCACTACAGATTGTGGTGTTACAGAAAGCAGTCAACGGGCTCCAACAGCAAAGCGAGCAGAGTGTCCGCTGCTTCACCGCCATCGAAGACTGGAGGCGAAAAAACATCAAAATAAGGGGCATCTCGGAAGAGATACAGACGGCTGAAATCCCACATTTCCTGAGGCACTTACTAGTTGCTCTACTTACCCCACAAGGCAAAATGGTGGGAATCAATGGATTCTTCAGAGTGCCGAAGTCCCCTTGTGCCCCAGACAATGTGCCAAGAGACTTGGTCCTCCAGGTGCAAAGTGGCAGAGACAAGGCAGCGGTGCTGGCAGCTGTCAGAGACCACACACCATATAAGTTTGAAGACATGTCTCTCACGTTTTTCTCAGACTTGTCAGGGAGCTAAAGGCGTAACAAATAGGAGTACACTGCACCCAGGCACAAGTAACAGCTGTGACCTAGCTCTAAGACGAGGCAAGATCCCCAACCACAGTTTACAAGGCAAAGGCATTGTCATGTCAGAGGTACTCAACAAGTACTTAGAGTTACATATTACAAGCAGCTCTCAATACCCCACATAGTTAGATATACATGATATCTCACACCTTACTGATGCAACATTAAATATCAAAATGTGCTGTGTCTCTGAATACCATGTCAATAACCCATCTTGAATGTTTTTACTACGTTTGGTATAGCTATCGTGGCATATCAAGCCTGTTTGCTACCACTTGCCCAATAAAAATTAAGAATTATAAAAAATAAAATTTAAAAATGGGGTTTTGGCCAACACGGATTCAATAATTGAATCTATAGGACATCAGCACAAAAGTAGGTAGATGCAGTTTGCGTTTAATGCTTCATTTACAAGAAGCTTCTTAAACAATCATTGTATTGGCAGTTCACATCAAAGGCAATTGCAAGAGGTGATGTAATCCCTGGTGGTCCAGTAGAGGCACACTGAGAAGATGGATCCCTGGTGAGGCAGCACTGTGGTCTGCACCAATATTCAGGTGCAGATTACCTAAACAGCTACTTTGTGGTCCTAGTATTCAGCAAATGACTGGGAAGCACTGAGGGACCTCAAGCTGCTCTTAAAGTGGTCTTCATTTAATAGAGGTGCAGACCACCTTAAACAGGTGAGGGGGTGCAGGCTTAAGCAGTTAAATACAGTCATAGCAGGAGTTCAAACTGGGCCCTAGGCAGTCACAAATGTTGCATTATGGGTATTGCAAAGCTGGGGCAATGAGTACTAGCATGATTGCAGCAGACAAATCCTAAAACGGCAAAAGTGTATTGTGATGGAACGCCGTCACCGAGTGCCATATCCCCATGTACCTGCTGTCCCTTTCTATGGCGTGAGATATGTGATGGATGGACTGATTTGTTTGGCATGGCCCAAAAGCTACAGGGACACTGCTGGCCCAGTTTGAACTGGCTGCTTTGTCCCTCTTCCATCCCCCATCAGCTTCCTAGGATTGAAACCCCTGTTTTGTGTTGGAGACCCCATGTAGGGGTCTGTGCATGTAAAACCCATGTGTGATGAAATAAACAGTCAGTCATGGGTTGTACCTCCAGAGCTGCGTCTCGTCCAGTTACTGGGGGTGAAATGGGTCTCTTTATACTCTAAGTGGTTCCTGAGCGGCTGAAGGAAGCGAATTAGCGGAGGTAACCGGTCGGGTTACCCGGGGTCCGCTGCATGTATAAACTGTAATTACCTGCTTTGCTTTCACTTCCAAAAGTACTTTAAACTATTCTACTACATAATACACACAGTGAGCAGGCTCTGAGTTTATGCTTAGAGTTACAAAGGTTGCACAGAAATTCACATAGGTGAAATCAACCCCTCCCTTAAAATCACCTCCAGCAGTATGCACACAAGTGAGCGAGAGAGAGAGAGCGGGAAAAAATAAAATAAAAAAAAAACTCTTCTAATACTGACTTTATTGCAGGTTTAAAATGAAATACAAAACTACAATGCTGATCTTCCAAAACAAGTCACAATTCAAAACACAATGCAAAATAAACACATTCCATTACCCTTGTACCTTGACTTTCTGTTCACAGATAGTCTTTGAAAGTAGCTTTTTATTTTATTTTTAAATTAAGTTTCTTTTTTTCCCCCATAAAAAGGGAAGGTCTGTGGTAGCCTTAACTCCTTCATGAGAGAACTTTCACGGTGTAAAGAGAGATTTACCCGATGCCTTGCAATGAAGGGGTTAATAGAGCTACCTTTATTCAGTCAGGCCTTTCAAATACCAGATGCCGACGAGGCTTACCAAAAGGAGTGTCTCCATTATTAAAACTGGCTAAGTAGCTGCACACAGATATCCTGGGCACACAATCTGTTAGTAGCACACCTCAAAAATCCCATAGTCTGAGATAGAGCTAGATTTTTATATATAAAAATATATAACCAAGAGGCCTACATTAACCTGACCATGCATCCATTATAAGGGTGCTGCTGGGGCCAATTCATACAACATACAAAATCCAGTGCACTCACAGAATATACCACAGTCTATTTTAAATGATCATTGGCATACATTTGAGAGACTTTGCTAAATGACTTCTGACTTTCCAGGTGTGTTTTGGTAACTCCACCCACTGCAGCTGTGCCCAGAGGCAATGTGCACACCTGTGCAGCTAAGACAGTCTAAGGATGCAGGGTGGCAATGGATGTCTTAGAATGTGAAAAGCAGCACCGAAGCTATTCAGACTTTGTATATCCGAATAGGAGAAGAGAGCAAGAACAGGAGGTCAGAAGGCCAAGGCAGTCAGTCAGACAGAAATCAGGGTTAAGAACACAAAGCCATATGTCAAGTTCAAAACACAAAGCCAAAAGTCCAGGACCCAGACGGTAAACAAAATGGAGTGGAATACATGGTATTTGAAGGAGGTATTGGGAATTAAAACCGCTCTGAGCAATGAAAAGGTTTCTGGATGGAGTGTTCTTGCGTGTGGTCTGATAGCAGCAGAGTTGTGGCACTGTGTGCATGCAAGTCGATATTGCATCACTGGAACATTTATCTATAAGACAAGATATCGCACAATGTTTGAGCACGCAGCTCTGAAAACATCCAAAGTGCACAAGAGATACATGGATTCTAGATCTCGTTTCTAGAGCTGAAATGATGCAAGCATTTGATTCTCTCGAATCATGAATTCATGAGACAAAAACAGCAAGACACTGGATATTAAGTTATACATTATGGCCCGTGGCCATGACAAAATTATTCTCGCGCACTTGCAAGACACTGAAAAAAAAAAAACGTACACACTCCACACAGATTGATAAAAGAATTTCACATTTTTGGCCATAATAGTTACACTGAAAATATAATGGTCTGTTGACAATACACACATTCGTGAATAACCCTGTAAAAGGACAAATCTAAATGCAAATGAATAATTCAGTTTTAAATTGAGTTGTGTTTTCTCATCATTTGTAATATTTCGTATACTTGACATAAAGGTATAATTTGTTTATAATCTGGCCAGGTGTCAGCTGACGTGAGATATATATCAATTATTTTTTTTTAACCAATACTTCTCAAAGTCAATGTTTTGGTCTAGAAATGTGAAATTTCACATTAAATAAGGAGAAAGGGGTAGTATTTTATTATAAGGGCAGTGATGGGATATACTTTCCCCAGTGCTGTCCGTGATTTGTGGGAGTCACAGTCCCAAGCGCCAGCTCTTTCAGCTCCTGCTCAGAACTATGTATCAGTCTGCCAGATATTATAGCCCCAGGATTGTATGGTGATGATCAGTGCATTGTAACCTGCTCATACTGGAGAATATCTGCCCAGATGACATCACCATTTATGCAGTATGGTAATCTAACATTATGTAGTATACATTACATACTCAAATATACATGCGTACATAAATAATTGTTTATTTTATAAGTTGGTGTGCTATATTTTAAGTATACTATACATTTAAATTTTCCAGAACGGAAAATACGAAAGTCCGGTAGTGCAGCTCTGCAGCAAGACAGGATGTTCGTTGAAAGGTACTGATAGCTGGTTGATCCATAGGAGAACTCTGACTGTGCCTGTTAGTGTCATAATTGCAAAAAACGTGTTTGTGGCATGGACTCTGCATGGGATTTACAGATTAGTTGCACAATCATTGCACAAAGTGTGCCACGTTTCCATGCCAAACCCGTGCATCTGTCCATGCATCAAAACTGCATTACTTTTGTTCACCGTGGCACGGTAGTACTCTCGCTATGCATTGTGAGCGGTTGTTGCTAGGTCACAGTGGAATATTTTACAAAGCAGGAAAGAGCTGAGATGCATAGTATAGGGCACTGACAGTGAACATGTACTGATAAAGTTATTCTATGGCACACTGCTGGCACAGTGTGATCTCTGGCAATTTATAGGAGCCTTGGAACAAGGCTGCATTGTGTAAGGCAGTGAGAATAATCATGTGGCTATCTGTAAGCCATGCACAACTGTATAAGAAACAACAAACTGTTTACCTTTTGCTATAAAGAGCTGTAGAAGATTGCTTTGGGGATTTATTCAAAATGTTTTTCTACTGTAAAACTTTTTCCGCAATCTGCGATTTTTGCTACAGGCTCTAAGTTGAGCTATTACTTGAGTTATGTCGAAGATTTGGCACTTGGGCTCAAAACAAACATGTGTCATCACAGTGCCGGTTCTAAAGTGCTGATACAATGGATTCTGTTCTTTTTCCAATCTTTCTGTTACCACTGTGTGAGCTATAAACCAAAAGGGAGAAACTCAACCAGGTAGGACATTTAACCTCTTTCCTAAAAAAAAGAGACACCCCTAGTTGTAAACTATTTTTTGCCATGTCCACGACCTCAACCTATAATCTTTTCCAGCCAGAGACCTCCAATACGGTTATTCTCAAACTCTGCATCATTGCGGTACCTTCAATCATGTTTTATTGACCTCCACCGATTGGCAATTCTTTGTGGACTACCCTTTCTTTGAACCATACGCCCTCCTCAAGTAGCAGGTTATTAGAGCTATGTAAACCAGTTAAAATATTAATAGAAGATAAACCAAAGATTACAAAAAGGAGCAATAAGATTATAAATAGCAAGATGATTCTCACCTGAATACAGCAGACAAACTACTAGATCAGATCCATGCTTTGACTGTCAGGAAAAAAAAGAGACAGTGAAGAAAAAAAAAAAAGAGGAGGGAGAAAGCTCAGGACAGGGGAGGAGAGAAGAAACCTGACAAGTTTGTACAATTTTTTTTTAAACTTGTCTCGGAGTTTGATTACAGGGTGTGGTATATCTGACACAGGTAGAGGATTGAAGGTGTTAAACCAGGAATCCAGCCAGTATGAAGAGACAGGAATGTACAGGGAGATTGTGTTACATGCAATTCTCACCATTATCAGGTGGTCAGTTTCTGGCTGAGCTTAATGGGAATTTTAGCTTACAAAACACTCTGTTTTGAGATTGCCGATACTTACGGAGGAAAGTACAGGTAATCTGACCAGGTGAGTAAGCAGCAATTGCAACAAAGTTGTGCTATGTGAATAATGCACAGTGTATTATAAAACAAGCCACTTAGAGGTAAATAATTATACCCCAAAATAATGAAGAGGGTGTAATTACCTAATTAAATTTGTTAAAGAGGAAGTGTCTTCAATTACTGTCTTATTCGTGCGCAGTTGGGTTTTTGGGAATGTGATACTAAAGCCAAGATTAGAAGATTTTTAAGAAGTAAAGTTCTATATTTTAAGTGCCAAGAATGCACAATACAAACAAAAAAATATATATAATGCACACACACACACACACACACACACACTTTTGTTCACTTAAAGTGGCTGTCACATTCTGGGCTCTTTGCTTTATTTGCAGACACTCAATAGCGACTTCGCCGCTTGGTGCCTGGTATCCGCGCGGTGAAGCGAAAAGGGACTGGGAGTTATACTTAACTGAACCTGTCCCTCATGGCTGCTGCCGTCAGCATCCAGTGGGTTCTCATCAGCTCCTGTTACTAGTGACTGCTGAGGTCAGTTACAAGACTTGAAAAACGTAGCTCCACCTTTTGTCACGCGGAGGAAAAATACATAAGGCAAAGTATTCTATAGAGAATCTACAGAAACAGATTAAAAGGGAAGAGCAGATTAGGAGTGAGGAAGATAAGAGGAACAGTTCGAACCAAGGTAAATATAGGGTGACATAGCTGCTTTAAGATTTTCAACCTTCAGGATATAAATGCTGACACAGGTCCATACTTTGAGATAAGAAGACAAGAAGGACTGAAACACAATAGTAGAATAAAGGAAAAAAGGTCCAGGCACTCCTTGGTTCAAGATAGGCACTTGATTAGAACCACAGCAACGTTTCAACCATCTAGGTCTTTATCAAGCTTCTAATCAAGTGCCTATCTTGAACCAAGGAGTGCCTGGACCTTTTTTCCTTTATTCTACTACCTTGGGAATCTGGTGTTTTGTTCCGGTACAGTTAAAGCACCCTGGCTCAGACTGATGGGAGTGAGTGCAGTTCCCCACACACTCTCCATGATACACAAATTTAGTGATCATTAGTAGCACAGTTAATTCACTACCCAGGTAGGTTAATTTCAGCTCACAGAATAGATAACCTTTCAAGAATTTTTGTGCAAGGCTTTTTGATCGCTCAGGAGGGAGGTCCAACAAGCACGGCAATGCCAACAAAAATTTAAAAACAGATTGCAGTTTTTGGAAATCATTGGAAAATTTCCTTAGGATACTAGAGCTCAGTGGGCTCACTTTTTACAGAATAGGTTTAAGGCTCCTTGATGTCAAGTATACATAGATCGAGGAATAACTTGCAAGGACTCTCGGAAGCTGGATTTTACCCCAGTGCTAGATCATGGGCTATAGACAATAGATAACTCTAGGTTAAATGAATGCACAAACACAACAACGTTGGGATACGCAATGAAAACTGCAAGAAGAAAAACAAAACAAACAAACAAAAACACAACAATCAGCAGAGTTGCAAAGGAAAAAAAAAAAGTTTGGAATAGCGGATCTGTCAACCTGAGCATGGAATAAAGTCAAGAGACTAAAGCATCTACAATAATATATTAAATGGAGGTCTAGATAGGACCGTTGTCTTTAATCTGCTGTCAAAACCTAGGTAAAAATATTGATAATCACGAGATTCACACAGGCTCTAAGTATTTACCATTGTTTTAAGTGCAGGAATCGGGCCATATGGCATCTCATAAAATGCCATATAATGAACTCAGACAATATGAAAATCAAACATTGTGTTTGACAAGTCATGTTGTGCCGAGTTTCTACAAATGTTCCGTCACCCAACATTCTACGTGGAATATAAACAAACAAGTCTATTCATTAAAGTGTACAATTGTCAAGAATTCCAAGTGAATATTTTTTCTGGCTAAAAATATCCCAACTGCACAGGAACAGAAATTAATAAACATGACATTTTAAGCAGCCTGCAGAGCATTAGCACAAAGGTGGCTGGATCCGGACATACATCTGATCGCTCAGGTCATTGATTTGATAAATAAATTAAAAAGTGCAGGTCAGGTCCACTCTAAAAAATTTTTTTTAAAGGTGTGGGGTTCTTGGGAACAGCATGATGTGTGAAACTGTTTAGGGGAAGGTAACGGGGGCTCATTAGCCTCCAACATCATAATGTTGTTTATTATAATGTATTTTTTATGATCGAACACAAATACCTCTATATATTTTGCTGCCTAGCTTTCCAAAAAAGGTTTCAAAATGGGGCAATCCCGTGGAAACTAGTAGAACCCACAGTACATTCCATTGGACATTGCTCCCCCTTTGCAACTTTGGCCCAGTTTTCAAGAACACGGAGCTTGAATAAATCTCCCCCATAAGGACTTCTTCGCTGGTCGCATGATTCTCCAGCAGGAAATGATGGCCATTCCAAGCAAACACGTGAGTCATCTGAATATTATGGAAATCCGTGACGTATATATGCGGATGACCCAGTTGGATGACTCTTAATGAATTGCTGACTCGTCTGTTGAATGAACATGCTCCACGAATGACTCAGTTCCTTCTGGATTTGTTAGGAAATAGCACAGATTTTAAAAATACTCGTTTTACCGGCTTTACTTTACTCAGTTCATTGATACTAAGCCTAAAATCCAATTGGAAACTTAAAAATTTTGGATAGGTCTTCGGGCAAATTTTTGTTTTATAGCACAGCTTAAATAGTCTATTGGTATTAGATGCTATGAATATATAAACTTGAAGAAAAAAAAAATGAGTGTGTCCTTCTTAGCAAAATATTTTATAAGTAAATGAAAGCATGCATAGGTATTCAGGTAAAAATATGTAATTTCTACTGGTGTATGTGGCCAAAAAAAAAAAAGGGGGGATTCATTCCATACAAACAAGACAAATTAAAAGAGATCAAGCTAAGATGCATTATGGAATGGCCATGAATTTGGCCACTTAGAATCTGTGAGTGAAATAATAAAATAAAATTATACATACCTCCCAATCGGGATGCCAGAGGAAAGGTAGTAAAGTGGATGGGCCAGTGATACAATTGTGTCACTAGCCACACTCAGAAAGGGGAATGCCGGCCCGAATTACTGGCATGTCAGTTTGGTGTGAATGCACACCAGGCTAACTGCTAATTGGCCAAGCCAGCCCACTGAGGGCAGACACTGCAGGGAGCACGGCTTAAGAACTCTTTGCAAGGTACTCGTGTGCTCGAGTGAGTCTAATGACATGCTAGTGGTGCGCTTGTTTCCCCAAATGTGGGAAACCAGGGAACTAAACTGAGAGAGGGACAGTTTTAAGTCCTGCATAATCCAGTGAGCTAGGTTTTCAATTCAGCTTTTTTGGTCTGAAGTTTCCCCTTTTGAGATCCCAACAAGTCCCGATTTATTTAATATCATACTACGGGTTATTCACTGACTGTCAAACTGTGACATTCCACACGCAGGTACAGACTAACTAGTAGAAACGCTTCAAAGAGAATCCATTAAAACAGAGTTGTGATTTAAGAACCAACTTGAAATATTTATGCCAAAATATCCACGGGAGGAGGAGGGGGAAGAATTCCAATTCAGTGAAATTGTATTTCCTCCCCCCCATCTATTTTTTATTTGTATTTTTTTAAACTGCTATTTTGGCCCAAACTTTGCAGATCGGCTTTTATTTTACAGAAAGCTATTTAGTAGACAGACCTCTTAACTTATGCATTTAATTAGCAGTTTTACAAGCCTGTATACTTTAAATGGCAGGTGCCCCTTTAATGTTTCAGTGAGAATAATGGATTTCCATCCTGCAAATGCGATCTAGACGGCTACTTCTGCTTTTTTTTCGTGCAAGTTAACTGCTTTACTAATTTTCCAGTAATAAAAAAAAAAAAAAAAATTAAATTGTTTTTTATTCCCACTTCTGAATGATTTCTACTAATGGGCTATCAGTGCAGGACAAATGTTATTTTGCATATTTAAAAAAAAAAAGTTTAGCGGACAATTTTTAATTATTGCATCTCACATTTAATCAGACGTACAGATGGCTCACAAACCGCAGCAACATGGATAGGATTAGGAGAGCATTGAAATACTCAAATTAGTTAAGCATATGTCATTTAATATGTGGAATGATTAATCCAGTACAGTTAGGAAACAAATTTATAAGTTTTATTTCTAGTTAAAGCGGATGTGTCACTTTTTCAGAAGTATTTCATAAAGATATATTCTTTGAGAAATATTGGTTAAAGGACCACTATAGTGCCAGGAAAACAAACTCGTTTTCCTGGCAATATAGTGCCCTGAGGTGAAATCCACTCACCTTTCTCCAGCGCCGGGCTCCCTCGGCACTGGGGACTCTCCTCCTCCTGTCGTCATCGGCTGAATGCGCATGCATTCGTCATCGGCTGAATGCACAGGCGTCTTCTCACTGTGAAAAATCACAGTGAGAAGCGCGGAAGCGCCTCTAGCGGCTGTCAATGAGACAGCCACTAGAGGCTGGATTAACCCGAATATAAACATAGCAGTTTCTCTGAAACTGCTAGGTTTACAGCAGGCAGTGTTACTCCTAGAGGGACCTGGCACCCAGACCACTTCATTGAGCTGAAGGGGTCTGGATGCCTATAGTGGTCCTTTAAGACTGCATTGGAATGTCACTAAAATTCCAACAGAGGCCAAAGTTATTATAAGATAAAGTAGGGACTTCTTCGTCTTATGGTAAAGCCTGAGGTTGACAAAGAGCCCCTCTGTCAACCTTTGGCCAATACCAGCAGCCATCACAATTGGCTTTATCTATATAGGATCCCGCAATCTTCCGTAAGCCTTCCTACACCTGTTGTACTCTTGTGCATGCACGACTGATGTGCCATGAGCCATAGGACATGAGTAGCAATATGGCTTTGGCTGCTAGGGACAGCCAGAGGCAAATTAAACTCACATCGCCTGCACCTAGCAGCCACTGGACCACCCAATCGGATCTGTACTTTGTGGAATATGCAAAGATCCCCGAAATTTACAGATGTGCTTTAACCGTGTATGCAGCTTGCAAATCTGTAAAATACAATGCTCCTGTAAAAATATAAGAAAAATCATTTTACGCACGCGATAGATAGTATATTATACTATTCTATTCAACAAAAGTTTCAAGGATTTTAAAACAAAGTGGATGTGATTGCTTCACAGACAGAAGGAAAAAAAAAATCCAAGGTCACCATTATGTTTATATATTTAAAACACCGCCAAATCTTCAAGCTATTACTTTGCGATAGCTTCTAGTTTACAACTGAGAATAATCTATAGTGTTAGTAAAATGTTCATTTTACAACTCTTGCATTATTATTTCAGGTCATAGAGAGGACATAGTGGGGAGAAAAAAAAAGAAAAAAAAGGACAAGATTATATATCCCTGTATGAAAATCCACAAATCCTTGAGGGGCGGTAAGAAAGAAATAGGTATATGGCATACTTTGAAATATGCACAATCACACACATTTTTAGATGTATGACACATATGCTTGGAATACAGAGTGAATTTCACTTAAGCCACAGTAGACAAACATGAATTAAAAAAAATGTAAATTTCACACTCTGTTCTCGGTCTGGCAACGTTGACCGAAAATGTTAAAATTAATTTGAATCGTAGTCCAATTACGTTTTATGGAATAACACTGCGTTATTGTGTGTATAATTCAGAGACATAATAACCACAAGACTGAAGGTCAAGTATGTATCTTCTGCAATTCATGATATTTATAGGCTAGGGTTCATTTCAAGGGTTAAATTATGTGGGTTAAAGGACACCTAAACTACCGAAAATAACAATTGATATTTCAGAGCTATTGGTTTCCTGATGGCTTTATGATCAGTGTGCGGTATAATTTTGTTAAAAGTTAACTCCCTTCCTTTCCTGCGCTGGGACTCTTTCACTGCAGCCTCCTGCACCTCCTCCAGTGATGTCAGCATCCAAGTGGACATCACCTGCCATCTCCTCCAATCCATTGCTTCGCATTTGCCATGCTCCTCCAATGAAAAGCTCTCATCTGGAGGAGGAAGCGCCCCTAGTGGCTGACGAGAAGTAAATCACTAGAGGGGTATTTTATCCTGCAATGCAAACATTGCAGTTAAAAAAAAAAATGACATGACCACTATATTGAGACATGGTGGTCTGGGTGACTTTAGTGATCCTTTAAGAGAAGGAATATGTTGCAAGAGGAGCACTGTGACATGTGTCCCACTGCCTGAGATTAGTTGGAGTTACAGTCTAAAGCATCAGCTATTTCATATGCCATTAAAAGGCCGTTGGGAGTGCAAATCTCACTAAGCTGAGGTAGACCGAGAAAAGAATATCCCTATTCAGACGGAGTTTAGAGCCCCCCACCGCATGGAGCGGATCAATAGATTTAGCTAGGAGAATACTTACTTATTGTAAGTAATCACAAGAGTTTGCAAAAATAAATAAATAATTGATTTTTTAAAAATGAATAAATAAAAACGTTACAATGTATGACTACTAACTAGCTGGAATTATTAGTCAGAGAGTGAGCGCAATGAAGTGGGCACTGGGTGTGTGTATGTGCACACACACATTCCCCTTTGCCATCATTAATAACATTTGCCAACTGTGATGCACCTTTCTCAAACACTGCATCAGTGTGTTCCTCCCAGATGTAGGATATCACTCTGTTTGCACAAGGAAAAGATATGTAAATGCAGGTTCAACAGAAAGCACAGCACAAGTATGAAGGACACAGTCTAATGAAAAATAATATTTACAAAAAATTTGCTCCCTCTAGCATGTAAGCTCATTGAGCAGGGCCCTCAACCCCTCTGTTCCTGTGTGTCCAACTTGTCTGGTTACAACTACATGTCTGTTCGTCCACCCATTGTAATGCGCTGCGGAATGTGACGGCGCTCTATAAATAATATCATAATAATAATAATAATAATAATAATGATGAAATTACTTTTAATAAAATAACTGGTGTCTCACAGATAAATATTGCGGATATATGCACAGCCATCACCGTGATTCACCAACCCAATGCTTCTCTGTGAGATGCCTTACATGCATGCAGTGTCCACTACAAAGCCCCTGGTTTCCTTCTGTCTGAGAACCACTAGGGGTGCTGATACAGCAATCTATAACCAACGCCATTGCTCAACCAACATCCTTCCAATGGGCAAAAAGCATTAGCCCAGGTGGCAGTGGGGGCTTGTCTGTTGGCAGCCAGGGGTCCCCAAGTCAGATTTAAAAAAATAAATGGTTTAACACTGAACAGTGGGCCAGTGCCAGAGGACTCCACTATAACCACTTCAAGGAAAAGCCAGTCTGGGGTTAATTTAAAGGAACATTGAATTGTGGTAAACTAAATAACCAAGCAAAAAAAAACAAAAAAAAACCACACAATTAATGAAATATTCTTTCCTTTCTTATTTTGGAATAAACTTTGTAATTTGACTTTCAATTTACTGTTTAATATAGAAATATCATCTTCGTGCACAACAGAATATCATGCAATGCTTAGCCAGCTGCAGGATCCATTAATTAAGTTCCCCAATAAAGAAACCACATTTAACAGCACGCTATAACTAGGATAAGATCATTCCATGTTCAAAAGGAAGCATATACATTAATACGAAAATAAATAAATAAAACCCCACATAAAATCACCTGATAAAATGGCAGACACAATAATGTGAACCTTGGATGAGAGTGAAAAGAGTTAGAGTCCCTCTCAAACTAAGCACACTATAGCCCTTCTACCTCTAGGTTTCCCCAAAACCTTCAGCATGGTTCCCTGCTGTCTCATTGCTACTTCCCATCTTTTTGTGGCGGTTCAACGTAAAGGTGTTTATTGGATCGTAGTGCAATTATTGAATCACTTTTTTTTTTTTATAAATTAGTTTTTAGTCTTTAGATTGTAACCCTCTCCTCCCCCCCACCCCCCAATTGTACAAAACTCTGAATATGTATGTGAAGCACCTTCTGCAATGATTCCCTTTCAGAGAGAATATGAAGTATTACTCGTAATCTATTGTCTGATCACATCTGCCCTTTTCTTACCTGTGATCTTATCGGATTGTTTGGCTATGTTCACGTCATCCTTCTGCCCCATAAAATTAGCATTCTGACTTTAGTGGCCACAGCCGCCAGACAATATCAGTGCATAGTGTACTCTGTCTGCAATGACTGCCAAAGCATGAATTCCAGAGACCCTCGCCACATGTGGAAATACTATGCAACACAGTAGGTGGGAAATTACCTGTCTAGAGACCAGCAGTGCTGTCCTCACTGTCAGGGACACCCGAGCTTGTTCCAGACTCTGCAGTTATTTAATCCTGGCCGTATTCTTACCTGGACAATGAAGTCTCGGTCCGCTCTGATCCCTGAGCTGTTGCAAACTGTACTCCGTGCTTCACTGAACTTGGCTGCAAGATTCAGCTTGTCTGTAAGAGGGAAGAGACATGACATAACTTTGAACCCTTCAGGGGAAACCGCTATGCAACTTAAAAATTTTTTCCTTCTTTATTTTAAAGTTAACGTGTCCCAACCAGATAATTTTATCCACAAATTAAAATAAGCTGAAAATTTTTTAAATGTAACATTACCAAAATAATAATAAATATACCAGGTCTATATCATTTCCCCAGCATTTCTAATGGATAAAGAGGAACACTAACTTTAAGGGTGCGCCTGATGGTGTGGCCAGGGGCAGGGCTGTTCTGAGAATATTTATAACAATTTATGCAACTAAAATGAAATTTAGAACATGGAGAATGTATGTCTTTATGGGCCTGTGGGGAGATCAAAGATCTCTCTCACCTGCCTGCTGAACCCACTGTAAGGAAAAGAGCCTCTAGTCTCAACCTCTGCCAAGTGCAGACGTGATAATAGTTGGACTACCAGGTCTGCCAACACAACATGGGTCGAAAGGCTTAAAAATAAAAACTTGAGAAGCCCCGGCTGTGCATGAATACTGATGATCTAATACAGTAGGGCACATGGCGCTCTTAAGCCCATGATGGCCTTCTACCCAGAAGATTTTTCTGACCGATTCAATGACTTGTGCATAGAAGCTGAGTCCTAACAAATACCTTCTACACATATGCCAAAGCCGGACTCTTCTCTGGTGACGACGGCTGTGCTGAAGGAACTTTTGGTGGATCTCAAGCAAACTATTCAGGTCGATGTGGTCACAATCTGCAAAGATCTGCAAGGCCTGACATATCGACTGGGTGCCCTGGAACAGAACACTTAAAGGAACACCCAACATAATTCTACTTCGCTCCAGCAGGCAATACAAGAGATGTAGCAACGGCATACTTAATTTGAGATTTGCTACACTGGAAGACATGCGACCCTTTGTTGTCACCCAAACAAGCCAAGGCCATAGAATTTAATGTTTTTTTCCCTGTCTCCCCAGATCAACTAAAGCTCCAAGAGACTTGGGGGTTTGCTGTCAGAGTGGCAGATTTAAAGCTGCAGTCTTGGCTGCTATCAGGGGAAACTCTCTGTATGACTGAGACTACGTCTCTTACCTGATCTCTCTACTGATACACTGGCATGGCGTGTACCACCATCTTTCCTTCGTTAACACATTAGATATCACTGGCAAATGTCACGAACGATCTTTGCCCTCCATAGAGAATCATCATATCCAGTTGAGGATTTTCAGTGGGTGGCCAAGATTCTGGTGACCTTGGGTCTCCCGCAGGACTTGCTTGAACAAACAGGTTCGTGCATGGCTAGCAAGTCACCCCATCGCTAGGACTCGGCAGTTACAACCCCATTTTCTACTCAAATGTGCGCATCGGACACTTCTGTAGGAGTCCCTACTTGAGCTCTCACTGGCGTTCTACTGTGTTAGGCTCCATATGATTACCACAAATTGTTAAATTTTGATTTTAACCAGCTTATATTTTATTTCTATGTAGTACTGAAAAGAACAACTCCCCCCCCCCCCTGTTCAGGGGTATTATTAATATCAACACACACTATATATACACACACACACACCATATTTTTTCTTTTTAAAGGAACAATCCCTGTATTTGGTCATCATGGCATTTTCTTTACAGTACTAGGAGTATGTAAACGAAAACACAAAATACGCACACATTATAAAAGATGTATGACTTAACTTTCGAAAAATTTTCTAAACATGGCAATACATCTAAGCGTACAGAAACAAAGCAAATCATTTAAAAACCATGATTAAAGGTAAGATTTTTATTTTTCCTAAACACTATAATGCAGTCACCTTCACTATTCCAGCCTAAATACCTCGTGTGAATTAGTTCAGACACAATGATCTCCACAAATACAGTGTACGGTGTTATTTTACCACCCTAAATTACACCCTGCTCTCCTGCATCTGTAACACCTCTTCCGCCACTTCATATCCACAGTACATCTGCTAGAACTGTTATTTACTCGAGACTTCTGAGAAAGAGTGCATATACTTTGATGAAGCAAAGCAGATACAGATCAACTTCACAGAGAATACTGCTTTCCAATATGTGTATTAAAGATAGTAGAAAACACCAGTGGCAGATCCCGGCGGCATACCTGGGCACCCTCAAGTAGTCTAAGTAATTTATATCAGTCTGGTAGCAGGAGTTGACCATCCCATGAAATGATTTACATACAAGTCTGTATGTATCTTGGGGTGATTGTATGTGGGTATAGGGATCTGTGAATTAATGGAAAATAAGATGACTGATGGTTAGTGGACAGCCATGAATTGCTGATTTTATTCACATTTCAAGAGAGAAGTGTCCAATAGAGGAGAAAAAAAAATTAAATTATATATCGGTTGGCTATTTGTCACTTGATCTGTAAATCAAATGGCGCAGAAATGTGCCTATCAGTGTACTGCAAAATATATAGATATCTATACATCAAAGCAGGACTGTCATGGCCACATCAGTTTTTTTTTTGTTTTGTTTTTTTTAAACCCCCTCTCGACTCCTCTACATTTGATTGTCCCCCTAGTCACCCCCAAATGACACAAGGTAATTTTTTTTATTTTACCTCTATTTTTATGTTCGGATCCATGTTCTAGGCACCACCAAATTTGTGTGTCCTGGATGACTTGTATCTACACGAACTCGGTCTATAAAATTTGCGCAAATGCCCAATTAAACACTTGGGTATTCGCTACTGTCCGAAATTTAAGACCAAATTTCTGCAATTCGGTATTGTTTGTTTAGTTTATTACAAGGAGGGATCTACCAGCTTGCAGCTCTCTCCTTGTAATATAGAAAAAGAAGTATCAGGAAGCTGTGCTCCCCACCACTTTCTAAATCCCACCACGCACTCCCCCACTCTAATGGGGGTCAGTATGAAACGCAGGTTAGCATAATTCTCCCTCCTGCCCCTACTAGCTGTGCCATGAGTACGGGAAGGTCTACTAAACAATGAGCATCCAGAGGCTGCTCACAGTTGTAAAAATAAATAAACCTCCCCAATCCAATAAAGGGGGACCTGACAGTCCCCACCCATTAGTGGCGAGTGGGGGCCAGTTGTAAAAATAACTACTCCCCCGGTGACTCCAATCAATAAAAACCCTACCTACTGCCCCACCTCACTCTAATAATAGTGGGGGGAAGGCAATAAACTAAAAAGAGGTCAAACAAAAATACATAATGTGGCATCAAACTATTAAAATAAAAAAAAACAGACCGCTAAAATAAATAAATAAAAAGGCTTTAGCTGTAGTGGCTCGGGTGACCATAGTGTCCCTTTAAACTCATTTTCTTAACCATACATAAGCCTAGTGCTTCCGCATATGTATGAAACTGTATGTGTGAGTGTGGATGTAGATGTAAATATTTATCAGTGTATCCATGTTTGTAAGTGTGTGTGTGAAGCGGTGTTTAGAAAAATGGACACAAAAATAACAGACCGGAGCGGGGCCTGACCGCCATACTGAACAGTCGCACTAAAAATCAACTCAACACTTAAGTAAACTTGACAACTCCTGTTGCAGACACTCTGCGACACACATTTTGAGGCGTTTAGCCGCTTGACTGGTGGTATTACCCCAAAGCATCTCTGAGGCCTACCTGTGGGGGCAGCTGGGGAGAAATGGCCGAAATCCCTGCCAGGACGTGGAAAGGTGGAAGGGTTCCCCATTCCCCTCCCTGCCAGTGAGAGATATCCCGGCACATCAAACTAAAGGAGCCTCTGTGATCTTCCAAAAGCCCCGGCACTCTGAGGCCTTCCTAACATCCATGGCTAAAATAGCGGATGCCCGATGTGATGGCAGACTGGAGACATCTATGAGGCGCTTGGACGAAATCTTCGCCAACTTTTGACTCAAACTAGCTGACCGGCACAAGCAACGTGTGGAGAGGAAGCAGGGCAGCAGCTCACTGCAAGGCTCACCTCCTGATACTCACCGATCCACGCCTAACCTCGTCAGGCAAATAATCTCCACACCGCGCTACTTTCACCTGCAGAAGCGACCCGATCAACCCCCTCGCACTTACCAGAGCCACAAGGCGACCAAAGCTCATCACCGCAATCCCGGGCAGAGTGCCGGAGAGAGAAACTTCAAGACCAAGCTAACACTAAACCGCACTGGACCAGCAGGAACCGACAATGTGTTCCCACTCAAGCCTGGGGCAGACTGAGTGGCCAGTTCTGGGTCACTGGTGCTTTCACTAACCAAGGAGGTTAGAAGCCAAGTCTGGGGATAGGGTGAACTGCCCACAATTTACTACCTGTGGTGTGCATTTCAGTTATTGCCTTGTTTTTATTTCACTGACATGTATCAACCCTTGCCTGGATTGCTGACACTATGTTTCCTTCTCACTTAACTACCTTTTGCAGTGCTGATGGCATCTAGTGGTCATGGTGCTCTGTCCTCTCTGAGCCGCGGAGCATAATATTATTTTCTGTTTAATAATCATCTCAGCTTAGGAAATTGATAGCAACCTGTTCAGTACCTTTAGTTCCTTCTCTACTTACCAATTCTTAAATTTGAATCACTGGGGGGGCGTGGCCTACGCAGAGCAAGATGGCCGCATGAAAATCTGCTCCGCCATATGGGCACCTAATGCGCGACAATCCTACTAACAGAAACTGCATCCAGCGACCTTCAACGAGGATATCACAACATAAAAACAAAAGGGGTTCGGCGAAACCCGACAAACTTAATTTTTTCAGTCAGAAGCCGGCGTCTGTGGCTCCGGTGGAACAGGCCTCGATCGACACCGAGGATCCTGAATCCGACGAAGGCAAACAGTGCTCAAGACACAGCACACAAACAAACGGCACACAAATCACAAAGGCAGATCTTTCAGCTGCTCTGGAAATATTATCGAACAAGCTAATAACATGGCAACATACCGCAGATTCTTTGAAAAAAGATATACAGGAACTGGGGAGAGGAACAACAAACATGGAGGATAAATACGACGAATTCGCTACAGCGCATAATGATTTAGCTACAAATGTGGAACAACTCTCCACACAATTAAAGAATATGGAAGAAAAATTAACAGACATGGAGGATCGTTCCCGCCGGAACAACCTCCGACTACAGGGAATCCCTGAAGAAATTCCCAACGATGACTTGCCTTCCTACATTAGGGGCTGCTTGAAAGCCCATGCACCTGAGATACCAACGGATATGCTGTTAATAGATAGAATGCACCGCATCCCAAAACCGCGCCATCTCCCTCCTACGGTCCCAAGAGATATATTACTGAGAGCTCACTATTTCCATGTTAAAGAGCATATACTCAGAAGCTGCAGAACACGAGCCAGGCCGCCGGAGGAATATGCCACAATCCGGATATATGCGGATCTCTCTGCAGCCACGCTCCGGAGAAGGAAGGAGTTCTCCCAGGTAACAGGAGCATTGTGAGCGCATGGCATCCGTTATAAGTGGGGTTTCCCCACAAAACTTATCATAACAAAAGAAGGAAAAACAACGGTGATACAAACACCTGAAGATGGTGAGCAGAAATTACAAGGTTGGGACATACAACTAAAACCTGACCCCCAGAATATACCAAAGACAAACGGAAAGCTTAAAGCAGAATGGACAATGCACCAAAAGAAACATTAACACCAGACGATCCCTGGTTTAACGGCACACATCGGACAAAATACTCTACGTAGCCTACACCCACGACGAACACGACCCATAAGGAACTACTCTTCTTAAAATAGCCACGAACCTGCTTTGGCCTGGCCTGGCACCAGATGGGCCCGCTGAACGATGTGGACCGCCGGATCCGGGGCTTCCGCCACCCCCCTGCGACGAAGCGGTGCAGAGCAGGGTTATCGGTGCGGGAGAGCCGGATCTGGAGCCACATCTCCGGCTGGGGATGGCTTCTGCACGAGTCTGGATTGACTGTTGGATCCGGGGCTCCCAACATCCCCTGTGACGAAGAAAGGCAGAGCAGTGGAACCGATGCGGGAGACCCAAGCCCAAGGCTGCGTCTCTGATAGGAGACCATCTTGGGTAAGAAACATGCACTATTTCAGGTACTCCTGCAAGGGAGACAGGATACCATGACGGACCACATGGAAACCCATAAAGACATACGGACTGAGAGACTTGGCTTTATTTCTGCTTCGCTCTTAATTTTTCTCTCAATTTTAGCCTCAATTTAATTTTTATTTTTTAAAGCACAAAAGAGAGGGAAGAGAGTAGCGGAAGGGAAGTAATACGAAATGGCCGGGAAGGAGGGGGAGGGACTGGGGAGATGTAATGTAATATGCTATTTGATAAGAGAGTTTTAAGGTAGGGATATACTCACTATAGACAGTGACATAACCTAACATGAACACGCTACTAATAAGGAAGGCCCCCTCTGACTGACCCCTACCCGAACAGCAACTATAGGGACGACGTAACACACTGACTAGCTTTAATTTAGCTATATACACAGTGGCCTCCAACAGGAATAACTTCCACGACATCCAAACTGATGACAAGCATGCCCAAACCATGGAGATATCCTGCTGGGGTCCGTTAACAAACCGGCCTGCCGCGGCCGCCCCCTGTCCCGAACGTGGATACCCCGTGAGTGTCCACATTTGAAGTGTAAATGTGGGTAGAGACCCAACTCCATAACTGTCCTACTCAGATACGTACAACCAAACCAAACATAGAACATCATGCAGTGACTTCTAAATACAGCCCATGGACCACGCTAATGAAGATAAAAACCAACTCCAACCCCCATGGTGTGACAAATCCACACCTTGTCTCACAACGAGACACAATGTACATAGTTATCCCTCCCCCTCCAAGTTTTAAACCCCTCGTAAATACCTCCATCGGATCAACAAAAAACATAAGCAACATCTATGCCAACGCAGAACTAGACAGCGCACGCACAAGAGATAACATGCAACAAAAAATGGGACCCAATATCATAACATTGAAATACCACATAATTCTCACCTCACTAATGCAAGCTCCCACGACACCACAGCCTGCCGTAAACAATAGACAAATGACTTGTATGCTTCAATGCCTAGCAATCACATCACATCCGCACTTAGTAGATGAAAGTACAATCAATTAATACCCGCGGGTTAAATACACCGCATAAACGCAGACTACTGTTGGAAGAAGCACAAAAACACAAAACGGATATACTCTGTGTGCAGGAGACACATTTTGTACACAACAGAGTCCCAACATTCGACTACAGAGATTACCCAACACAATATCATTCAACGTACTCCTCCAAATCTAGGGGAGTCTCCATACTCATTCATAAATCTCTCACATTTGAACTCCTGCAACTAAAAAGAGATACACAGGGCAGGTATATCATACTGCATTGCAAAATAAATATACAATATCTCATAGAAAGTTTCTACGGGCCAAACGATAATCAGAAAAATTTTCTCCACAAGATGCTAGCGAAACTGCCGTCCACGACCCACATTCCCCAAATTATATGTGGAGACGTCAACCACGTCCTACAGCCCAAATTAGATACCACCTTACCACATACATCACCTAGATATAAAAGCATATGCAAACAAACAGCAGCATTAACACGACTACTCTCGGAATATGGACTATATGACATCTGGAGGACACAACACCCAGATGACCGGGAATTTACATTCTACTCGCCTGTCCATCATACATACTCTAGGATTGACTACATACTAATCACAGGTGATCTACTACCACACGTAACCCATAGCGATATAGGCAATATCACCTGGTGAGACCATGCTGCTAGCTGGATAACAATCAGAGATAATTTTGCCTTCCGAGGAACAACGCCCTGGCGTTTGAACGATACCCTGCTACAAAACCCAGAATTTAGCCACACGTTAAACTCAGAAATAATATCATACTTTGCACAAAACAACACCCCTGATATGTCACCGGCCACGGTGTGGCAGGCTCATAAGGCAGTTATCCGCGGACATCTCATAAGTAGAGCATCCTATCTCAAGCGCAAGTCAAATCAGGAGTATGTACACCTACTTAGATCCCTTAGAGACGAAACTAGAGCCCAAATATCACAGCCATCACCGGACAAACAACAACACATACAACACATACAGAAACAAATCAACGAAATACATACACTAAAGACAGTGAACATCATGCATAGACTAAAACTCAACTCATATACACAAGGAAATAAGGCGGGGAAAGCACTGGCATCGACACTCTGACAGAAACAACAGAATGCCAAAATACCTTTCCTCTTCAACGAGCAGGGAAACAAAATTTATAACCCACAGGACATAAACGATATGATGGCGGATTATTATGAAGGATTATATAACCTAAAAAACGACGGCAACACACATCAGCCTCTCACATCCAACATAGCAGACTTCTTAAGGGAAGTAAAGCTAACTAATATAACACCAGATGACCGACTAGAATTAGAAAAACCCATCACACTTAGTGAAATACAACAGACGATAAAAATGCTTCCTAATGGAAAATCCCCAGGCCCAGATGGGTTTACGAACCCATATTATAAGATTTTTTCACACACATTGACACCTCACCTAGTGAACTTATACAATCATATACTGTCCACCGGAATCCCTCCCCAAGAGATGTTGATTGCACATATAACAACATTACCCAAACCTGGTAAACTACCACACAAATGCCAAAACCTATGCCCAATTTCATTATTGAACACAGACCTAAAGATAATGGCAAAAATATATGCAACTAGATTGGGGAATTTTTTACCATCTCTAATAAAAGACGACCAAGTGGGATTCGTCAAGGGCAGACAGGGCTCCGATGGAACCAGAAAACTAATTGACCTCATTCACAACATCCAGCAAACCCGGGAACCTAGTGTGGCCCTGTCACTAGATGCTGAAAAAGCATTTGACAGGCTGCACTGGGGATACCTTGAAGCTGTACTTAAGAAATATCACTTCCCACAACGCTTTCTTACACTGGTCTCGGCCCTATACAACGAGCCAAATGCAAAGGTGATCAATGGAGGCTTTGCTTCCAGACAATTCCGAATATTGAACGGATCCAGACAGGGATGCCCACTGTCACCCTTGTTGTATATCCTAGCTCTGGAGCCACTAGCTCAACACATCAGGGAAAACCAAAATATACACGGGATAACAATTGGCAATATAACGCATAAAATCACGTTGTTTGCTGATGATGTGATGCTGACCCTGACTAAACCTGAAATATCTCTACCAACATTACAAACAGTAATACAGCAATTTAGCAACTGCTCATATTACAAACTAAATGTCACCAAGACCCAGGCCATGAGCTTCAACATACAAACCCCAAGGCTCCAAAATCTGCAAAGTAAATACACATATGATTGGAGACGCGACCACCTCAATTTTCTAGGCATATCACTCACACCAACCACACGTAAATTGTACCAGGCCAACTATGAGAAACTCCTCCGGGAGATAAAAAAAATCAAATGCAGGGCTGGAAGGGGAAATATGTGTCGTGGATAGGCAGAATAGCGGCGGCAAAAATGATGGTGTTGCCACGTCTGCAATACCTCTTCAGAACCCTACAGATAGCTCTCCCAAAACTATTTCTCATAGATGCCCAGCGATCTCTAAATAAAATTTATATGGGGTGGGAAAAGAGCCAGAACAGCAGCAGAGACTTTATACAAACCCTTCAAACTTGGCAGAATGGGGGTCCCAAACGTCACAAGATACTACGAGGCTGCTATGATAAGCACACTTGTAAACATACACCACCACAAAACACCACTGGCGTGGAACCAAATAGAAGCGGCATGCACCGAAGGAATGCCACTACACACTCTAGCCTGGATACCTGTAGACAAAAGGCCACACTACAAAAACATATGCCCAACAACAATATCTACACTCAAAGTATGGAACAATCTGGTTAAAAAACAAAATAAAAAAAGCCCAATTCTCCCAAAACTTTCAACTCCAGGCACTAAAGGTTTTGATCCCAGGATTTGAATATAAAACATGGAACTCCTTTGGAGTGTCCTACATATCACAGGTACTAACAAACGGCCATATAAGTGATTATGTTATGCAACAAATACAATCTACCTTCCACACTCTTCTTCTCATACCTGCAATTGAAATCATGGGTAACCAAACACTATGACAACTCCCAGACACGAGGATATGTGCTTAACGAGATAGAACACTTATGTATGGCAGACAAACCACCATTACGACTCCTGTCCTCTCTATATAGATTGCTCGAACACAACACCACCACAAAAAAACTCAACTTTATTAAAGCATGGGAAAGGGAACTTGACCACATACTGACGCCTGAGGAATGGCTACAGACACAGAGAGCTCACAAAATGCTCACATTAAACACAGCACACATAGAAATAAGTAGGAAGCTCCTATACCGGTGGTATATGGTGCCCTCAAAGCTGTACAAAATAGACTGCACCAAACCGGATGTCTGTTGGAGATGTGGTGCAAAGCCTGGGTCTATGACCCATGTCTGGTGGGGATGTACGAAATTGACAAAATTCTGGTTAGATATTTCAGGCCTCATAGAGGACACCACAGGTGTAAAGCTACCGCATACCCCACTGTCCTATCTGCTACTCATATGGCCCAAAACACTACAGAAACCGGACGCATACCTTGCGTACCATATCATCATTACAGCCTTAACTGCCATAGGCAGGAACTGGTTGAAAGACACAGCCCCCTGCATAACACATTGTATAGAGGGGGTGGAAACTACCAAACAATATGAAACAGCAGCAAGGAAAGCGCAAACAAAGGAAAGCGCAAACAAAGGAAAACTTCTGGGTTTTAGCATGGAATAAATGGGAGTTAAAGAATAAACACCACACGAGCAGTCCCATAACCTTATAATCATAACCTAAGTGCATCGCAGCCTAGACGAATTGATCCCCAACTCTGCGACCAGTCTAAACAAATTCCTCCTTCCCCTATGTTTTGTTTTTTTTTCTACCCCCTAACAGTTTTTACCCTTCACACATAACTTGTACTCCAAGCCCCTCAAATAAGAAGGAATATAATCACTGTGACAGGCCGCAGGCACCACCACCACTATGTACGTACATTGACACTTAAAATGGTATACATGATACTTTCAAACAATGGGAACAGAACTATTGTGTATAAATACAATGTTGAACGGTCTAAATGTGCCTGTATGACCAGATCTGGTGACATATATAGCAAATATGGGGTCTGACAAACATGATGTTAAGAGTTCCCTTTCCCCTTTTTCTTCTGTATCCCTATTTTACTTTACATTTAACTACAAATAAACAATGAAAAAATTTTTATAAAAATAAAAAATATTTGAATCACTGACTTACTTTTCTATAAAAAAAAGGGCAGTCATTTATTCCTCAGCACACCTCTAAAATGCTATTGATTGTATTTACATTTGTGTTGAAAATTTCTTGTAATCTGCTTATGATGAATATTATACCCCTGTGCACGTTAACGTCTGTCACATTATCTCACTGCACGTCAAAATAAAGAAAGTTTTTTCTTTTAAACAGGCTCTGGAACATTAATACAAGTGGAAAGAGTTATGCACATTGGAGGATCAAGATATTTTGGGGCCTACCAGGATCACCTCCTCCCACATACACTCCTATCTTTCTTTAGGACTTTTACTCTTACCTCACCGCCCTTTCTGTTCTTTTAGACACCCCCCACATACACCCTTTTTATTTAAACATTTATAAAAAATATGTATTCAAATAGAGATTTTAAAAATAAAGTAATTGTTCAGTCATACTTGTGCTTCTGTGCAGGATCAGGATGAGCTCTTCCTCAGCCCAGCCTTACAAGGAACATTGTAGCATTAGGAAGACAAAAATATATTGCCAACGCTATAGTGACCTTCAGCCATAAAGTTAACTATATTGTCAGAGTTAGATTAAATTGTGTGCTTAGTGGATTAAACACTAGAGGTGTTTTATAGTTGTATTATAAGGGGTGTTTAGAATGAATGGGTTTAAGGTTAGAGTGGGAATACTTTAATATTGGGGTACATAGGATGTTTTAGGCAGAGTTCTTAATATTGGGAACAGGGAATGGGTTTAGGTTTTAGGAGGGGTTCACTTTTGCTTGAGGAAAAAGGGGTGTTTTGGGTACAGGCATGTGGAGTTTATTTGCAAAGTACTCACCCTCCTAATAGTGAAAGTATAGCTGCTGTGCAGCATGCAGTCTCTGCTCCTCCGGCAAGGCACTTCCTGTGTGAGAGGCTGCTAGTGGGCAGATGGGAAGTGATCCCTTCCACTTCCTGTCCAGCCTCACACACAGACACTGGAGGAGCAAGGAGTATTACACCGTCTATATCTGTTCCTGCAGCCTTGCTATCCAGCATAGGAGGCTGGCTGGACTACAGAGGATATTGGCCAAAGCCCCTGGTACTCCTCTCCCCTCACCAGTCCATCTTAGCTTAAAATACACATTGTAATTGCTGTAAATAGGGGCCCGATATAGGACTACTCTGCTTAATGGGAAACTCAGCATAGTGACCTGAGCCCACCCCTACCACTGGCTGATAGGGTGGTCAAAGCGATTGTTGAAGTTGACCCAAGGAAATGGAAAGTTGGACTCTTTATACCCCAATTGCCATTGCAATGAAACAATGGTCTGAGCATCCTCTGGTCCAGACTTGGGTGAGCCGCCGGAATAGCGTTAATTCATTGACATGGAGTTGAGCAACATGTGGGGGTGGGTATGACCTAATAAATCTGAGGTATGGATGGGGGGTTCATTTGTTTAATAATTAACTGTTTATTGCATTTCACATGGATGGATGAGCACTACTGAAATGGACAGCCATAAACCTTAACACATTGTCTACCATAGCACGCAAATTAGGCAAATATATTCGTTAAATGTATTCAGTCAACATTGTAATTTACTTTGGAGAGGACCTGATGGGGAACAATTCATAACAGTAAGGAGAACTATTGGGCGATCAGCCTATTATATTGATAGCAACCCTGAAAGCATGTCCACTAGTTGCACAATCCATTCACAATCAAAAGGAATATTACAAAAAAATAAAAATGCATGAATCCATGGGTGAATATAAAATTCATACCTTACGGGCAAAGACCGTAACCTGCCACCCCCCCCTTTTTTTTTTGGTTTCATTAAAACTGCCTGCCGCTTTAACACCTTGAATGCCTGGAGAGTTTCTTGTGTTGCCTTATCGTTGTGGGATTGCTGGTCCTGCTCCAGAGCACCGAGTGGCTGCAGGGATTGAGTGCGGCTCCTATCACTTTTACTTATATTGAGAAACCTATCGATCAATATGAATAAGTAGCACAGCCGTTTATGTGTAACGAAGAGGGGAAGTTGAATATTCATTCAATTTGGTGCATATTTTAACAGCTCTTTCACCAAGTAAGATAGAATGCCCATCTGATACATAGTTTCACAAAGATCAGTAAAAGCACAGTAACTATTAGACTTATACATTTGATTTCAAACAAATCACAGTTCACCTGACGTTTTGGCAATTGGTCTGAATTCCACAACCCCGAAATCACTACATTGCCGAATCAAGGAACAATCAAAGTGGGCAATGGAAAGTAATTTTGTTTGTTTGTTATTCAGAGATTTGTTCATGGCTAAAGATGTGAGGGGTGATTGATGGCTAGGGGCAGCAACTAGATTTTGATTTTATTTAAAGATTAAATCAGAAATTACACATATGCAATTTGTCCGAACCACAAAAATTGGTGTACAGGCCTAGTACGGGTTTCATAGAAAGGAGAGGAGCATGACCTTTCTTATACAAAAACAAATGGGGGTCATCAGATCATCAGCAAATCCAATGGGAGTCAGGTTTAAAAATAGGCTTTACAATTCTTGGCACAACATAGGGTTTAGATACAATGTCCATAGCACTTGTACGAATTTGCAAAGATTTGCCATATTATTCCTGAACGTTTTTTCCTACAGATGATTAGCACAAGTGCTGCGTTGTAGTATTCAAAAAAAAGGTGTAAGGAAGAAAGTCAATTAACTTAAGAAGGCAGTTCCTTTGAGATCTCGCTTTGATCAATAAATTATGTTCCTACAGCAAATTAATTCTACATAAGGCAGGTCAGCACTTTTCATGCTCTGCACATCACCACAGAGAAGTGTTATGCACAGTTAAAACAGTGCAACCATAACTACTACAGTGATACAGTTTGAGCCACACTTAACCAGTATAAACACAGCTGCAAGATTGAAGTCAATTTTTGTGTATTTTTAGACATACTGGTTATAGGACATTTAAACCTCCAGAAGCTGTATTTATCAACGCAAAGCAAGACATTTTGAGGGGGGAGCACTGGATTTACAGAAAGCACTACAGAAACTAATGGAATTCTATAAAAAATTTAAATAATAAAAATAAAAACTGATAAAGGTTGTCATATTTGTACATGTTATAATGCAAAAACATAATATTTGCATATGTGACTTCAAGAAAATTATAATCTCCATTATCAGCTATTCTGCAAAAAACTGTTCATTGGCTTTTGCCAAATTCTCAAGCACTATTGACAAATCAAGTACACAACCCTACATAGTCCTTGATGCACCCCTTTGTTTGTTATTAAAAGTCTGGCAAGTCACTGGTTTTCTAGAAGAATGCTGACCTATGGTTACATTTTGGAAATATGAGCTTTACTGCTTATAATCCCATCTAGATCTAGGTTATCAAGGCATGATGCTGGTGCTATTCTGGGTCACCAAGGAAACAGACAGAATGTCTCAACATTGGCACTTTGCATATCGCCCTCCAGAGGAATGTACTAAGGCAAAAACGGATACTATTCTGGAGGGGAAAAAAAAAAGTATTATTGTGGAGCAAAGTTCTAAATGCAGAGCAGTCACCATGGAAACGAATGGAATGTTCTGACTGACCCACTTTTTAAACTTTGCCCCACAATGCTTTTCTCTGTAAATAAGCCCATATCTGACCATAAGAAGCATTATAGATAGTGCACATTACCTGTATCCAGTGAGCTTGCACTCTATTTAGAATCCATTCTAAGGCAGTGATCATACAGTGACCAGCTCTCAGCAAAGGACACAGGGGTTGAATCGGAGATCCATCTTGATGTTAACCCAGAACACCTGCTGAGAGTGAGTGCTTCTCTCTGGAGTAGACAGTGAGTGAGGATCCAAGGTCACAATTTTCTCTGTGCATTTCTCAACAGCCAAGCAGATATGATTCCTGATAAACCCATATTGTCCTTTATTCTTCCCCCCATCAAAAAATCAATTTCCAGGTGATAAATCCTCAGGCAGATCAGTACACTTCAGATGTATCTCCAACCAGATTTGAATAATTCAAGATTTTTTTTAATATATATATATATTTTTAGGAGCTGATCCAACCTTGTCTTTTTGGCACTGGCTGACTCAAACGTTGCCTGTGAATTTTACTACAGCCTTTAGTTGCCATGGGGAGGTAGCTGATGTCATTGGCATGAATGAGACCCTGCAAATTCACAACTCAGACAGAAATAGAAGCTTTCAGACCCCACTTAACCATCTCACGGTCAGCTGCACGAAATTAATGGTTTAAAATTTAAACCAAGTCCTTCCCTGCCCCCTCAGGGAGCAAGGGTGTCAGTCTGCACATACATGTTAATGTGTTATCAGTGGGGGATGGGAACAATTCAAACTCATGCAAATTTTCCTCCTCATCAACTAATGGGTTAAGATGCTAAATGAATTTGTGGATACTCTCATGAATAAAAGGTAGCTTATTTATTAAACATTGATTTTTAGTGAATTGAATCCGATTGGCAGAATTGAGGCTGAAAATAGCCTTCCTATGACTCTGTGGGAGTAAGAGTTTTTTTTTTTTTTTTTTTATGATCACCTATTTTAGCCTCAAATTTCTCATATTTTCACGTTTCGCTAAAAAATTCGGACATTATTAACCCCTTAAGGACCAAACTTCTGGAATAAAAGGGAATCATGACATGTCACACATGTCATGTGTCCTTAAGGGGTTTGAAATACCAGAAAAAGTTAACCCCTTCACTGCCGGTGACATGCCAGAGCTTTCATGAGCTAGTCAAAGGGTAGATTCAATACCCTGTCACGAAGGGGTTAAATGTATTGTTTTCATAACAGATTTTCAGTAATCTACCACCCCAAAGAAAAATCACATTTATTTGTATGGACTCCAGTCACTAGATTACACAGTGTTACCTCAAATAAAATCTATGCAAATACAGGGAATAAAAGGGTTCCTCTATTACAGTGGGGGAGGGGGGAAACTATTATTCTCTTTACATTATCACAGGCAACTTCTATATCCCTTCTGCAAAGTTTCTAAGGCAACAAACCACTTATTGCATAGCATCCCTACAGCGCAGAACTGCTGGAATAGAGATATTCTGATGCTTGGCAGCAGAAGGGTTAAATAAGAAATGATCAGATGACGCTTTGAAGTATTTTGGAATGGTTTCCATGGTAACCCTCTTAGCTGCATTAAATATCAAGGTAAAAGTGGGAATAGGATAGAATGCTGAGTTCTCACTGTGGAACACACTCTGTACATTCTATTCCCCCAGCTCCCTCTGCACGGCTGTTAACCCTCTCATTGCCAGTGCAATGTTATATGGAGGCTAGACAATGTAGTTCTACAACATCTGGGGGTCTAGCTTTTGTGCACCCCTGCTCTAGACTATTGTTCCTGTAACATTTTGTAATTAGCTCATTTATTGTCAAACGTCCTCCCTTTTTATAATATTGTAAAGTGCTGCGGTATATGCTGGCGCTATATAAATGCCAATAATATCTTTCTTTAGAGCAGCACTTTGTATTTATATTGACAGTCATCCAATCAGGTAAGTAGGTTCTCTATACCTACCTGTTATAATAAGCCAGCGCTTGAATTTATTATACTTGAAGACGAGCCCAGTAGGTTAATTACTATTTGAGCTATTCTTCAGATGGGAATAAGGATATCAATCTTTATTTAGTTTTAATTACATTAATATATGTTACATAGCATCTTCCATGACATTAAAGTGCCACCCAGCAGTGTGAGGATTGGACCCGTGATATGTTATTCCTGGACACTCTCATATGGAATATATTGCCATTTAGCAATCGCAGATCCATTTAATTTTCAGTAAGAGCTTTATAGGCTGAAGTTCCATATTCGGTACTTAAGGGGTTAATTGATTTCAGTTTGAAAGTATATGAATTCTACTTTATTTAATGCACAATAGAATTATGGATTCAAGAGACATGAAAACATTTGAAAATGACAATTCTTTTGATGAATGCACTGCACTGTTTGATAAATGGCACATAATCATATACAGCGATGAAATGGGAACAACACAGAAAAGGCTCAAACCTGACCCTACTACAGATATATCATGTCTGCTTCCAGCTGACTGGACACATAAATGGAGGTCTTCGTATAAACCAGATTTAGCATTTGCCAAGTTGGCAGTTCATCAACGGTTAAAGGACCACTATAGTGCCAGGAAAACATACTCGTTTTCCTTGCACTATAGTGCCCTACATTTGTGTACCTTTTTCCAGCACTGGCCGGGGAGCTCTCCTCCTCCGATCCTCCTTCTCTCCTCCCCGTCGGCTGAATGCGCACGCGCGGCAAGAGCTGCGCGCGCATTCAGCCGGTCACATAGGAAAGCATTCATAATGCTTTCCTATGGACGCTGGCGTGCTCTCACTGTGAAAATCACAGTGAGAAGCACGCAAGCGCCTCTAGCGGCTGTCAATGAGACAACCGCTAGAGGAAATAGGGGAAGGCTTAACCCATTCATAAACATAGCAGTTTCTCTGAAACTGCTATGTTTATGAAAAAATGGGTTAACCCTAGCTGGACCTAGCACCCAGACCACTTCATTAAGCTGAAGTGGTCTGGGTGCCTAGAGTGGTCCTTTCAGCCAGAATATAAAGGGTCAGTCCCTGTATCAAGTACCCCTAAAATGGGTCAAATTTTCATCTTTCCCTACTATGTTTTTAAAGCATTTTTTTTAAATGTGCATTTTTCCAGTGCAGAGACACCATGGCTGCAGCTGTCCTCTTCGTCTTCTACAGCATGCTTACTTACTCTTCCACAATCTCATCCAATGCTTACGCATTCGCTGCAAAACGCTGAGTTTGTCCAATGAAATATTGCTTTGAGAAGCATTTGATTGACGGGCCGAGTCTGGCTTGGTTCAGGAGGTGGAAGTCTTCCGAATAACTACAAGAGGTGTAGTTAACCCTGCACTGCAATCATTGATGTTCCTAGAAAACAATAATTTATGTAGTGCTCAGACAACAGGACCAGACAACTTCTTTGATATAGAGATGTCTGGGTGCCTGTTGTGGTTTAAATTCAGCAGACAGCAATGTTTTCTCTCAGGTGTGAAGACAAGGAATGGACACAGAAGAAATACAAGCTTGGAGGGCAGTACTCATCCACACAAATGTATGGCAGAATGCTACTCCTCCAAGCTTGTATTTCTGCTGTGTCCAGTGGCTTCGCTACATCATGTTGGGCCCCCCCAAATGCCAGCAACTTGCTGGCCATGTTCTTACATTCTATTCCCTCGGGCTGTAACAGTGTGTTACAGCCCGGGAGAGGGAATGCAGGGCAGAGGAGCTCAGCTGGAACGGTGCTGGGAGCTGTCTGTGGCCGGAGGGAGCACTGACAGGCTCCCCAGCACAGACCTGCCCCTAAACGAAGCCCCGCCTCTCGCACATAAGCCCGCACCTGCCGTTAAGCAGCAGACGATGCTGCTGCTGGAAAGGCAAGAAGATGGCTGTCTGACCCCCTGCAACAGGTAGGCTTGATATGCTCAGGTGTGTGTGTCTGTGTCTGTCTGCCAGTGAGGAAGATTGTGTGTGTGTGTCTGTGTGTATGGACTAAGCAGTGTGTATGTCTGTGTGTGTGTATGGACTCGGCAGTGTGTATGTGTGTATGGACTCAGCAGTTTGTGTGTGTATGGATTCAGCACTGTGTGTGTATGAACTCACCAGTGTGTGTGTATGGACTCAGCAGTCTGTCTGTGTGTATGGACTCAGCACTGTGTGTGTATGGATTCAGCAGTCTGTCTGTGTGTATATGGACTCAGCAGTGTGTGTGTATATGGACTAAGCAGTATGTATGTGTGTATGGACTCAGCAGTGTGTCTGTATAAACTCAGCAGTGTGTGTGTATGGACTCAGCAGTCTGTATGTGTGTATGGACTCAGCAGTCTGTTTGTATGTGTATGTACTCAGCAGTTTGTGTATGTGTGTGTGTGTGTGTGGACTCAGCAGTCTGTGTGTGTGTGTATATGGACTCAGCAGTCTCTGTGTGTGTGTGTTGACTCAACAGTCTCTGTGTGTGTATGGACTCAGCAGTCTGTCTGTGTGTGGACTCAGCAGTCTGTCTGTGTGTATGGACTCAGCACTGTGTGTGTATGAACTCAGCAGTGTGTGTGTATGGATTCAGCAGTCTGTATGTGCGTATGAACTCAGCAGTGTGTGTGTATGGACTCAGCAGTCTGTCTGTATGGACTCAGCAGTGTGTGCGTATGGACTCAGCAGTCTGTGTGTATGGACTCAGCAGTCTGTATGTGTGTATGGACTCAGCAGTCTGGCTGTGTGTATGAACTCAGCAGTGTGTGTATGGACTCAGCAGTCTGTGTGTGTGAATGAACTCAGCAGTTTGTCTGTGTGTATGGACTCAGCAGTCTCTGTGTGTGTATGGATTCAGCAGTCTGTGTGGATTCAGCAGTCTCTGTGTGTGTGTATGGACTCAGCAGTCTCTCAGCAGTCTGTGTGTATGGACTCAGCAGTCTGTTTGTGTGTGTATGTACTCAGCAGTCTGTCAGTGTGTGTGTATGGACTCATGTGTGTGTGTGTGTGGCACTGTGTGTGTGGACTCAGCAGTCTCTGTGTGTGTGTGTTGACTCAAGCAGTGTGTGTGTATGGGCAGTCTGTCAGACTCAGTCTGTGTGTATGGACTCAGCATGAACTCAGCAGTGTGTGTGTATGGATTCAGCAGTCTGCGTATGAACTCAGTGTGTGTGTATGGACTCAGCAGTCTGTCTGTATGGACTCAGCAGTGTGTGCGTATGGACTCAGCAGTCTGTGTGTATGGACTCAGCAGTCTGGCTGTGTGTATGAACTCAGCAGTGTGTGTATGGACTCAGCAGTCTGTGTGTGTGAATGAACTCAGCAGTTTGTCTGTGTGTATGGACTCAGCAGTCTCTGTGTGTGTATGGATTCAGCAGTCTGTGTGGATTCAGCAGTCTCTGTGTGTGTGTATGGACTCAGCAGTCTCTGTGTGTGTGTGTATGGTCAGCAGTCTGTGCGTGTATGGACTCAGCAGTCTGTGTGTGTATGTACTCAGCAGTTTGTGTGCGTGTGTGGACTCGGCAGTGTGTGTGTATGTACTCAGCAGTTTGTGTATGTGTGTGTGTGTGTGGACTCAGCAGTCTGTGTGTGTGTGTATATGGACTCAGCAGTCTCTGTGTGTGTGTGTTGACTCAACAGTCTCTGTGTGTGTATGGACTCAGCAGTCTGTCTGTGTGTGGACTCAGCAGTCTGTGTGTATGGACTCAGCACTGTGTGTGTATGAACTCAGCAGTGTGTGTGTATGGATTCAGCAGTCTGTATGTGCGTATGAACTCAGCAGTGTGTGTGTATGGACTCAGCAGTCTGTCTGTATGGACTCAGCAGTGTGTGCGTATGGACTCAGCAGTCTGTGTGTATGGACTCAGCAGTCTGTATGTGTGTATGGACTCAGCAGTCTGGCTGTGTGTATGAACTCAGCAGTGTGTGTATGGACTCAGCAGTCTGTGTGTGTGAATGAACTCAGCAGTTTGTCTGTGTGTATGGACTCAGCAGTCTCTGTGTGTGTATGGATTCAGCAGTCTGTGTGGATTCAGCAGTCTCTGTGTGTGTGTATGGACTCAGCAGTCTCTGTGTGTGTGTGTGTGTATGGTCAGCAGTCTGTGCGTGTATGGACTCAGCAGTCTGTTTGTGTGTGTATGTACTCAGCAGTTTGTGTGCGTGTGTGGACTCGGCAGTGTGTGTGTATGGACTCAGCAGTCTGTGTGTGTGTATGGATTCAGCAGTCTGTGTGGATTCAGCAGACTCTATGTGTGTGTGTGTGTGTGTGTGTGTGTATGGACTCAGCCGTCTGTGTGTGTGTGTGTGTGGACTCAGCAGTCTGTGTGTGTGTGGACTCAGCAGTCTGTGTGTGTGTGTATGGACTGTATCAATGGAAATGTGTTTGTTTTTTAATAATCCTTGGTGGAAAATAATAAATTCTCCACCAGGGATTATTTAAAAAAAAAAAAAAAGAAAGAAAAAAACACATTGTGTCGGGGGCGGGGCTTAACATGCAGCAGGGGCGGGGTCAAACTGTGGTGAGGGCGGGGTTAAATGTGCCCCCCCCTAAAAATGAATCCTAGAGACGCCACTGGCTGTGTCCATTCCTTGTCTTTATACCTGAGAGAAAACATTGCTGTCTGCTGAATTTAAACCACAACAATATGGTGTATGAAGTGGGATATCAGCATATTTAAAAACAACAGTGCCTTTGGTGTCTTTTACACAGGCGGTACCCAATATCAATACCCATGAGGCCTGTATTGATATTAAAGGATTACTCTAATCTTTTTAAAGAAAAAGTTTTTTTGAGTCACCCCCCTCAATTTAGCAATAATAAAGCATGCAAAAAAAAAAAGTTTGTGGTTTTTATTTTGAATTTATCTGGAATCCAGCACCAGGCGGATCTCCCAGCGCTACCTTCCACGCCTCTTCCAGTGGCACCAAGGGCCTCACGTCCTCTATCCTCATCGAGAAACCTTTAATGTGACCTTTTTGTTGGTTTAGAGCACATGGGCAAACTCTCAGTTGGCAAGGGGAGCTACACATAGAGACTCCTGTCACCATGACAACTTTAGATCACTGAAGTGGTCATGGTGGTTGGAGTAACCCTTTAATATCCCTCTGTACACAGCCCTATCATGTCTTACGGATGACATTCCATGATTTCCCTTGTTTTAGCACACAGAATGAACACCAAGGCAGTCATACTTTGTATTCAGATTAAAACAATCACTTCACCATTTTGTTTGTATTGTGTAAGGGTTTAGAGCACAAACATGTGGAATAGAAAAGGGCATGTTTTCTCCAGTATTTTTAGAAAAATAAGTGATTGCTAAAAGCCCAAATATTTACGCGCCCTTTGTTACACTTTATCAGACTGTATATTGAAACTGTCTGGGTGTTGCAACTGCAACCTTTTCCCTAATGTGTGTCCTAAAACAAATAGTCTTGTTAAAGAGACACTATAGTCCCTTAATAAAGTGGTATATGTGCAGCGGTCTTGTCCTTTTCACCCTGCAATGTAAAAAGAAAAGTTTTTTGTTTTTGTTTTTAAACTATAATCTTTTCTTTTCAGGGTTAAATCCACCTCTAGTGGCTGTCTTCTATAAAGTGTCCATTTAAGAAAACCTGCTAAATTTTAAAATGAAAAATCTGTTAAAGAATAAGAAATAGAACAAACAAAGTTGCAGTGATGGTGGACATTTTGTAGCCAAAAAAAGCTAATCCGATTTCGTGCCAGTAGCAGGACCTGACCTCAAGAGGGGGCCCAGCGGCTTGCCCTGTGTGCCGCCAGGTGTGAGGCCCCTCCCAACTGCCCGGGAAGAGAGCCAGTACAGTCTGCAGCTCCGCCAGGTGTGAGCTGCAGACTGTGCTGTATGTCGCGATCTCTGGCCACAGCAACGCTCTGACTTCAGGATATCGCGCGATATAGCACAGTCTGCGGCTCACACCCAGTGGAGCTGCAGACTGGAGAGACAGACCACCGGACCACCAGGTAGCCAGGACACTGGACCATTAGGATAAAAAAAAAAATAGTATTTCCAACCCCCTCCCTCAGTCACTATGTGCCCTACACACACTACATCCCTATCCCACACTATGTGTCTTACCCATACTACATCTCTATCACTCCACACAATGTGCCCTACACCAGGTCTGTCCAGTGGCAGATCCAGAGCCTGATCTCGGGAGGGAGTGCTCCTTATCTCAGCTCGTTACACCTGTATAAAAGACACCTGTCCACAGAAGAAATTAATCAGATTCCAAACTTTAAAAGTATTTTAACCCACATTCAACCTTCCGAAAAGTCAATAAGTAGTAATAGTAAGAGCAATTTCTTAACTGATAGAAAAGGTTTTTATTCTTGCAAAAAAATGTATAGGCTGCAAATGCAGTAAGAATAAGACTAAAAAGCATAAATACATTTAAAACGAAATATAATAATGGATTTTATATAAAATGATTTTTTAACATGTTTTACCAGGAATGTAATTTATCTGTTAATATGCCCTTTCGGGCTACAATACATTGGACGAACTATACGTCCATTACATAAAAGGATAGCTGAACACGTCAACAATATTAAGAAGGGCTATGAGCAGCATAGTATTTCGGCTCACTTTAAGAAGTGCCATACTGTGGATCCGATTGGTATAATTTTTCTTGGCATACAAAATGTGAAAAAGCATGGAAGGATGGTAATTATATTCAAACTATAAGAAAATAGGAAATGAAGTGGGTGTATAAATTAAATACATTGGCACCATATGGACTAAATATTGAGTTTGATCTTTTTAATTTTTTATAGTGTTTTTATGCTTTTGCATTCATTATATTTTATTAGCCCTGTTTTTTGTTTGTTTTTTCTCGTTTAATTAATTTCTGTCTTCCTTTGTTATACCAGAATATATTTAAAGTGATGGCTTTATGAGTGAATGTTTTTTTTTGCATTATCTATTGTTTACATATTGTCTCTTTAACCCCTTATGGACTGAGGTAGTTGTACAAGTTGTGATCAAAACAAAACGTAAACAAAACCTTGAATTTGTGCTATGTCTGTTCAGGCGTAATTCACATCTTTCCTATTATGTGCACCCACACTTATTACAGGGAGTGCAGAATTATTAGGCAAATGAGTATTTTGACCACATCATCCTCTTTATGCATGTTGTCTTACTCCAAGCTGTATAGGCTCGAAAGCCTACTACCAATTAAGCATATTAGGTGATGTGCATCTCTGTAATGAGAAGGGGTGTGGTCTAATGACATCAACACCCTATATCAGGTGTGCATAATTATTAGGCAACTTCCTTTCCTTTGGCAAAATGGGTCAAAAGAAGGACTTGACAGGCTCAGAAAAGTCAAAAATAGTGAGATATCTTGCAGAGGGATGCAGCACTCTTAAAATTGCAAAGCTTCTGAAGCGTGATCATCGAACAATCAAGCGTTTCATTCAAAATAGTCAACAGGGTCGCAAGAAGCGTGTGGAAAAACCAAGGCGCAAAATAACTGCCCATGAACTGAGAAAAGTCAAGCGTGCAGCTGCCACGATGCCACTTGCCACCAGTTTGGCCATATTTCAGAGCTGCAACATCACTGGAGTGCCCAAAAGCACAAGGTGTGCAATACTCAGAGACATGGCCAAGGTAAGAAAGGCTGAAAGACGACCACCACTGAACAAGACACACAAGCTGAAACGTCAAGACTGGGCCAAGAAATATCTCAAGACTGATTTTTCTAAGGTTTTATGGACTGATGAAATGAGAGTGAGTCTTGATGGGCCAGATGGATGGGCCCGTGGCTGGATTGGTAAAGGGCAGAGAGCTCCAGTCCGACTCAGACGCCAGCAAGGTGGAGGTGGAGTACTGGTTTGGGCTGGTATCATCAAAGATGAGCTTGTGGGGCCTTTTCGGGTTGAGGATGGAGTCAAGCTCAACTCCCAGTCCTACTGCCAGTTCCTGGAAGACACCTTCTTCAAGCAGTGGTACAGGAAGAAGTCTGCATCCTTCAAGAAAAACATGATTTTCATGCAGGACAATGCTCCATCACACGCGTCCAAGTACTCCACAGCGTGGCTGGCAAGAAAGGGTATAAAAGAAGAAAATCTAATGACATGGCCTCCTTGTTCACCTGATCTGAACCCCATTGAGAACCTGTGGTCCATCATCAAATGTGAGATTTACAAGGAGGGAAAACAGTACACCTCTCTGAACAGTGTCTGGGAGGCTGTGGTTGCTGCTGCACGCAATGTTGATGGTGAACAGATCAAAACACTGACAGAATCCATGGATGGCAGGCTTTTGAGTGTCCTTGCAAAGAAAGGTGGCTATATTGGTCACTGATTTGTTTTTGTTTTGTTTTTGAATGTCAGAAATGTATATTTGTGAATGTTGAGATGTTATATTGGTTTCACTGGTAATAATAAATAATTGAAATGGGTATATATTTGTTTTTTGTTAAGTTGCCTAATAATTATGCACAGTAATAGTCACCTGCACACACAGATATCCCCCTAACATAGCTAAAACTAAAAACAAACTAAAAACTACTTCCAAAAATATTCAGCTTTGATATTAATGAGTTTTTTGGGTTCATTGAGAACATGGTTGTTGTTCAATAATAAAATTAATCCTCAAAAATACAACTTGCCTAATAATTCTGCACTCCCTGTATATAGCATTATGTTCAGAAGAAACAGGGCTTTCATGTCACATCAAAGATTTGTATATTAAACATAATTTAATATGAATAAAAATATTAAAAATAAATTACATTTTTTTTAGTTCTGCATAGCATTTTAACTGTGACTGTCACAATACTGTTAGCCGTTACTGAAATAAAGTACACATATTTGTATTCAGCGATGTCTCACAAGTAAAACAGTACCCCCAATGTACAGGTTTTATGGTGTTTTGGAAAATTACAGGGTCAAATGTAGCACATTAAATTTTTCAGTTTATACACATTGAAAGATGTTGCCTTTGAGAGTGTATGGTAGCCCAGAAATGAAAATTACCCCATGTTGGCATACCATTTCAAAAGTAGACAACCCAAGGTATTACAAATGGGGGTATGTCCAGTCTTTTTTAGTAGCCACAAATAAACTGGCCAAAGTTAGCATTTATATTTATTGTGTGTGAAAAATGCAAAAACTAAATTGAACGCTAATTTTGGCCAGTGCTTATGACTAAGTGGCTACTAACAAAGACTGGATATACCACATTTGCAATACCTTGGGTTGTCTACTTTAGCAAATGGTATGCCATCATGGGGGTCAATTTCATTCCTGGGCTACCATACGGGCTCAAAGGCAACATATCCAATCTGGCAAATTTCAATGTGAAAAAAAGGAAATCCAAGCCAATGTCTGACCAAAAAACATAAAACCTGTACATGGGGGGGGGGACACTGTTGTACTCTGAAGACTTCGCTGAACACATATTAGTGTTTAAAAATAGTAAAATGTATCACAACAATAGTCAGTGAAAGTACAGTTTGTGTGTGAAAAATTGCATGGGGGGGAGGTGGATTGCGCAGAGTGGGTCTACCTGAGCTCCCAGGCAGACTTTAGGATCGTGACCGCAGGCGTGGGAACGGCGGGGACCCGGTATGTAGTAAGGAAGGTGGGGACATTCTATGCCACCCGGTGGCATTTAGGACCACCCCAAAAAGGACAGCATGGAACACCCGCCGTCCTTCAGGTGTTAACTGAGTTCCTTTATATATGAGAATAATGTTTTTATTTAGATTAGCTGGTTGGAATAAGTATAAACAAGTTTGGAGGATAAGACTAATTATTATCCTTTATTTTTTAATTTTATTTGCTACTTTTTTTTTTTTTTTTTTTAATTTAATTCCCCCAGGTTTTAATCCTGCAGCTGTAAACATAGCAGCTTCAGAGAAACTTTTTTTTAGATAATTCCTCCTGATTATACTTTTAAACGAGTTACCGGACTTTTGGACTAAAACACGAGAAACAAGAGAATAAAACAATTCCAATAGTGCGATATGTAAAAAATATGATAAAAGCTTGAGTAAAAGGAAATCCAAAATGGCCTTATTTTCACATATAGCCTGCTGACAAGACACGTGCTGGTCAATACCTTCCACCATATCCTTGAAGTGGAGGAATAAATCCACTGCAAGCGCTTCACACAAGAGCTGGTTTTAGCTCTATTGCATGTGAGTAGGAAATTTTTGATTTCCTCTTACTCAAGCTTTTATCATATTTTATACATATTGCACTATCTGAATTTCTTTCTTCTCTTTTATGTCCCTGGATTTTGAACACCTGGAAGGCATACTTACCTGAAGATACAGGCAAACGTTTATAGACTTACCCACACTTTTAGATTTCACCCTGGACTTTTGGCTTGTCCTTTGCTATATTCACAATTTTATATTATCTTATGGACAGTGCATAATTTGTTTTATCTCATTTGTCTTATTTAGCGATATCCTGATTCCTAACCCTCTGGCGCACCCTTTTCTGTATTATTGTTTGTTCCTTTGGAAAATGTCAAGAGTCTAAGGTAGGTACGCAGCACCTTACTAAATATTTTGTACTGGAAAGGAGCAATAAGTCACAGAGACAATTTTAAAACTGAAGAATGAGTTGCCAAGTAAATATGCCATATGGGTCCTCTATGACCAGAAAAGAATTTAAGGATCACAGCTAGAGGCCTATTTGAAAGTTATTTTGGTTGCCACCTACTGGTGAAAGATAGATGCATGCCTAACAATTGTATTTCCACATGAGATACCATATTCTAAACATGGAAGGAAGTAGGCAAAACATGCAGCTGGATAGGGGAACTAGCTCTGTTTGCTCCCAGAGGCTGGATGGCACACAGTCCTGGGAGCTACTCGGTCCTTACAAGGACCTTCCCCGCTGCATCGTCTACACGCTGGAACAGCTAACACGGGATTAACCCTTTCTTCCCCCCAGTAACTGCACAAGCTCTGGATGTATAACTCTGACTGACTGTTTATTTCGTCACACAAGGTTTTACATGCAAAGACCGCTACATGGGGACTCCAACACAATCCACCAGGGGTTTCAATCCCAAGAAGCTGACGGAGGGATGGAAAAGGGAAACTGAGCTAGCAGTCCTGCTGTGACAGGAAAGGTGACGAGGGAAAGGTACAGGTAAACAATACATTCACAAAAGGGAGGGGGAGAGGCACAGAGCAATATATTTCACTTAACTCTACTTTACAGAGCTTTGCCCCCTTTGTTGACCCACAGCTGCATATACAGACACATGTAGGACAGTCACAAAAATGGCGCCGCAAGCTTGTGTCCCGCGCCAAACAAATCAGGCCATCCATCACAGATCTCTCCCCACAGAAATAGACAGCGGGCACATGAGGATATGGCACTCAGTGACTGCATTCCTTCACAGACACTATGCACCAAAAAACTGTAGCTTAATGAAGCAGTTCTCAATTCTCTGAAGTTTAGGATTTAGATCACCTTTTCTGTTTCTGTTTATGCTGCCCTAGCTTTACCTCATCTAGCTGTGACTCCCACTGAAAGTTCACAAACATACAACAAGTTTTTCAAATGGATGCTACATAGAAAAGGGTATAACAGTGAATACAGATTTTCATATCTATACAGATTTTCATAATTGTGCAATCCTGTATATGGTTACAGCAAATTTATAGGTCTTAGGTCTTGCCATTCAGTTCAGGGTTATGTGTGTCTACCCTGTATAATTCTAGTGCTATTATAAGTACCTGTTACGAGGAAGTGGGTGCAAATCATTGCATTGGTGTTGAAGGAGCTTTTAAGGTGGCTGGAGTGGAGGGGAAAAGGCAGAGGGGAAGCAGGGAAAAGTGGTTATGAGTTAGCAAGTAGGGCTGTAGAGCCCTAAGGTCTCTTTATCTATGATGTGGAGTTTTTGAGGTAATCCCACCAGGGTTGCCATGTATTAATGTAAGCTTGGTATTTATCTGTTGTGGAATAACACATTTCTTCTAGGCCACGTATTGTTTCGACTCTGTGGATCCATTCACGGATGGAAGGTGGGTTTGGTTGCTTCCATAGTGTGGGGATGAGTTGATTGGCAGCAGATATTAAGTGTATTAGGAGGACCGCTGTGGGTTTGGGTGTTTGGGGTGGGATAAGAAAAATTAAAGTTTCTGGTGTAAATGGGATGTGTATGTTTAACACTGTCTGTATTAGACCATGGATACGTTTCCAGTAGTTGTTGATAACTGGGCAGGGGCGTGACATCTCCAGGAGTGTTGGTGAGAGTGGGGAAGAGTGATTTTAGTTTTGCTGGCATGTAGTGCCACCTTGCTATCCTTTTGTAGTTGCCCTCTTGAGTTATTGTGTTTCGGGACTATCCATGTATTTGTTTGAATATGAAGCGCCAGGTGTCTAGTGGAATGCTTGTATTAAGTTCTTTCTCCCATGTTGTGATGACAGTTGGTGGATGTCGGGATTGTGTTTGTGTTACAGTTTTCTACATCACGGATATTAGTTTTTTCTTTAAGGTGTGTTCCTTGCATTGTTGTTCAAAGCGTGTGTGAGTTTGGTATGGTTTTTGTGCTAGAGGACCTGTGCAAATGAAATGGATGAGTTGCCCATATTGGAACGTCTGAATCGCGGTTTGTACGTCTGTAATGGCATGTAGTGCTTTTATCTGTTCTCCCGTGTCATCCATGAGATCCCCCAGTTGTAGATAGTCTGAGTGATGATAGTGGCTGAATGCCCTACCGTCTTCCCCCGGTTTAAAAAGAGGATTCTGTGTAATCGGATACAATGGAGACAGGTATGGGGATATCAGGTGGTGTATTCTTAGTTTGGCCCACATGAGAAGTGTCGGTGTGATAGTCGGGTGGGGGTTATGTAATAGGACCGTATGTCCCGATTTGTGACAAGGTATCGTGTGTATGGGTGCTCTAAAAGATGTATTCTCTATAGTCACCCATTGTGTAGAGGAATGTGGGAGTGTCCAGTCGTAAATTCTTGTTAGGAGGACTACTTGGTGGTAGCGTTCTATGTCTGGGAGGCCTAAGCCCTCTTCTTCTTTGGGTCTTGTAAGTAGTGAGTATGCTAGTCGTGGGTTTTTATATGGCCATATGTACGTTGTGAGTGTTTTTCCGACTAGTGTGAATCATGCCTTGGGTAACTTAATTGGTAGGACTTGTAGCAGTCATAGTATTCTGGGCAGGATGTTCATTTTTATGATGTTTAGCCTACAGAACCATCCAAATTGTGGCTTGTTCTTGGCGTTGAGGTCTGTGGCTATATCTTTCATTAGTTTAGGGAAGTTACTCTCAAATAGATGGGTTGTGTCTTTGGTAAGGTCTATTCCTAGGTATTTTATGCTGTGTGTGGCCCAGACAAACTGGTGTTTTTTTTTTAATGCTAGTTTTTTCTTAGGGGCTGATTCGTAGTGTCAGAATATCGCATTTACTGAGATTAGCCTTGAAGTTGGAAATAGAGCCATATGTGTTCATCTCGGCCATTGGGGGGGTATGGATGTCGTAGGCTCAGAGATCGTGAAAAGCATGTCGTCTGCAAACGCTGCTATCTTGTGCTCCTCTGTACCTGATGTGATTCCTCTGATGTGTGTGTTGTCCAGGATCCCTTGGAGGAAGGGCTCAAGGACCAGGATGAAAAGGGGGGATAGGGGACATCCCTGTCTGGTGCCATTTGTTATTTTTACTGGTTCTGATAATTGCCCATTCATGCGGATGTTCGCTGTGGGGTTTGAGTATATTGCTTCGAACCATTTTGGCCAATGTGGACCGAAGCCCATAAAAAGTAGGGTATGTGAGATCAGGGACCAATCCACCCTATCGAACACTTTTTTTGGCATCAATTGACAGGAGTAGACTCTGGCGCCTCGCTCTTGTGGCATGGTGTATAAGGTTTAGTAATTTTGTTGTGTTGTGCTTGGCTTCTCTGCCCGGGATGAAGCCTGATTTGTCTGCATGGATAAGTCCTGGAAGTAGAGGACATAATCTATTAGCCAATATTTTTGTGAAGATTTTCAAATCTATGTTTATCAACTATAGCTCCCACACTGGGTCAGGTCTTTTCCCGGTTTGGGTAGCAGTGTGATTGCTGCGTTTAGGGCTGGGGGGAGTAGCATGTCAGTTTTGAGCAATGAATTAAATGTGTTTTGGAAGTGAGGTACTAGTATGTTGGTATAGGTCTTTTAATATTTGGCTGTTAGACCATCTGGGCCTAGACTTTTCCCTACTGGAAGGTGTTTGATCACTTCTATGCATTCGTCTGTTGATATAGGGTTATCTAGAGATTCACAAATGTTTTGTGGGATAGTGGAGTGTATTCTTTGTGAAAGAAAGTTTGTGGATGTCTGTTGCGGAAGGGGGTGTTTGTCTCAGGTTGTAAAGTGAGGAGTAGTAATCTTTAAATGCTTTGAGAATATCTGTCATTCAGTGATAAAGTTGTCCCTCTGGTTTTCGGATGGCCGCTATAAATGTATGTTCCCTTTGTTTTTTTTAGTGTGTGTGCTAGAAGGTGCTAGCATTTGCCCCTTGGGCGTAGTATTTGCTTCTGGTTTTAGCTAGAGCATGTTTGGTGCTAACGTTGAGTATAGTGTTTAGTTCAGTTCTTTTCTCCACCAGTGTCTTGTATGTAGCTAGGTTTAGATCTTTTTTTGTGAGTTTCTTCTAGTTCCCTAATCTGTTTGGTTAAGAATAAGGTACGGGATTCCCTTTGTTTCTTGAGTCTGGAGGCTGCTTGGATAAACGTGCCTCTGATTGTACTTTTGTGTGCTTCCCAGATTATAGGATACGCCGAGTCTGGGTGTGCGTTGAGTTTGAAGTATTGAATCAGGGATTCCCTAATTTTGTTCTGTGTCTCTGGATGATTTAGCAGGGTGTCGTTTAGTTTCCATTGTGTCCTAGTGGGGTATAGGGATGGAATTGCGATGGATAGAGATATTGGGGCATAATGTGACCAGGTGATCGAGGCATAATTGCATGTGCTAACCAGGTTTAAAAATCTGCGTGGGAGGAGGTACATGTAAATTCTCGAATAGGTGTCTGATGAGTATGAGTAATACGAGTAGTCTCATTCTGTCAGGTGTGTTATGCGCCAGCAGTCGTACAGTTGGTGTGAGTCTAAGAGTTTTCTGACCAGCGCTCTCGTGGATGACTGATATAATTGGGTTTGGGAAGTGGTATCTAGTGCACCATCTAGTGAGGTGTTAAGATCCCCCCCTAGGATCAGAAGACCTTCTGTAAAGCCTTCTAGTTTTTTGATTATCATGCGTGGTGCCTGGAATTGTTTTCTGTTAGGGAGGTATAGGTTGGCGAATGTTGTCGGTGTTGACCCTACTTGGCCTTTCAGGAATAGATATCTATCGTTATCGTCTGACGTGTTCTTTGTATGTGAATGGTAATTGATTCAGTGTAGTTACTGAAATACCCCTTCGTGTAATGTCTGGATCTGAGAGAGGGAACTGAATTTTTGCAGAAGTGCGTCTCCTGTATATATACCACGTCTGCCTTACGTTTGTGGTAATCTGTGAGGGCCAAGTGATGTTTTTCGGGGGTATATAAACCCCTGGCGTTATGGGATAAAACTGTTATAGATGCCATAGTGAGGTATGGAGAGGGGAGGAGGGTGGGGAGTGATGGCAAATTAGCTCAAGTGCCTCTGTCCACGCCCTGGAAAAAATCACATACAGTGTACAATGCTCGCAATATACCACCAAGCGAATCAACAGGTTCTTTGTGCAATACAGACCAATAGAAAAATAATACTGTAGCGGGTAATTCAGGTAGTGCAGTATAATCATAAACACAACTATTTACAATAGATCAAGTCGGTCATACATGTAAATTTGAAGTTCTTGTGGCAATTAGGTTGTTGCACTTTAGCAACTGTAAAGTAACTGGGGTCTGCCCCTGAGAAGTCCCGAAGTCTGCAGTGGGCTAACTAGAAATGACCGCGGTGGTAGGAAGGTAGGGGAGCGCGTGTGTTATTGTGTGAGTGGAGTCTACTGAACAGCCTTCAGTGTCAGGGGAATACCCCTCTTACATCTAATCGTTCTCGGCTGTCTACTGTCTCCAAATATTTAAATGTCTAAAGTGTTGTGAGCTTTAGGCGAGCTCACAGAGTCTAATCGCTTGGTAGTTTGTGGTTGCTTCATGGAGGTTTGTACATATTAATAACGTTATGGGTTGAGGGGGAGAACGTGTGGTATTCAGCTAAGTTAGGTCTAATCCCAGATGTGGGGGGGTTGAGACTTTTTTTTTAACCCCTTGATGACGGTTCAGGTAGTCAGTTCCTTACCCTTGGTCTGAACCAGTCTGAGTTAGTCCCGGCCCTCGTCCACTGTAACCCTTCCAGGTCCGTCGCTGTTTCCTAAAGTGTGTAAGGACTCGTGGTCTACCCCAGGGCCAGACCATGAACAGTTAAAGGTCACCATTGATATCATTGTATGAAATGGCATTGTGATCCTGCATTTAGGTAATTACAGATTGATATATACGACCTGGGATGGCGGGACTCGTTTAGTTTTCTTAATGGGAGGGTGCCTTGACCAAGCTTTATGGTCCGCTAATGTCCAAGTTGAAGAAGGTCCGTTTTGCGTAAGTGAACTGGAACAGTTTGTGTGGCTAGTAAAATCACAGGAGAAAGGGATGGTAAGATGGTTCATCTGGGATTGCCTAGGTGAGTCCGATTTAGTCCTCCCTGGTGTCGCTTGGTCTTCTTTCTTCCCGCTGGGGGGTTCCTATGAGGTTTATTCTTTGCCTCTTCGCCAGGGATCTCCATCTTGCTCCTTGCTGTGCTGACGAGGTTGACAAAGCTGGGTCTGATGCGCACCAGTCCATTATAGGTGTTTTAGTCAGGTTTAGCGCTTTGGTGAATGGGATGATATCTTGATGAGTTGCAATCATGTACGTGGATCCACAGGAATTTACTGAGAGCGAAAGGGAAGCCCCATCTGTATCTCAGGTTGCGTGCTCGGAGTTGATCTGTTATAGGCCTTAAGGCCCTACTTGCTTGCAGGGTGTGCCATTAGAGATCCTGATAAATCTGTATTTCACGGCCCTGAAATAACATTGGGGTGGAGGTGTCCCTCAGTTTTCTTAGTATCTCTTCTTTAAGTGCAAAGTAATGAATGCGATAAATAACATCTCTTTGCGTCTCTCCTGTACCCATTTTGGGTCGAAGTGAACGATGCACCCTGTCCAGAACGATCGGGGTGTCAGTTTTGCGGCTTAATATTGGGTTGAATAGAGTGGAGAAGAGGTTTTCCCCTTCAACCTCTGGTATGCCCCTTATGCGCAGATTATTACTTCTGCCCCTATTGTCAATATCATCAAGGGAGCGTTGTAGCATACATAGGTGCTTTTCGTGGGCTTGGACTTTAGCTGACAGGGCATGCATTTGGGTTTGGTGGGACCCCCTTTCATCCTCTAGATCCCGCACCCTGCAGCCAACCTGTTTTATTTCTGAGCGGAGGCCGTTCATTTTATGTTGGAAGGAAGTTTCCAGTTTGTTCAGCATTTGTGCTAAGTCATTTTTCGATGGAAGACTTCTTAGGATTTCCCTTATGTCCATGCCTGTTGTAGTGTGGGAGATTTCGGATGCAGTGGGGCTCCGCGGATCCGAGTCAGTGTTTGCCGCCGTCGGCGCCATATTGGAATCGCCGAGGTCAGACACGCAGTCGGCCTATTCTTTAAACAATCGGGTTACAGTACCCGTTTTTCCTGCTGGAGTCTTCCCGGTGTTCTGGTGAGCCGTCTTATGATTCCTCATATTGATTTGTGCCCGTTAATGGTGAGTTTTCTCCGTTGCGCTCAGGAGCTGTCTCAGAACGCTGCCATACAGCTCGGCCGCTAGCCACGCCCCCCAGTGGTTTCATTTTTAATCAGACTATACAGCACAGTCTGTTTACTTTAGAATTTATCTCCTACTCTGTTTATTGAAGTTTAATCATACACAGGAATCTGTTCCAGGCTCTAGCAACTAATTAATGAAGCAGGACATGAGAAATTACCGTGTTCTAAAGGGAAGCAAACAATTTAGACTCATTTTCAGGAAGTGTGGAGAGAGGCTGTGTGAGTCTCAGCCAGTGGAGGTGTGGCTCAGGCTGCAAAAACAATGTGATATAATGTCTAAAAGGCTGGGACATGATACATACACCAAAACCCCGTCATTGAAAGGAAAAAAATTAATTTAAATCACTTTATTAGATATTACCCCAATTAAAACATGCATGTTGGTATTAGAGCAATATCTAAAAGAAACTTGCAAGAGCTGCAGTTCTTATGCCTGCAGCCGGTGCAAGAGCTTCCCTATCCCACCCTCCCCCCAGCACAGAGCTCCTGTCACAAACAGTGTCCCCAAAAGACTATATTTATCCCGGTTACACTCGCTGTTCCAGCCCACTTGCTTGCCTGCCATATCTGTCCCTACAGGAGCTATAATCCCTGTCCCTCTCTGGTGCTACCTAAGCAGAGATATCCACCGGAGAGATGAGAGCTTGCATGCCCTCTGGAGCTATGAGTCTGCTTCACTGCCGCAGAATCCCGCTGGCAGTCTGGAAGCCTGTTCCGACCAATAGGAGGAGCTTCTTTTCAAACTTTGTTCGCGACCTTTCTCCCGACAGGCCGGTGCGAGTTAAAGGGCTCAATTCGGAACACCCCTAAGCGCTGACTGGTCACTGCGTGGTTTAGGCACGAAGTCTGAATAGACCGGTCTAAACCAAGTGATTCTGTGGAACTATTTGCGGGTATGTACAAAGCCTCAAGCCAAGACTTTGTACGATGATTGCTCGGGCTCTGTACATCCGATAGCGCCACTATTTGCAGGGATTATAGTGGAGACCAGGAGGTATATTATGTGTGGGGTTATTTTAGGTCTTTGCTATGTTTTTGGGTATTTTTATGTTTTATGCACAGTTGTGTTGTGGGAGTGTTCCAGGGCACGGTATCCATGTTTTGTATAAATTGGCTGTACCGTGTACCATTAAAGACATTCCTCTTCTACCCTTCAAGTCTCAGCTGATGTTTGGGAAGCTAAAAACTCTGATCACTGTTTCACTTGGGATTTGGGGAGACTTATAACAGAACTACTCAGCCGGAGTATAGGGGATCTGTTACAGCTTCAGTCTGTGTTTACTGTTTAACAAAAGCGTAAAATATACATTGTAATATAGAAACAGACACTTCTTATAAGATGAGCCATTTATACCAGTCAGACTGGAGCTAGTTTTTCCCCACCTGTAAGACCAATATATGCTTTGACCATGTTTGCTTGTACTCATATGAACTCTTCAACTCTAAACTAAGGATGTCCAAAGCAAATATATGTTGTTTCAGAACTACAGTTCCCATTAAGCTTTCCCATTAGGATCTCATTCCATTCCGGTTTCAAAAGAGGCCCTTCATGCTGGATGAAGTCCACTTTCTGTAACACACACATACATACATACAGATACACACACACACATATATATATATATATATATATATATATATATATATAAATATATATAAATAAAAGAAATGTTCACATGAAATTACATCTCACATAGGTCACTGTTTAATTTCTGACTTTAAAATATAGTAAATACCTTTTGTACATAGAAAGCTGACAACTGAACTACAACTCCCTTAACCTTTGCTATACTTTAACATTCCATGTACAGAATTAATGGTGCAGTACTGGAAGTTGGAAATGACTGACAAAAAGAAAAGATGTATCACTATCAATACAGGCCATCAGTGCAGTTCATAACTTCCATTCCCCAAAAACATCAGTTATGAGTGATCTCACCGATAATATTTGTGTAGACCGTGGAGAGAGACTTATCGACCCTATATGGCATGCTCCTTACAATAAAGAGATCGCCACCTCCAAGCTTCATGGGAAGTGGGAAGACGCCAGTGGTCGAATATTTGCGATCTAATCCTTCATTGTTCTGTTTCAAGTGGGTCACAAGAAACGGTCTATATATTACTGGCCTTTTGGTACAAGACACCCCCAGCTACTGCATGCTATTGATTACTCTATAGATGACAGATGCTGGAGATGCAAGTGCAGTGTTGGTTCACCCCTTCACATTTAGTGGATTGCCCTCTGATTCGACCTTCCTGGTCTACAATCCAAGCTATCAAAGAAATTTACCTCTGAAACTGCTCCTCGTAATAAAATAAAAATCCCTATCAGGATACTCAATGCTGCCAAGAGCCTGGCCCCTCTATTTTGGAGGCAAGAGGTACTTCCACCTTTGACCCTCTGGTTTCAACGAATGCTAGAGCTTCTCTCCCTGGAAAAAGTCAGTCTACACGCAGATATATGGTGATCTGGACTCAATGGATCTTGTCAACATACTCAGCCAATTTCCAGGCCCTCTTACAAAAAATAAAATAACTCAAAGCCAAAAAGAAGCGAGAGTGAATCCTACGGGATCAGACATGACATCCTGAGTCCCATTCATACAATGCATGGTGAGCTTCTGCCATAGGCCTTGGAGTCAATTGCAGGTCTATAACCTGTTCCTGAGAACTGAGCATATTTTTATTATGCTGCTTCAACCTGTAGAGATGATCTTCTGCTCGACATTATACAAAGTACAATTTTGAGCCAACCAGTATATGTTGTTCAATTTCTATAATGAAATATCACTTCATACCTTTTACGTGTTGGGAAGAAAAGAAACCTTTTAATTTGAGACTTTTATGGCCATTCGTGACTTTGTTTTATTTGTTCGGTAGCTGAAACTACCGAACACCGACCACCCCCTTGGCTCATTATCTACAAAGGGAACTGTCTATTGAGCACTCTGTCTGGGTGGTCGCCGTTCGTATAGCTGAACGTCACACGTGAGCGAAAACGGCGGCCATCTTGTTTGCACGAAAGGAGGAAGCGGGACTTGGTCGTCGAGTGTCTGGAACTAAAATCGGACACTCGACTTCCTGAACACCGGTAAAAACATACGAACGCCTGTTTCCTTTTCCCGAACAGCTAGGAGAGCGCTGTTCGGTAGTTTTGTTCCCACGAACAAGGGGAACAATCGCTCCTATAAGCCAAGGGGCTCCGTTCGTGCTTTTATCCGTTTATTTGACATTTTCTAAATTAGACCGACCGCACAGCCTAAACTCATGGAACTGTTCTGGGCAGGAGCCTCGTGTGCGGTCAATTAAATGTGACTTCTGTGAAATTCGAAAACCCCTGAACTGATCTGGGTGATTTTTGAATATGATGGTCACCCAGATCAGGGCTATCAGGGGATGACACATTTATGGGGGTCCTGTAGGTTTTGGGGCGTTTTCCAAGTTTTGCGAAAATTATGTTCCCTCTACCTGGAAATAATTAAGTTATTCCTTTATCTGACCCAATTATCTCCAGGAAGAGGAAATAATTAGCTGTTTGTACTGGGAGTGTCATGGTTTGTCCCTGCATTGTCATTGGCTGTAATAAGTTATGTCCCTGTTTTCCACCAGGTCCAGGGGATATACAGAGAAAAACATTATTTTCGAATTCAGCAGTAAATAGCATTTCATATTCATTAAGTTTTAAAAATAATGTACTCGAGAAGGCGGCCAAGAGCAGCAACATACTATTGGAGACTATCTTTGAAGCTTTGTACAGCTCATTCACACATATTGCGGGGTATGACGTTAACTTCTTCAATAATCAACCCTTAACTCTGGTAGGGTGTGAGGGCGATGTTTGAACACTTTTTCCTTCAGATATCCCCAGAGAAGAAAAAAAAATTTAAATTATTTTTTAAATAAAAATAAATAATTGCAAATGCTCAAATCTGGTGACCGCGCCAGCAAACCCACATCACCCCTCAGAGAGACCAGATGTCCGGGAAACCTTTCTTTCAAAACATTGAGTGAATTTTGGGCTTTGTGGGCTGTAGTCCTATCCTGTAGGAACCAGAACTCCCCCAATTGCTCTTCAACAATCTCTTCCATTCTGGGCTGCAGAAAATTTTCCAGCATTGAAACATAACGTTCAGAATTCACGGTCATGCCTTCCTCCTCAAAAAAGTACAGGCTTATCACTCCAAATTGTGATACGGCACACCACACCATTAGTTGTAGGGGTCTTTCATTAATCATTCGGGGTTATTTTAAGCCCAGTAGTGGAAATTTTGCTTATTCGCAGCTCTGAGATGAAAATGTGCGTCGTAGCTACTGAAGAAAGCTGCTGCGGGAGGGATCTGTGCAAGCATTTGCTCACACAGATTTCTGCGGTTGGCGTAATCTGCTACACTCAATTCCTGAGTCAACATCATCATGTAGGGATGAAACAGCAAATCTAAATGAAGAATCCTCCTCAGACTGCGGTCTGACATTCCCAAAGCAACAGCATGCTTTCGAGCAGAACGTCCTGGCGACTGCTCAATTGCTGCTCTCACCAGCTGCACATTTTCTGGTGTTCTTATGGACCTGCGTTGGCCATGTGTACCTCTAAGCGTGGTACCGGTTTCCTCCAACCTAACCCATAACTGAAGTGTGTTAGCATTAGGAACGGCATTGTAGTGCGGAATGTTGAACCATTGCATCTCGATCACAGACTGGTTGTTTTCTAAATATGTGCGCACGGCAAAGCCTCAATGTACTCCGGTCCAAACCATATTGGCTACTGAAATGGGGTGATGGACAGAACACAATGAGACCAAGTGCACCTGCCTCCCCCACCACAGCTTGAGCATTCACCCCTCAAAACTGCTTAATCGGTTCTTCTGCACCCTGTACATGGCTAGATCATACTGGAATTCAGACCTGCATGTCTATTCTACACAGAGATCTGCACATCCTGATTTGCTTATTGGTTTGATTGCCGTAATTGGTACCTGCGTGTACCAGACTGTTCTAAATGATACTGTTATTTTCTGTAAAAACACATTTTCAATAAACAGAAATTTTCAAAAAAAACACCACGAATCACAAATTGCACCTATTTATTGCAAACATTTGAATTTAAAAAAAACAAAAAACAAAACTAAGTTATTATACAAACAAACATATATATAGACAAACAATCTTTGTTAAACCAGAAAAAAAAATAAAAAATATTCGGCTTAGTTCACTAGCAGAATCCAAAAAATGTCCGGTAAAGATCGGGAGCAAAGACAAAATGCTCAGAGAAACAACTGTATTATTTCACTAGTGCCATGGCAGTAAATCAGATTTTCTCAATGGTCAAGACGCATAATCAAATACATCAAGTTACAGCTCCACGGGGACACCAGCAGAGAGGCATCAGCATGGTTAAAAAGTAAGAAACCTTACTTCTTGTAGTAAATCCAAGACAAAAGATAGTATAACATGGACAATGCCACCATCTTGCGCGTGTCATGTGTTACTTCTACATTTACTCATCAGAATCGAGACACATTATCAACTTGGACAAATAATTGGAAATCTTCTTTTCAAAACATCCATCAAATAATTTTGTTATTTCCTCTTTCAGATCCATTAGCAAGCTTGCTGTGGGTTCGTCTTGGTTTAGAATCATTGCAAAGAATGTATCCCAGTATTTTCTGTATGAACATCTAAAAGAGACCACAAAGCACAGTAACACAATGAATACCAGCAACAACCACATAGCCTAGAACTATTGGAGAGATGGAGCAGCCACTGCGCAGCAGGTCTATCAATGTTTTCCAATGAATGCAACAGCTGCAATGAGCTGAACAAAGGTGTATGGTATAAGCTTTGCTTCCAATTGAAACAGATTTCTAGTATTAGCTGAGAAGTGTCATTTATATTGTAGTCTAGCAAGAACTCACTGGAGGAAGCTGCAAACCCTTGATATTTACGACAAAAGCAAGAATCTTGAATGTTACTGTTAATCTTTCTTTGATCTACTTCATTGGTGTTCGGCTTAATGTAATGTGTGGAGAAGTAAGACCATATGAAATCACTATGTTTGGGAATTTTCCTGTACATTGCTAAAGAGAGTCTAGAAGGCAGGGGTGGCCAAATGAAGATACCCAGCTGGTGAACACGAGGTTTTAATAGCTGAGGATCTACCTTTGATCAATCTACTCTACCGCATACTCCTTTCTGGATTAGGCATAAAGGGAGCCAGCATGTTCACATTTTGTAGCCAAACAATAGTGCTGAATCTCAGAATTGAGCAGTGAGCTGATCACACTACGTGACAAACAGAGAATAAACAATTTCATTTAACCCCTTAAGGACACATGACATGTGTGACGTGTTATAATTCCCTTTTATTCCAGAAGTTTGGTCCTTAAGGGGTTAAGAATTCATGGTGGGTGGGTGTTCTAATAGGACTGTAAGATATATAATGCTCACATTTATCTGTGCTTTTGGTGTACCTGCAGCTATAGAATGGTTACTCCAAGCACCATAACCACTATAGGCTGCAGTAGTGGTTATTATGCCAGCAGTATCCTTGGTAATGGGGCAAGCCATTTTGCAACTGTTTGCCTACTTACCTGGGTCCCCTCTGCAGCAGGCTCATCAACATCCAGCTTCTGCAGAGTTGCATCAGCAGGATGGCGATCGTGTGCCTTCACTGGTTGAGAACCACTTGATACTTGCTGACCTGGGTTTGTGCGGGTGTAGTAGTACTACTCACCTGCAGGGAATGGATTCCATGATTTTCCAGGTTGAATTTTCCTGGTGCAACTGCAATGGTTTCCTGAAAATCATAAAGTGCACCAAATCTGCAATACCAAAAATGTCCACCTGAGGGCAGTAGAAAAATGATAAGGACACAATGAATTACATTCTTTACTTTTGTACAACTACATATTGTAAAAATAAAAAAAAAATAAAAAACAATTTAAAAAACAAAAACTAAAATTACACGTATGGTTGCTGTGCTTGTTTGGGGAGGGGGTTAGGGAGACCAAGAAAACAGACACAATGTAGTAAGAAAGACTTTATAGAAAGAATATGGAACATTTACAACCTCCTGATCCTTAATTCAAAAGAAAATAAACAAAGTGTGATCAGTCTTTTGAGGCTTCAGAATATGTACATTAAGCAGGCGCTACGCTAATGGTACCTTATTCAGTAATATTTATATAACAAACAAGAGTGGATGGATATTAACCAAAAATAAACAGACAAATGACTTTTCATATCAGTTACCTTGGTGCTCATGATACATTTTTAATTTACCTGATAAGGAGAAGTCCGATGAGCAAGATATTGCTGTCCGTGCTTGGTCTGAGCTACTGGAAAACCATGTAAATTCATCGTGGGACACAATCGAAGGTCCATACTACTGGAAAAGTCTATTAACTTCAACAATCCAGTCATCTCTGTGTCAGACGACATGCTGAAGATGCTTCTCAAAGTAAAAATATATTGAAATCATTAGTCCTCACCTTCGACATCATCATTAGACCTCACCTCACATTGACAGTAGTGCTTTGAGAGGAAAAAAAAAACAAAAAAAAAAACACCCTACCTCCCCCCAATCTAAATTAAAAGAATCAGTTACTCAGAATGAAAGATTTAGGAATTTTTGGGTAGGTTTAGGAATTGATGCAAAAAAGGCAAATGTAATATGTATATATTGCTTAAAAGCAGCAAAATAATTGGGCAGCTCACCGGTCATCCAACAGCAGAGTCTCTGGTCTCAGATCCCCGTGCACAATCTCCACGTTGTGAAGTTTCTCTACCAGATCCAGTAAGTTGTAAGCAATTAATAAAATCATTTCATCTGTGTCTTCCTCTGGATCCTGTAGAATACTCTGAATGAAAAAGATTGAAGGAAGGAATGCTTAAACACAACAGAACACAAAAAACATGTAAATGGGCTGGAAAATTAGAATCCAATTGGTAAACTGCATAGTCCATGGGAAATAAAAAATGTAATTGTGCATTAGGGATTTGAGATGTACAGAATATGTTGTAATAAATGGAAGAGTGCATTTTTCTAAAGCTGTTTTCCAAGGAAAAAATAAATAAAAAAAACGTATGAGAAAAGTACCGCATTTCACCGCATAATAGTCGCACCCTGATTTTTCAACCAAATAATTCAAATGAAATTAATCACGTAGTAGTCGCATAATTGACCATTGTTGTTTTTGTTGAGACATTCGTAATCTTAAAAACGGATGGCGAACATCCCACTGATCTTATACTGAAGAGAGGGTTTATTATCCATCAGTTTATTGTATTGTAGTGCATTTTATCTATGTAATGCTTTAAAGGACCACTATAGTGCCAGGAAAACATACTCGTTTTCCTGGCACTATAGTGCCCTGAGGGTGCCCCCACCCTCAGGGTCCCACTCCCGCCGGGCTGGATGGCAAGGAAAGGGGTTAAACTTCCCTTTTTTCCAGCGCCAGGCGGGGAGCTCTCCTCCTCCTCTCCACCTCCAATCCTCCTCTTTGGCTGAATGCGCATGCGCGGCAGGAGCTGGGCGCGCATTCAGCCAGTCTCATAGGAAAGCATTCATAATGCTTTCCTATGGACGCTGGAGTCTTCTCACTGTGATTTTCAAACGCCTCTAGCGGCTGTCAATGAGACAGCCACTAGAGGCTTTAGAGGCTGGATTAACCCATTTATAAACGGCTATGTTTATTAAAAAAAAAAAAAAGGGTTTATCCTAGAGGGACCTGGCACCCAGACCACTTCATTAAGCTGAAGTGGTCTGGGTGCCTAGAGTGGTCCTTTAAGAAACGATAAGAGGACAGGGATCAGGATTTACGTAATACATTAGAAAATATGCTATTTTATATTATTAGCAACCATCATATCAGCAAGTGTTAAAAAAAAACAAAAAAAAAAACAAAACAAAAAACCTTTGCATATATAACATCGCAAAAAATAAAGCTTCATATAATACATAAGGATCCTGACCCCCATTTTTAAGGAAAGGAATTAGGCATACGATCTGCAAACATTATGCGGTGAAATACGGTATGTCTGCAAATTACGAGACAAGTAAGAATAGGTATCCAGCCCAAGCAAAAAATATTCTGCTAATTTATCAAGGTTTAGAATACTTTCAAGCAAGTCAATCCGGTCTATGCAGTGCTATCAGAATGCAACATCAGACATCCACTTCAGCATTGGCCAAGTCTAAGCAGAGGGACTGGGCTAAAGGTGCTCAGAGTCCTATTTTATGCCCACAAACCATCCCACTACAGTTAATGCAAAGTGCCTCTTTAATAGTAAAATTCTCGCTCATAATCAATTTATATTTCAGATTTATGAGTTAATTTCCTTTGATGCTCAAAGTTTGGCATTGTTCTCAAATCATGGTTCTATTTGCAGTTGTGTCGGCATCTTGGGTGGACGCATTTCACAATTTTTGAACCTACTTCTGTTTGCTCAACTCCAATAAAATAAGAACCATGGATATATGTTTCAACGCTGAAAGAGTGAGCATGTATGTCTGGATAAAGATATGTATCCATGAGTGTTTTGTGGCTTCTCACCTCAACGCTGAAGCAGTTTATATTTCTGTAGAGCATTATACATCCGTCCTTAAATAAGTAGCAGTTACTCTGCTCAAGAAAATAGGACTCAAAACATTCTCCAAGTCGCTCCTTCAGCTGCAATAGGATGTAGAAATCCCAGGGTACTGGCTGGTACTCCACCTACACAAAACAGAATATTCTGTTAATAGTCACAAAATCAATCAATTCCATATAAGATTTGCATCACAAAAAAATTGAAAAAATTAAGCTAAACAGAGGCCAGAGGGTAAAAAGTGAAAGACAAGGAACAATTTGCAATTATTTGGTGCCATCTGCATGTTATACCATGCCAATCGTGGGCCAAAGCAAATACCGGAACAAAATCAGTTTAGTAAAAGAAACATTGAATGCTACAATCTGTAAATGTACACTTTATTTGCTAGCGTTGTCATGTCCTTGAATGTCAGACGAGTTTATAGCTGCACGATGTATTCTGTGTCCTCAAAATAAAATCCTTTGCTACACATGGATAGGCAACTGGATGTAACGCATGTTCAGTCTGTCTGCCTTTTGTAATGCCATGTGATCACCAGTCAAGTTACCCACAGGAAATATTTGGTGCAGTAAAACTGAGCTGATTAACAAATTGCCAGGTTGATCTGCCTTTTAATATAGGAATCTAAGTCCATGAATTTTGACTTTTTCTTATAAATTTGTAGGTCAAATGCTGTGACTGGGAGCATGAATTCAGTTGGAACAGCTAGATTGCAGGGCACAGATTTTGGCAGTTAAGGAATCACTGAGGCTTACATGCAAGTGATCTGGCTTACTTTTTTGAATTACTAGTTTTTGAGTCAAATCACTAGAATATTTATGTTGAAATATTGCATGTGTTCATCTATCCGTTTATTTTAAACTATGCTTACAAAGAAAATATTTTAACAATGGTAGCAGGTGTGGATTCCAAACAGACAGGTTTGGGTTAGAGCAACTTTTTCTTTGGTGGTCTGCCTCCCCCCCTCCCAAAACTTCATCGGAGGAGGAGGAAGGACAGACAGGGGGGCACAAGGTAGAATGGGGGCATGCTGTGAGTGATCGCGTCAGATGCTAATTTTTCACAGAATTGATTGTTCTAGGTTAACTAATGAAGCTACTGGAGATGGAAATATACCTTCAGCAGGTTAGGGGTTAACCTCTGTACGTGCAGCATTTCAGAACGAAATGCTGAACACACAGATTCCATACACCATGACTACTTAAAATTACTCAAGTGTCATAGTGCTTGGAGTAAACAAACCATCGGAAATGAATAATGTATTTCACGTTTTTGGTTAAAAAATAACCAAACTAGAAAAAAACGTGTCCACGTTAGCCAAGTTATTAGCTTTTGTTCCTGACAAGTCACACTTTAATGAATAATGAGAATAGAGAGTTAATATCAGCTTGATATTTTTAAAAAGACAGGAACTTAACATTCACAAACATACCTTTAATGCGACCTTTATACCACAACTATCGAAACCTGCTGGGTATCCTATATACAGCTTAGTCTTCTCTCCCAGTGGAATTTCACGCTTCAGACTCAAAGTTTCATCACCTGTTAATAAATATAGCAGACACCAGCTCTACAAAAGTCCTCAGATTGAAAGAAAATAAGTTATTGCTGTAACAGAGTCTTTGAAGACTGGTCATTCTTTGCTACAGGAAAGTTTTTTTTTCCACCAGGACAAAAATATAGTCCTATCTGTATACCAGTAAGACTTCCTCATTCTAACATCAGTAAATTTTTGGAGCCCCAACATGCCAATAGTTTGAGTCCCATTTTCTTAGTCTGGTTCCTCAGCCCCATGGACTCTTCATCTATCCCCTCAGTTGGTAAATATCGCTTCTCCCACTCTATACTGTGCCTACTCTGTACTGTCATCTGTTCCATGCTTTCCCCCTGCTTGCACAGTCCCCCATAATATATGTTGAAACACACTTTCCAATAGTGATGGCACCTTTCAGTCTCCCATTTCTGGATGAAATGGGAAAAATATGTACTGGCTGCCTGTCTGATTAATTTCATAGTATAGGTTTGAGAGTCACATCGGCTGCGGAAGTCAGGAACGAATGCTCACTCCCTTGCAATGCTCATCAAGCCAATCAAAATAAAGGTTTTCAAACCTCTCAAAGAGAGGTAAAATGTCCCAAAGGAACCCCAACCTTTAAGGGCTGCATTCCATCAGATTAAAACCAATCTTAAAGACCAAAAACAATCAAGACTTTGAGGAATAAATTCAATGTTTGAGTGGATAAGACATTTTCCAAATATTTACCCAACATAAGACATCCAAGCACTACTCCACTACCATTATCATTCCTCCCCATTAACTCAGTGAATACCCCATGACAAATATCTACTTATGCAGTATTTATGAGTAAAAAACCAAAGTGACATTCTGGGGAGGGAATTGCAAACATATCCATCCTTATTACATGATTAAGAGTTTTGAAGTTTAACAAAATTTGAATATCATACCCAAAGTCACATCTACCAGATCCTTCATGATTGGGAGACTTTCAACCCCGTGCTGGATCTCTGCGGAAGCCAGCAGTTCATACATTGGCTCCAACAGCTGCATGTGCAGATCTGCAATCTCCACAGGGTAAACAGTATCTTCTATAACAAAACAAAATTATTGTATCATTAAATCAACATATCACAGGGCATGTCAGATAGCTACATTGGAAATTCACACGTGTTCAATCATTGGTATTCTTATAACACCGTGACTGTGTTATTGCTACAAGGCAAGGAACAATCTTCCAGGGTGTTTACTATACCAAGCTTAAAATATACCGTCAAAGTCAACAGATGTGGCTCTTCCCACAGAGAAACTTACCTGGTGTGAGCTCACACACCCCGGTTATCAGAGCAACAGAGTTAAAGTTCTCCAGGACTGGCTGCATCTTGGAATGGAACGTGCTGGTAGCGTTTGAGAATGAAGACACAGAAGAGACGGAGGACAATGAGGTGCGTGCGTCTTCTTGGCTTGCTTCTAAAATAGGACTGTAGAGAAGGAATACACCAAACCGAAGCCAGTGAGACAATACATGGGAGGAGATAGACATCTAATTTCTAGCCGTCTGAGGACTATACCACAGATTTAAAAACCACTGAGAATTTTACCAAATGTGTTTGGTGGTTAAACAGGGGGCAGTACGGAAGATAAACTAATTGTTTACATTTATGCAGATGTTTTTAGAATGCCAACTTCTGGATACAATTTGTAGAAAAAGAGAGGAAGAACAGACGCCAGTTTCTACAAAACCAACAGATGATTCTGTAATATTTTTGGTTTCTACTGTGTCTTTTTCCAGTTGATTGATATTCATGTCTTTTGTATATATAGTCTTGGGTCAAATGCTCGCCACATTAATAAAAAGAACTAATACGCAATCTGACTTATGGATTCTTCAGGTTTATTCTTAGTTACTGATGCATAATAAAACAACAAAGTATGTTACATGATCAAGGATGTTCAACAGCAGATGGTAATTGCTGGACTCCTGAAGGGAGAGTTACATCTTTACATAGCTGTACAGCAAGAGAGCGCGAGACCTCGTGTCCCTTTGTTAAGTTATAATATAGATGTGTCCATACTGATGTCATAGTATAACTCTAGCCATATAAGACCTCCAACTCACATTCCAGAGTTCTCATACAAAGAAGGCCTTGTGATTTATTAATACCATCTGTTACTCATGTCAATCCAGACATCCATAAAGAATAATCAATAGAAACATAGAATATGCGATATTCTACAGATCCTAAAAAATGTTCAGCATATCTACAGGAGACAGGCAATGTCACAGCTGAGAAGTTTCACCTTCATTAGGTTAAAGTGTCACCTGTCTGTTGTGGGCACAATATAAAAACCACACTATTCACCCGACGCAGGGCTTGATAAAATTAAACTCATTACCAATGGCGGAGTGACACAAAGAGCTAAAAATAAAAAATACTGTTCATGATATTCACAGTGAAGTCATCGCATCCTCCAATCAAAAGTATTTGATGCTCTACGCTGTAATTGTAATTTGGTCAGGGTGAGCAGTTATCTGGGCATCCTTTGGGTCCAGCTGAGTTTTTTATTTTTATTTTATTTGCTTTAAACTTCAAAAACAAAAGCTGAGACACCATTAGTGAAGTGAAAATATATAACAGTTTAACTGTTCACAAATGCAGTCACGTAACTAATTAACAGCATTCTCACTATGTAAAAGGGACCAATAAAAATTATATACTATGCACAAAGACAGTAAGTCTGTGCGCAAACACATACAATCAATCCTGAGCTATTCAAGGTGGTTTGCGGACATACCTAAGTTTTTTTATGCAGTGTTGCTTTAAATAAGACTCTTCACATACAGGCGTTTTCTCTCTTAGAGGTAGTCTTTCCATGTCTGATGTGCTGTCCTGTGCAGACTGCTCGAACTCATCTCTGGGCTTGTGGAAAGGAGTCGACGCCAGCTGAGCAGCTCGTACAAATTCACAGGTATCTTCCAGGTCCGGGATTAGAGATTTATTCTCGTGTGAACCACACACAATGGCATCCTCATTTAAGGGCTCAATGCCGTACAATGCATCCTTTTAATACAAGAAGATTGCAGAATCAAAAATGATGTTACATAGAAACATATAACGTGATGGCAGATAACCATTCGGCCTATCTAGCCTGCCCAATTTTTAAAATACTTTCATTAGTCTCTGGCCTTATCTTATTAGTTAGGATAGCCTTATGCCTCTCCCACGCATGCTTAAACTTCTTTACTGTTTTAACCTCTACCACTTTAGCTGGAAGGCTATTTCATGCATCAACTACCCTCTCAGTAAAGTAATACTTCCTGATATTATTTTTAAACCTTTAATTTAAGACTATGTCCTCTTGTTGTGGTAGTTTTTCTTCTTTTAAATATAGTCTCCTCCTTTACTGTGTTGATTCCCTTTATGTATTTAAATGTTTCTATCATATCCACCCTGTCTCGTCTTTCCGCCAAGCTATACATGTTAAGATCCTTTAACCTGTCCTGGTAAGTTTTATCCTGCAATCCATGAACCAGTTTAGTAGCCCTTCTCTGAACCCTCTCTAAGGTATCAATATCCTTCTGACGATACGGTCTCCAGTACTGTGTACAATACTGCAAGTGAGGTCTCACCAGTGTTCTGTACAATGGCATGAGCTCTTCCCTCTTTCTACTGCTAATACCTCTCCCTATACAACCAAGCATTCTGCTAGCATTTCCTGCTGCTCTATTACATTGTCTGCCTACCTTTAAGTCATCAGAAATAATCACCCCTAAATCCCTTTCCTCAGATGTTAAGGTTAGAACTCTATCAAATATTCTGTACCCTGCCCTTGGGTTTTACCTCCAAGATGCATTATCTTGCACTTATCCACATTAAATGTCAGCTGTCACAATTGAAATTTTTTTTTTATTATTATTATTATTATTTTTTTATGACAGACATCATGACAGGTACATTAAGGCTTGCGCAGACGCCAAAACTTGTTTATGAGTCACAGCTGTGTTTATAGGGTACATTCATACATTACACATGACAGGGTATATTGGTTTAGTGTCTCTGTGCCATCCGTCAACTTTTACAATTATATAGTTTACTTAAAACTCTTTGTGTCTTGTTTCCAGCATGGTACTGGCCCTGGTTAGCTTCTATACCTCGGGCGCTCCTTTGCCGTCCCCTCTATTCCCGGTGGCTCCAAAGTGCGTCCCAGCCGTGACCCCAACCGGTGCCCCCCTCTGCAGGCCCCCCAAGGTCGGGAAGTAGGCGTGTCCTGCCTCGCCATTCCCTGACCTCCCAGTCTCTCTTTCTGCTTTGAAGCACTTGTGTGGTGTCAAGTGCTGTGTCTAGGGTGTGTCCTGACAGGCCTCCTAATGTTTTTGGTGACAAGTCCCCTTGTTGGCTTATGACTACGTGGTTTAGACTGTTCGATCATGCATGGCAGTGTTTTGGCGGTGTAGCGGTGTGGTGTCCATTTTTCGAGTTTACCTAGTTACATTTTCTTTTTCACGGTTTCATTTTCATTAAGGATTTAAAAATATTTTACGATATCAGTAAATACAATTTTGCAGTTCAGAAAACAAACAAACAACCAAACATGAAATAAATATCGTATTCCATACCATGCTTAAATATCAACATAGTAATAACAACATTGTACATTTAGAAAAATTCATAGCGACTGCACAGTTAAACAATAGTATGCATTACCTTTGCATTAATTAATAATCAATAACCCACTAAGATTTGATAAACATCTATCTTGTCAGTTGTTATTTTATCTTCAAGATATATACCATGTTTAGGCAGAAAATAAAAAACCCAGAAGTTATATTATTTATTAAATAGAACAATGCAACCATATACAAGGAAAATGTTTCACATCCATGGATTATTAAAGGAACCATATAGCGTAAGAATAAATGTTTGTATACCCAATGCTATAGTGACCCTCCATATAAAGACATACAAATATATATATTAGCAATTATAAACAAAAATTTAAATATTAGAATAAGAGCTACACATTTTTGGTCGTCGAAGACAAGTAAAGATGGAAAAGCTGTCTGGCTGCAGTGGGGAGTAAGATGTACCTTCCACAGCGGACATAACTACAAGCGATATCTATATAGATTGGCCAGTCGTGTGCCATAGGGAGTGAGGGGGGAGCTTGTTCGAGCAGCCATTCTCTAGGCTGTTTCCCTGTTCACCTTAAGTTTAGTTTATGAGTAATCAATCCATCCACGGAGGAGGAAATCTAGGTAGGTTTGATGTCAGAGCAGCATGCCTCTGATTCATATGTATTTAAAAACCTCAAGAAATTAAATGAAACTGCTCTTGTATAAAAATCGCAACAGCTCTTCAGCTAGGGTGCTCTAATTCAATGTGCCCGGTTTCCCTGTTATTGGACTATTATGGAGCAGTCTGAAAGACTAGGCCTCTAGCTTGACCCATCTTCGTCTGCAACGATAATGCAAAACAATTCTGCATTACCGGTGTGTATCCATCCAGCCAAGATGACATTGATAGGCTGAAAGCACCGGGGGCAGATAAAGTAGATTAATGACAGGTGGTGATTCGAGCAGAAAGAGTGACTTGGTGAGCAGAACAATTTCTTACTTTGAGCAGAGAATGTTCATGGAATGCTTTTGGCCTGGAAACAGAAAGAGGACGACGTACTGGGGGTGGCATCAAGTTCTTTGCTGACCTGGAAAAAAAAAAGAGAACAGAATATAGAATTTCTGAAGTATAGTACTAAACATTTGGGGGGGGGAGGAGAGCTAGGGACACATGTGGATTGCAAAGTACCCTTTGGGAGGAAATACAAAATGACATGTATACACTGTGCTACTAAAACAAGCTAATAGAACACATTACATGATTTACTTCAAAATGGCCAGCACAATAAATGTGCAAATATTTTCCCCACAGCAGTCAGCTTGATGGATTTCCCTTTAAAGCGGCAGCTCAAGCAAAGGAAGTTGAAATAAATGAGTTTGTGCTTTGTATGATTTGTCGTCTTTTAGCCATATATTTCTAGTCATTATACATTGCTGCTGTCAGTCAAAAAGCAAGACCTCTATTCTCCATTACTGCCTGTTCAAGGTTTAAAAAGGGGCACAGAATGCACTAAAACAACTTTAGCTTATTGAAGCAGTTTGGATGTATAGAACATGCCCCTGCAGTCTCACGGCTCAATTCTGTGCCATTCAGGAATTAAATGACTTTGTTTAGGCAGCGATAGTCACTTAAAGTAATTTAACTACTGTGTGTAGTGATGCAGTTATGGATAGAAATGATTGTTAGCAAAATGACAATTTACTGTATGTGCGTGTGCTCATTAATTTACTCAAAATGGCTGCTAGAGCACCTCCTCCCATCCTGTTTTCATTATTTACTCAAAATGGCTACTAGAGCACCCCCTCCCATCGACCAAAGAATGCAAAGAATGTCATGTATTAAGATGGCTTCTCCATCCAGAGCTGCACCCAGGATGATGGTGACATCACACTTTGGAGGAAGTGCATTAAATAAGACACTTAACACTTGACCAATTAAAGATGTATTCTCTCAATTATCTTGCTTTCTGCATATGATGTATTTCTGCCTTTATAAGGGGCCTGCCGCCCCCCTGATTAAACATTCCGAAGTTTTTCATTTATCTGAACTGTCAGTGTGATTTACTTCAGCCTGCACGCATTCTATTTTAAGCAATCTGGAGGGGGGCAGATACTCAAGCAAACACTTGGTTTGATCTAAAACCATGCAGTCTTACTACACACTCCCTGAAACACAGCCTAAATGTTGCATGGTGTGTTTCATTTAGAATTTATTACCTCCTGCTCTGTTAATTGTCTGCTAGAGTCTCCTGTGCATGATTGAAGTTCAATTAACAGCAGAATATAAGAAATTCTAAAGTAAACACACTGTGCTGTAAGATCTGATTGAAACATTAAACCAGGTGTGGCTAAGGTTACACAAAAAGAAACAAAAAGTTATTTAACTCCTAAATGGCAGAGAATTGAGCAGTGACATGATCTATAAACCAAAACCACTTCATTAAGCCAACAGGTGTTTGTTTTTGTTTTTTTTAGTGCTGAGAGTATCCCATCACAGACAGACAGTGTTGCCAAGTTCAGTAATGAAAATGCGGTTTAATCAAAAGGTTTGGCTGTAGATTAAACGCCCAGGGTCTGCTCACCAACATCCTCCAAAAATCTATCACATGGCAGTGATGAGGGTGCTATAAACCACAACTGCAGAAACTCATGAAGAAGTCTAAGATTCCAAGTGGTCAAATTTTAACATTAATCTACTGAAATTTTGCCAAATTCTACTGGCTCAGAAACATTAAGTGGAGAGGGAACATGGAAAGGGAATGTGATTGAAGCAGCAAGACTAATTGCAGTCTGCCATGGAATGCTTGCTTTATAGAAGGCTTACATAGAATGGGCTCCAGAAACGCAATCATTTGGCTTGCAACTAGAGCATTCATGGTGAGGTTAGAGTACCAACTGTACCACTACAAAATGGACAGCAAAAAAATTCACATGAAGGGATAGAGCAAACAGGCGACAAGGCCATCAATATTTGGTAGGGACCTTTGCCATCAAGGCTTAATGTACAACTGTAAACATGGTACCTTTGTGGCATGTTCTATTATAACAACCCCCTTGGAGACGTTTTTTAATCTTTACATCGACTATAGATTTTCTGGACATAAATTTATAGATAACTGCATCTGTTAGCTTTTCAGTCACATGACCTACAGAGTGTGTCCTTTTATTGGACCACTAAAGGCACAGAGACCCCATTTCATTTCAATAAACATTTAGTATATGCAGCAATGTTTTGATTACCCTCTAGTGGCTGCATTTCTGGCCAACATTAGAGGCGGCTCTGCTGCGAGAACAGAGTTTGACTCTGTCATCTGACATTCAACATCTAATGTTGAAGGAGAAGGAGGTATGCTTGTATGGTTAATGCTATATTGTTACTTTAAACAGAGAACCCAGAAGAATGATAGTCTAAAAACACTATTTTTTATATATATATATATATATATATATATATATATATATATATATATATATATATATATATATATATATATATATATATATATATATATACACATAAACAACTGCTGTGTGGTTTAATAAATCCATCCACTTACAAGTTTAGCTGTAGATCACATGATTCATCGAATATCGTAAATGGCACATTAGAGGACGAAGTATGAGACAGGTCTAGTAAAAGACGGAGAACAACATGTTATTAATTCAACGTATGCCGACAATCCACAAGGATTAATAAAAAAATATTGCAGAGACAGGGTGCTGTTGCCAAAAGACCATACAGAGTGTGCAGAATCTATATTTACTATAATGATGCAGGTGTGTCCACTAAAATCATGAGCTCTTTGCATTTGTAATAGAAATGATAGTTCTGGGGATTTATTGGTTGGATTAAAAAAATAAAATAAAATAAAATAAAGTTATTTAAACTTACCTATAGAGGTGTGCTGATTTTGTTGTACCTTCTGCTCAGACCAGATTCCAGTTCTAAAAGAAAAACAAAAATACCCACAAACCATCCATCAGTTAAGAGCCATTTTGAATCCATCTCATTTATTTCAAATAAGGCCAAAAGAGCTGACAATCTATGCGTTACTGTATATTATTTGCCAGTTCGTGTTTTTGCCCAATCAAGTCTATCAGGTCTACCCCGCAATCAGAGTTGGAAACTTATTACATAAAGGATCAGATATACCTCATTTAGTGTGCCTTGACAATGTACAAGTAAGGACAGCATCAAACAGCTTCTGTAAACTCTGCATTGGGTGAATAGGGAGACTTGCTAAACTATATTCTCAATACAATATAAACTGATCCACTTTTATAATATCCTAGGAATTGTCAAATAGGATTGGTATGAATTTCTAATTTCACAGCAAATGCTGTATGAATTAAAGCTACCACTTACGTGCCAGGCTGCATATCACATGATTCATCAAATATAGCAAATGGCAGATTTGAGGAAGATGTTGGAGGATTATCTAGTGAAGAATAAAAAAAATGAAAAAAAGTTTAACAAATGTCAAAACTAAACCTTTGCCTAAGCAAATAGCTATTTTAGCTTTAAAAAAGAAAAAAAGGATTTTGCCTAACTAGTATTCCAGCAAATAGGTTGGGGCATATCTTACAACTTGCCTAAGAAACAGGCACCCAGGTAACCTGTTAAACTGGCCCCTTTTCTCCAATAGCCACTCAGGCAAGCCAAAGTGGCCCCTGCTCAGCAAACATCCAGGCATCCTGGAAAGGAGGCCAGTTACTTGCAGATAACACGTAGGACCCGCTAAGGAAACGGTGCCAATATTGCAAACAAGCAAGCAACCAGGAAGCCCAGGAAGGTAGCCTTCGCTTGCCAGTAATTGCCATAGGTACACCAGGAAAGTGTCACTGTTTGCCAATTGATGATCAGTCTCTACAAGAAAATGTAGGACCCCTGCTTACCAATACACACCAGGTAGCCCCTGTGTCCGTTCAGGGGTGCTAAAGTGAAATTTGGCAAGCTTGGGCCAGTTACCAGGGTTGCCTAGATACTAGTTTAATGGTGTTTGTTTTAAAGGTAAAAATAAATGTTTGCCAACTAAATATAAATCACAGTTAACCTTTATCACCAAAGAGTCAAACGCAGCGATGTCATAGGGTCTATGGCAATGTAATTCAATGGGTGTAAGAATGCTCCTTCGTGGGAAAAATATTAAAGGGACCCTAAGGTCACGAACACAAACCTGTATTCCTGACCCTATGGTGTTTAATCCACCATGTAGTTGGCCGCCCCGCCCCACACCCCTCCCCCAAAGGAATGAAAACTTACCTTAATTCCAGCACCGCCTCATGGGTGACATCAGAATTCATGGGGGGGGGAGTTCAATGCATCTCTACAAGGAAAATTCAGCATCCCCATGCAGAGCGTGGAGGCGCTGACTGGCACTACTGCTCACTGTGCAGCACTGAGCCAGGAAGCACCTCCAGAGGCTGAGGAGTGGCTACTTGGAGGTGTCCCTAGGGGCAATGTAAACACTGCCTTTTCTCTGAAAAGGCATCGTTTGCATAAAATGCCTGAAGGCAATGATTATACTCACCAGAACAACTACATTAAGCAGTAGTTGTTCTAATGACTATAGTGTCACTATAATGAAAGTTCTCTGTAAGCCAATGTTGGGTTAATATTGGTTTGCCAATTTAGGTTTTCATGAATAAAGCTACAGATGCATATTTGGCACAATTTATCATCTTATTTCCATACTGATCACTACGGCAGCACCATACCTACAAGATGCATGTGCTGGGTGTGCATCCAATTCCTTTTCGTCGTTACAGAAAAAAGGAGGGGGCTTGTAGGGATACAGTAGGCATCATAACCATTTCAACTATGTCTCCACCAAGCAGTCATTATCTAATGCACTAAATATATAACATATTATACATGAAAATAATTCTGGATTTTCATTTACCTATAGAGACAGATTGGTTTTGCTGTTCAGTTGGCACAGACAAGACTCCAGTCCTAAAAACAAAACGAGAGAGAGAGCGAGCGCGAGTGAGTCAGGGACAATTTGAAACTTGACAATTTCAAACTCTACAATTTATTTAGAAAAATTACCCAAAAAGAAAGAGGTTAAAATCTGAGTGTGCTAGTCATAGCAATAAAACATAATTTGTAGACCAATGACTTACGTATTGGGCTGTATGTGACATGATTCGTCAAATATGGCAAATGGTACATTAGTGGACGACGTTTGAGCCAAAGCTAGTGAAAAATGGAAAATAAAAGATGTTAATTAACAAGACAAAAAAATGCTGTTCAAGAAACTAGAAGATTTGATTTTTTTCTATTTTGTTTTTTAACCAGGCTGCAGCTTTTACCTGAGCTATTTTTTCTTTTTTGGCAAGACATAAAAAGGAACACTATAGGGTCAGGAACACAGACATGTATTGCTGCACCTATAGTGTTTAAACCACCATTTAGGTGGCTTGCCCCCTCTTGAAGGGGTTAAAACGTACCTTAGTTCCAGCGCTGCATGGGTCCGCCGATGCTGGACCCACTCCCGATCTGCCTCTTTCGTAACATCATCAGGATTTATTTTTAGCCAATCCAATGCTTTATCTATGGTTTGGCCAATCAGCACCTCCTCAGAGATGCAGTGAATCAATGAATCTCTATGAGGAAAATTCAGCATGTCCATGAAGAGTGTGGAGATGCAGATTGGCAGCACTGCACCAGGAAACACCTCCCGTGGCCATCTGAGGAGTGGCCACAGGAGGTGTCGCTAGGGGGCAGTGTAAACACTGCCTTTTCACTGAAAAGACTGTGTTTGCATTGAAATGCCTGAAGGGAATGATTATACTCACCAGAACAGATACATTAAGATGTAGTTGTTCTGATGACTATATAGTGTCCCTTTAATTGCAAAATCAACAGGTGCTAGAAATGATTGATCATTAAAAGGTTATTACATAATCTAAATGGAAATAAAAGAAAACCGTTATTTATTAAATGGACAGCTTATATCAAACATTATAAAAGCAAGCTGTCTATGCAAATCACTTGACATTGAATGCAAGTGTGACTCCTCATAACTGAATTAGGTTGTTTTTCCTTGATACAATTGGAATTTAAAATATTGTAGATATTAATGCAGCAAATAACTTCACAAAACAAGTAATTGAAAGTAACCACAGCAAGGCAGGCATGTTTTTTTCCCATGAATAAATCTACAATTCTATAAATCTACCATTGAACTAGAACCCGAAAGATTGAAAATTTAGGATGCAAAAACAGCCTAAGTAAAGTAAAACATAAAATTCGGAGCACTTATTTCGTGGTTTGTGTAGTTTCAGGGGTTTCTGCATTTCTTTGGGGGTATTATACCTTGGTAGGAGGAGCTTAACTTTTACATTCCTAGTTTGCCATCTGCCTTTTCCTGCCAAGACATGGTGGATATACTTTTTGAGCACTGTCTCTAGTCTGGAGGGTAAATATTATACTTAAAATAAAATAGTTCCATGTGTAGTTTTTAATTTTTTTTTAAACTTACCTAAAGATACAGTTTGGTTTTTCTGACCATTTGACACAGACCAGACTCCAGTCCTAAACACATGTAACAGACGGTTAGAAACAAGACCAAAAAAGGTGTAGACAAATAAATAAATAAATAAATAAACTTTTGCAGAGCCACGACTTACACATTGGGCGGTATATGGCAGGATTCATCAAATACGGTAAATGGCACATTAGAGGATGAACCTGGAACCAAATCTAATGAAAGATGGGGGGGAGAAAAAGTGTTGACCAATGGGAAAACAAAAATATTTCTAATACCCTGTAACAGACTTTATATTAAAATGATTTTTTGGTGTTTTATTACAAGCAAAAGGATGTATAAAGTAGGCGAGTAAAATGTAATAAGATAGCTTTTTGTATCAATGGAGCAAATGACTTCTTCACAAATACGTGAATGAAAGTTCCAAAATCTGTTGTAGCCACTGATCGAGTTTTTCACGAGTGCATCTCCTAAAAGCGGCTGTGCGCGCTCTATCAAAGAAAAGTATTAGTTGCACAGAAAACACTAATTTTACTTACCGTAAATTCCTTTTTCCTTAGTATAGTGGCAGTACTGTACAAGTGGGATGTAACTCCTGCTGTGGACAAGAAGCTCCCCCTCAAATTTGAATGTTTTAAGAGAGACCCGGCCTGCTGCCCATATAAACCCTGTACCTCCAAGGAAACACCAGTTATAAAAAGAACCAAGAAGAGACTGTAGACTGCATAATTAATTTAATCCATACATAAAGAGGAGGGAACATCAGTACTGCCACTATACTAAGGTAAAAGGAATTTACCGTAAGTAAAATTACGGTTTTTCCTCTCGTATAGTGACAGTACTGTACAGGTGGGATGTAGCAAGATCCCTGGAACAAAAAAGGGGGGGGGAATTAGAAGGCCACTGCCTGGAGCACCTTCCGCCCAAAAGCAGCTTCAGAGGATGAAAATATGTCCAGCCTATAATGCTTTATAAAGGTGTGGAATGAAGACCAAGTAGCCGCCTTACAGATGTCTTCTGGAGAAGCTGCAGATCTTTCTGCCCAGGAAGTTGCCATCGCCCTCGTGGAATGGACCTTCAATGGAAATTTGATGGGAACACCTCGGGTTTCATAAACCAGTTTAATGGCTTCCGTTAGGCACCTGGCGATAGTAGGTCTGGAGGCTCTTCTACCTTTACAAGAGCCTTGAAAAGTGACGAAGAGATTATGTGAGATCCTAAAGCTAGAAAAGCGTTGGAATCTCTGAGGATAGATTTTCAATGCTTTTCTACCATTTAGGAAATTAAACTTTCTTTCAAGCTCCGAAGATGGAGACTGGCAGAAGGAATGCAAAGTAATAGGCTGGCTCATAGAGTTCTTTGAAATAACCTTAGGTAAAAAGGAATGTCTGGGATGCAAGACCACTTTGTCTTGGTGGAAGATGGTAATCTCAGAAGCTGAAGAAAGAGCCTGTAGTTCTCCTATCCTCCTTGCGGAAGTGATGGCCACCAAGAAGACAGTCTTGATTGAAAGCCGCTTTAGGGAAACATCCTGCAAAGGTTCAAATGGAGGTTCACAAAGAGCCTGAAGGACTAAAGACAAATCCCAGGTAAGAAAAGGCAAAAACTTGGAGGTTGTTTCAGTAAGATGGACTTGAAATATTTGCGGATAAGAATGTTAGAAGCTATATTACACACAAGGAAGTGACTCTGCTGAAATTTGGATCTTGAGTGTTGAAACACCTAGAGCAACTAGAAACCCATCCTGCAAAAAAAGTCAAAATATCAGGGATAGATTGATTATCTGGATTGCAGCCTTTCCGAGTACACCAGTTCCAGAAAGTTATCCAAATCCTGAGATCTATTTTAGAAGTAGATAAACTGACTGATGCCAGAATAACGTCACTCAAACTGTCTGAAAGCCCTTGCTCACGGATCATCCTTGCAGCAGCCATGCCATCAGGTGGAACATTTCCAGGGTCTCTACTGAAAGATTCACATGCTCTGAAGTTGTCTGAAATTGGGAGAACCCAGCGTGAAATAGTCATACGTTCCATTTCGGAAAATCAGCTTCCATTTGGCCAGAACCCTTGCTTTGTCCCATCTGGTTTTTTGAATAATCCTTGGCATCAAGGCTATTGGAGGGAAAACGTATCCCATGTTGAAGTTCCAGGTTAGGGAAAGGCCGTCTAGGAAGTCTGGAAAATACTGTGCCTGGATAGAAGCAAAGGTTGGGACTTTCCTGTGGCCATAAGATCGATGTCTCGTAAGCCGAATCGTATTACCAATTCTGAGAACATCTGGGGTTTTAGAGACCAGTCTGTTTGAGACCAATGTTGTCTGCTGAGGTAGTCTGCGATGACGTTCAGAGCACCTCTGATAAGAGTTGCTGAGAGTGAGTTTATCATAGACTGTGCCCAAGACATATGGCAGCACAGATCCTGACAGTTTAAATAAGCCACTGTGGTGGCATTGTCGGACTGAATCCTTACAGCTTGGTCGGAGATAACAGGACAAAGCTTTCAGAGCATTCATTACTGCCTTCATCTCTCTGAAGTTGGATGATTATTTTGCTTCTTTCAAAGTCTATTTTCTCTGAATGAACTGTGAACCTAGATGGGCACCGCTACCAGTTTGGGAGGCATCTTTTGTGATGGTAATCCATCTTTTCTGTTCGAATGAAAGGCCTCTGGAAAGTGTATTTTTCCACCAATTTATTGGTTTTCTTACTTTTTTGGTAGGCGAAATACGGAATCCAAATCTTCCTTTTTTCTTCATATACCATTGTATAAGTCTTATTTCTGCTTTTGCCCAACCAACTTCTGGGATTGCGGAGGTGAGAAGCCCCAGGACACTCATGGACTGTCTGATGGAGCAAACATTCTTTTGTAATTTTGAAATGGCCCTGCAAATTCTTATTTGTTTTGAAATAGGAAGAAAAAGGGAGAGAGACCTTGAATCCACCAGAAGACCCAGGAATTCCATCCTTGAAGGAATAATCTGAGATTTTTGTATGTTTAAAGGCCAACCGTGATCTTCTAAAACCCTTCTGGTGATCTTGAGGTTTAACCTTAAAAGATGTTCTGATTCTGCTTTTAAGAGCCAATCGTCCAAGTAAGGAACTATTGTTACACCTCTTAAATCGTAAGGTTGCCGCTATAGGAGCTAGGATCTTTGTAAAGATACGAGGGGCTCATGAAAGGCGGAACGGAAGGGCTTTGAACTGAAAATGAAGAATCTTTCTTTTCCCTGCTAGTATTGCAAACCTTAGAAACGTCAGAGAAAATACAGACATTGGAGCATGGAGGTAGGCATCCTTCCAATCTAACTTTGCCATGAATTCTCCCTTCTGCAGGATGTGCGTTACTGACAATATATTTTCCATACGGAATCTCTTATAAAGTATACATGCGTTGACATCCTTGAGGTCTAGGATAGGACGGAAGGATTTGTCTGGTTTCTGAACTAAATACAGGCGAGAGTAAACCCCCTGAAAGTACTAGTATCTGGGTACTTTCTCTAGATTGCCCTTGCGTAAAAGGAGTAGGATTTCTACTAGGAGGGCCTCTGATTTCTTTTGTGATGAGTACTTTGAAAGAAGAAAAGATGGCTTTGGCACTGTAGAAAAGTGGATTCTCTATCCCTCTGAAGTAGTCTTTAGAATCCAATAGTTTGATGTCGTCTCTTTCCATATATGAGAAAAATAAATAAAAAACAAAGACAACCTCCCACTATTTTGGTGTATCTGTTCTGTTTGCGGAATCTCTCCTGGTAACGAAAGGAACGTTGTCCTCTAAACTGAGATCTTTTATAGTTTTGAGGTCCTGAATATCTGGAATTCTGAGGCAATGCTTTTTTGGTTTCAGACATCGGTCTTATTATATCTTCCAGAGGGGTGCCAAATAACTTGTTCCTCTCGAAAGGTAGTTCACATAAAGCAGACTTAGAAGATGAATCTGCAGTCCAAGTTCTGAGCCATAAGGCTCTTCTGATCACAGAGGACAAACCCATTATCAGATAATCTAAGCATCTCATCAGAGGCATCTGATAGAAAGTTTCAGAAGAAACAACAGCTGAGCCAGGTCTTTTTCTGATTTCCTCATAAGGGATTCTTCTAGGGCTTGAAGCCACATACTCTGGGCTTTAAGCACTGCTGAACCAGAGATTCTGGCTTTGCATTGGTAACCTGCAGCCTGAAATATTCTTCTTCTAGAAGTTTCGGCCCGCTTGTCCATGGGATCTTTTAAACCAGAAACCTCACCAATAGAGATCTCCGTGATAATTGCGCCACTTGGATATCGACTTTTGGAAGGTCTCCCCATTTTTGCTCAGTCTGTAGCTTAAAAAAAAATAGTTTGAAGTGCTTAGAAATAAAAGCACATCTTTCCAGGTTCCTCCACTCTCTCTGTAGGAGTCCCATAACCCTTGGGTGCATAGGAAATCCTTTTACCTTACCCCTGGTAGGTTCATTTTCCCGAAGAACTGTCGATACTTCCCTGATAAACTTTTTGATTTCTTCTGGTGGAAATCCTTCATCCACACTTGAAGCCAGACGGGAAGGTGATGAACATTCACCTGATGAGCGCTCAGACAGGGATGGGGATCTTTCTCTCCTTCGTTTTTTTTGTCTGTCTGTCCTGAACAGTAACAGCAGACCCGCTGTCTTTTTTTAATGGTATCTTTAAATGACTCGAAGGTCTGTGATATATTCTCCTGAAACCAGCCCAGGAATGAGGACATTTCTTTTTGCTTGGATCTTTCCAGCAATTCCGTCGAGCATTGATTACAGGTTTTCTTACGACAGTCAGTCAGAGAGACCGCACATTCTAAACAACACAAGTGCTTTGATTTGCTTGTGGACTTTTTAGGGATAGGAGCTGACATCTTATCTTTTTCAGCTGTATCCAGTGAACTAGGACTGGACTAGAAGAATACTGGAATTAGAAGGCATGCAAACAAGTGTTAGTTTTCAAGGGAGATTTAAATTAATTTAAATTCTCACCTCCAAAACCTCACCACCGTGTAGGAGGACTGGTGAAACAGAGAACCTGTACTGGCACCTACCCTTGGGGACAGACAAGTCCTGCACAGCATTTACAGCTAAAAACATTTAGAATTTAGCGCCAAATTAAGAAACAGTAGCGCGATCAGAAGTTAAGTGGGACGCAACACCTCCCGGGCGTGCATGCATAAGTGCTGTAAGGTGGGTGGTCCCCCGGGACCTCCCAGGATGTTGCCACATAAGCCGCCTTTCAGACGCGTTCCGTAGGGCAACGGAATGGAAGTCTCTGCCACTCAGCTCACACCTTGGGAGCTATCGGGGGCACTCACCTCCCCGGTCAGCAGCCTGTGCTGACTGCACCAATCTCTGCCTGGTCTTGTAGAGCTTGGTGGAGCCTGGTCCATCCCATTGCCGGGACAAGAGGAACTGGTGTTTCCTTGGAGGTACAGGGTTTTTATGGGCAGCAGGCGGGTATCTCTCAAAATATTTAAATTTGAGGGGGAGCTTCTTTCCACAGCAGGAGTTACGTCCCACTTGTAGATTACTGCCACTATACGAGAGGAAAAACACATTGCACAAGATCATTGTGAACACATTTTGAAGCACACCCTCTAAACAGAGTCTAACTGAATAGCATATGTGACATTTGGATGAAAAAGTAATTTTTGCCTAGATGTATTTTTTCTATTTTACTAAATTTTAGACTTGCCTAAAGTGCTGGGTTGGTTTTTCTCTGTGTTCTGCACAGACATGTCTCCAGGCCTAAACAAAACAAACAAAAAAGGTGAGTGAAAGGCTTGATCATTCCTTCAATTACATTCTCAACTGTTGCACAACCACAACTACTATAATGCTTTGCCAACCCTATGGCTGGTAAAACATTATGGAAATTTAAGATTTGAAATATCTGGGGGATCTTCTCCCTAAATATCCCTGGTGTGTACCCTGCAAAGTGCAATTTTTCCGGTTATGATCATATTAGCGAAACCAGTGTGTCGTTAAGTTAAGACAGGACATCAAAAAACAAACTTACTTAGGTGAAACCGGAAAAAGACATCGTCCTCCTTGTGCGCCAAACTCAGTTTCTGAAGCTGCAGGATACTCAACCCCTCCTTGTACGTTGCTAGAGTCCAGGCCAATACTATGTAAACAAGATGCTGTACCAGCCTCCTCTGGAGAAGCCTATAGGAAAGAGTGGGGAAGAGCGAGTGATCAAAGCTGTTAAAGTCCTTCCCATGTCATAGGGCATTTCAATGTCCTAGAAATAAACTGCATTAAGGCAAGACTCCAAGCGTCCACTCTACCACTGGCAAGTGAGAATTTAGCCGTGTGAATTTAAATTCAGCCTTGACAAGTGTGCCATGGCATCGAGGGGTCCAAAAATATATTATTACTATCCCTTTAAGTAATGTACAAATTTCTGCAGCAATCTCACTTTAAATGGACACTCCAGACTTCTAAGACACTTTAGCTTGCTAAAAAGCTTTTGTATGTGAAGAGTGTGTCCTCTTTTTCATTTTGCAAAAAGTGCAGATTTCAATAGAAATTGACACTTTAAATTTTTTTTACCTGGTAACACCCCCTTGGCTTTCAAGACGACAACAGGTCCCATTACTTCCTGGTTTTGTTAGCGCAATGCAGCTTAACTTAAGAGACCGCAATAACTCAGAGCACCCGCCTTGCAAATACTTCTCATTGAGCTGTATTAGATAGTCTGTGATTGGACAAACTACTAATTTTGGGTGGGATTAACCCCTTAACGACCGAGGACGGTTGTTCAGGACCGTCATCTGCATTTTTGCGTTGCCGATCGGTGACGGTCCTGAACCGTCCTAACGGTCAGATATACTTACCCGATCGCCAGAGCTCCCGTTGTGGGGAGACTGCCTGCAGCCCAGACAGTCTCCCCATGGCAGATTAGGAACCCTGTGGCCATGTAATCGCTCAACAGATATATCTATATATCATATAATGTCATACTAAGTATTTTTATAT